GATATATGTAATATGTAAGAAGAACATCATTCGAACACCGATAGCAGAAGGTTTATTAGAATATTCTCCAGCGGGTTGCTGAAAATTTTTTTTTTCGAGCACAAGGTGGAAATGCATCGAAATGAGAAGAAAAAAGATAAAGAGAAAGAAGATGAATGCATGATGTGGAACGATATAATGGGCGAAGAGCTTGAAACATCCGCTCATTCAAGCTTTCTATGATTGTCACAACGAAAAATAAGAAGTTGTAGCGAAAGAGTAGGCGAAGGAGGACAATGATATGGATGGAGTAGTAGAAGAATGGAAACGAGATGAATAACGTGGATAAGACATGTCTGATGTTTAGGAACGAAGAAAAACCTTTTTTTTTGGTGTCATCTTAAATTTAAATTTTTCACTAAATGAAATCGAGTTTGAAGGAGAATCAGCTAATGTGACTGACTGGCTGATGTCTAACGTTCGCATGTCGATTGGCACAAGACAAGAAAGGAAATTGAAACGAATTTGTCAATTCGCCTTTTTTTTATTTCACGAAACCTTTGTAAAGAAAATGTGAGCTTCTTCATTATTTGGAAGAATTTAATGCTGTGAAAGAGTTGAAGCAACGATGAAGATGACTAGATGTGAATGACAAAAAATTACATTTGTTCTGTTTCAACTGCATGTGGATGTATCTAAATACTTAAATACATATGGTGAACATTTGCATAAAAAAGAAGTTTTTGTTTAAATTGACAGCAATTTTACATCGAAATGTTCTCTTCTTTTCGGCTCTTCGTCAAATATTCAAATAAGGCACTCATGATTACGTCAGCAACAACTGCATAAGCTTCAAAGCTGAGAGTTTCTCGTCGAGAGATAAAATCAGAAGAGCTCAATATTCAAAAACTTGTTGAGAAGAAGAAGATTATGAAAATTGATCATCTATTGTAAGTAGTAATATAAACAAAATAAAATAAAAAAAACTTCTTTTTTTCCTGTTGCCATCAAAATAGACAGAAGTTTCTTGTAATCTGATGAAATGTTAATTTTTGTAGAGAAGAGAGGGAGAGAAAGAGATCTCTGGTATTCTCAAAACATCCACAATAACTATTCAGGCAGGTTTGAGTTTAATTTGCAATCCTTTTGAGTGTGAAATGACTCGCTTACTGTCGCAAGAAGTGATGTTATACTATTTGGGTGTAGAAAATTCAATTTTGATGAAATAAAATTAGAAATAAGCACATCTCATGGCAAAGGAGCATGAAAGAAAAAGTTTTTTTTCCTTTTTTCTCGCTCCAAATATGGTTAAAGCGAGAAAAAAAGTAATAAAGATACAGAAATTGGTGTTATCGTAGGACAATTTAATAAAGAAATATATGAGAAAGGAAAAACAAATAGATGTTAAAGAGAAAAGCACTCGAAACATATCTTTTTTGGAAGTTCAAACAGATGAGAACCAGAACTTGTCCTTAAAAATCTTCTGGGCTTTAAATTTTTTTTTGTCTTGGTCAGCCAACCAAACAAGAAGGATGTTTCTGATAGACAGCAGAGAGCAAAAAATCAAGATGAATGCAACCGCTCACAATTTTTCAAAATGAGGAAAATGACTTTCTCAATTTCACGTGAATGGCGCGTGAAAGCCGAAAAACGTAATTAGCATCTTCAACTGGAGAGCTTCAGCTGATTTGTGTGGTAGATAAAATTTTATTGGAACTTGTTAGCCCTTTCCAAGAAGTAGGTATTGGTGAAGCTTGAGCGCATCTTTGTAGAGATGTAAGTGTGGGATGAAGTGAGTGAAGGATAAAAGCGAATAAGAAGTCTATTTGTATTCAAAATGGAGGAAAACGAAGAAAAAATGAAGTTTCATAAAGTAAATTGAGGATATACACTGATAGTGAATGTCTGGAAGATGAAAGAAGGATGTTTCACTATAACTAAGAACCAAAGAGAGATGAGAAATAGTAGAAGAGGAAACAGGCTTGATTTCCGCTCAATACGGCAGTTATTCTGACCGGAAATAATGTAATGTGCCAGCAAGAGTAAGAGAGACTAGATAAATGGAGAATGAAGTCTCTTACCATATCCTCTTGTTATGTGATAACTTTGAAAAGTTTAATGAAAAAAAAGAAATTGGAAATAACTTTATAGATTTTTTTGATGGAGACGATAAATCTTGACGAAAACGATTGAATCTGGAAAGTATGTGTAGAAGCTGAGGTGCAAAATGTAATAAAAATGTTTTTCGGAACATTTTTAAACATTTATACTTGAATATGATTGTATAATTTTTGATTAGCATAAGTAGGTAATTTACGTCAGCAACATGATGTCCTCAAACTATCTGTTTTACTGTCAAATTTCCAAATATGGAGTGAGAAGAGGAAGAGGAGTGGAAGAGAATGGAGGTGAAATAAATGAAAAAGATGATGATATGAGATGAGATGTAGAGAAAAATAGAAATATAGAGTGAATGATATGGATAGAAGGAACAAAGGAAGAGAGAAAACTGGAATATGTCTATCAGGTAGTTAGTCAAGTTAGAGATGGGTAGAAGAATTCTATGACGACACAGCCATCAGGTTAGTCGACGAGTGCGATCAAAAAAAAAGTTTTATAATTTTATTCTTACGTACAGTAAGATGCATCATTGATATGGTGTTAGTTATTGAAATTTCTTTTTTTTTTCCTTTTTAGTTTGGGAAAATGAAAGAAATGAATTGGAAGAGATTTGTTCTTTCCTTTCTAGCACACAAACACATTCAATGATAAACATAAAATAAAAAAAAATGGAAAATTTGATATACTCAATGAGACAAAACAAATTCGAAAAAAATTTTTCTTTTTTTCATGTTATTGAGATGTTCCGAGAACATGTCGTATGAGGAAGAAGCCATTTGAGTTCCTTATTTTTCAATTTTGACACAACTCATCACTTGTTTTCCTTAACAAAACTGATATACTCTCTCTATTTGCTTTTCGTTTTCCTTTCTGATAAGCGTCTCCTCGTTCAAGCTCTTCCTCAATAACTCTAAAACATTGCACTTGTGCACATCGCATAGATGTCATCCATATCTGATAGTTGAAGTCTCTGCATTTCATCTTTTCTACCAAGTCATAACAAAGTGTGTTTCTTTATTGTTATGTTTAGAAGTATTGAATAGAAAAAATGAGGAAAAAAATAGAAGAGAGAAAGAGAGAGAGAATGAGAGGGATAGAGAGAGAGAGAGTATGAGAGCGAGCAAGTGGATAGAGGGAAGTCAAGAGTATTGGGAAGATCAAGAAATTATCGAAAACAATTTTTTTGGCGTGTTTGAAATAAAGTTTTTGAGTCTGTCAAACATATTGAATCTGCGAATGTCTTTTATGTCCGAAATTGTCTTTAATTAAAAGAGTAATTTGGTTTTTTTCTTTTTCATCTGGTTACTGAAATGGACGATTCGCTTTCATCATCAAAAGTCGTGTTATAGAACTTAGTCTTTAGCTTAGATTTTGAACAGATGAAAAAGAGAAAGAATATTCTGTAGATGGAGGGCCGCAAATTGTTCTGTAAACATTCAAGTTAAATGGTGAATTGAGAAAAATATAAGGAAAGTTAAGAATCATGTGAGAGCTTTTCATTAAATTGTCTGTTAGTCATTTGTGGGATGATTTTTGATTGCAAGAAGAAACTGCTTTGAGGATGGGTGTGCATGAGGGCAATACTAGATGAAAGTTCTAGCAATTCATGATAAATACCTCTGGGAACATTGCGATCGAAAACTACAGAAAAGGAAAGAAATTTTTAATCGAAACTCTCAAAGAACTTTTATTATTATGATTGTCCTTCCACCAGAACATCTTAGGAGCTATGTATGGAGGAAAGATGGAAAAGAAAATCTAAATTGGCAAAGTTTAGTCATTGAATTCGGACGGAGACGAATTCATGATGAATACATCCGAAGAGTTGTAAAACAGCAGTTCAGAGATTTTTAAGAGAAATAAAAGAAGATTTAGTGTGAAAGAAAAATTACAAAAATTGAAGGGAAATGATTTTACTTGACGAAGATGTTGAAGCTTCGTTGATGAGCAAAGACAATCACTCATCATGTGGTTTCAATGATGATAAAAGCTGGTCTCAGAATTAACCCAAAATAGCTCAAGTCTATACGAAACTGGTCAATGAGGGGAGATATTGAGTTGTTTAAGAAGCAACAAGAACGATAACCCTCCTTCCCCGAACGCTTACTAACAAACGGTCGGGCGACGGTTCGGCTGACCAAATCAACGAAGATCTGTTTGCGGGAAAGATTTGACTGAATTTGGAAAATTGAGCAGTAGAAGAAAGAAACGAGACAGAAGAGACAAGTAAAGAATGATGATCGAGAGAGAGAGATGAAGATTAGAGAAAATTTGGGTGAGAAACAAGCTGGATCGCCATCGCTAGCAAAGATGATGATGATGAGTAGAATGTGTGTGGTTATCTGAAACTGCTTGTGATTATGATGATTAGTTCTTAAAATGGGAAGAGAGAGGAATTGAACGAACAAATATACAAAAATGAACAAAAGATATTTTCTTCAAAGGGCAAGCAGAAACGTTTGAATCATACTATAGCTTTCAAAGTTTTGAACCAAGAAAAGGGGGGGGGCTGGAGTGTGCGGTTTTAGAAATTTTTCATTTTAACATCATTCTTCACGTATCTTCACAAAAAATTGTTTTCGAGAGAAGAGGGGGAAAAGAAATAAAAGGTTTATATGTACATTGAAACAACTTTGTTAATCAAGCAATAACCCGTATAGGATACGTGATTATTTGATATTGAATAATGAACTGAAACTACAAGAACATGCTCTTGTATATTGAGACACACACACACAGAAAAAAGAATAATATGCCATGGGATACAAGAAATATCAGTCACAGACTTCCGACAAAGAAAAATAGGAAAGATTTCATGGAGATGAAAAGTTTGAAGAGTTGGTGTATTTGAAATAAAATTTCAAATAATGAATATGAAGTAATAATTATCTTCATACGAATCAATTATTTAAAATTTGAACCAAAGAAATCGATAGGATAGAAAGAATAAGTGAGACAGATCCACTTGAAGATGTTGTAGGCCTTGGACGTTGAGATGTCACCGTAGGAGGTGCCACAGAGGTTTTTGGAGGTTCATGTGCCTTGGGAAGCTCAAACTAAACATACTTGGATTATATGCATATGTTATAATGAAATATAACCTCCTGATCTGTTAGCTTAGCTGGATTAATTCTATGTGACGATGTTATTGGGTAAAAGTGCGACCCCTTGTTCATATCATGAGCATTTACTTCTAAATTAGATTATATAGTTTAATATCACGAAGAAATTAATCAAACCATCCGGTTGAGCGCTTCCGGTGGCAGCCATAATATAATAATCTCTGTTCAATGGCCAAATCATTCCATTTTTATCATCAATTTGAGGAATGATTTGCTGAGTGAAATGACATACAAGTCGTCCATCAGCAACTTCGCTTGAGATATCACTGAACAAAACGTTTTGCTCATCCTGAAAGATGAAAGTATATATTTTTTTCTATTCTCAACACTAATGTCGTTCAATCATCCTGATTTGTGCTCATTCGAATACTTGAGCGCGCACGTGCATTTTTCATTCCTGCTTGCATTCAAGCACAGAGCGGTTGTGCTCCGGAAGTTCAGTGCATCATTGACTTGCAAGTTATTTGCAATCAAATAAAACAATTAAAGATTTGTTTTCTCATAGTAAATATAATTGTTTTCATGAGAATCAATCATTTATCTAATTGAATTAATAATCCAATTACCTTGTTTAGGAAAATGCGATCATTACTCTTGCCTTTGTTGAATGAAACAAAAATTTCAGGTTCATAGCCGGCCAAAGGACCCATGTCACTCATTGTGCATTCCGTCACAGCATCAGATCCCTAAAGAAATTGTTATTAAGTAATATTTCTGTGAATAAATATTTCGAGAAAAAGATAGTTGAGATAATTGAAAACAGGATTAAACGGGGACAAACTTAAGTTTTTTGGTCTTCGTATTCAGGATCCGCGGTGGCAACGTGGGAGTGGGGGGCAAGAATTTTTCGAATTTTATAAAATTTTTTGTTTAAAAAGTGTTTTTTGAAGGCATCTTGATCGAAAATTAACTTTCGTTCCCTACACTGTTTCAGTTGAGAAGACAGAGACGAAGTAATAAAAAAACGATTTCAATAAGTTGTGATCGCAGTTCTGCACGAAGAAAACGTAATTTCACGTTTTCAAAAGGTGTCAAGAATGAAGGATGGTCTTTGTTTAGGTTTTTTCTTACTACTTCCTTCTTAGACCGAGTAGAGAAGTGCTTGAATGAGAGTCAAATAGAAGAATTTTAATGAAATTTCAAAATTTCGTTATTTCCATTTCCTTCAAGTTTCATTTTTTATTAAATCTTCAGCCAAAGTTATAGTTAGTTACCCTTTCTGCACACACTTCAAACTACCAGAATGAATTCAAATTTTGCAGATGGAATGACTAAGTAAAATAAAATCATACGATGATTTCTTGTTTTTAGAAAATTGAGAAAAAGTGAAAACACTTCAAGCAGTCAAATGAATGAAGACCAAGAAGCGAAGGGTCTTAAACAAAACATTCAAAGTGAAACATATTCGTTAAACTTTCATCTTTTATCTTCATTAAAGTCAATTAAGGAGCTTCATGAGGATGCTTATACATGTTTTTCTTTTTCTACAAGAACTGATAAAACTTAAAACCTAATTGGATTAAAACCAAAAGTTCCACTCAGCGATAAACTTCGTGAGTACTCTATGGGAAATCAACTTTTATTTTAAAAATTATCTTCGTTGTTTTCCTGTTTCCAATTTTTTTACGAATTCTCTCGTTAACTTAATTATTTCTCTCGACGTTAAGTATTTTATCAAAGAGAAGGAAGAACTTCGAAAAGATTTCTTTTCACAATTTTTTTGGATTTTAATTGTTGTTAGAGAACAGTCGGAAGTTAAGAGTTGAATATAACGCAGTTTTTCCAGTCTAACTGGAAGAAAAAAATTAATCAAAAGATGTAAACGAGGGTTCCGGGAGCAAAAAGAGTCGACGCAGTTCAAGGTTCCCTTTCTCTTTCCCGCGATTATCTTTCAGTTTCTTGTTATTTTTCTCTCTCTCTCTCTCTCTCTCTCACTTATTCTTGGAAAGCTAAAAAAAGAGGAAGCAGAAAAAAGAGATATGGAAACTGACCATTACAGTGTCGTGAGAGAAAGCCATAGCTACATATTGCTGTTGTACAGATGGTATTAAAGCTGCAGCAACCATCTCTACCCGGAGCTTGTTAGGTCCTATCACATAGAATATTACTCCAGTCGTGCAATCCAGGTTTGGATCACATCCATTCGGCTTAAACAAGCATGCTTTCGTTGTGCCACAACCTGTTCTAGAATGAGAAAGTTGTTTTCATGTAGAAATTTTCTTATTAGAAACAATTCGAGAAAAAAGAATAGCATTAAAGATCTTTTTTTTTAAACTTTAGATAGTTCATGATTACCGAATTCATCTTCGAAGACGAAAAACTTTATCATCGAACATCACATGAGAAGAAGAAAAGTTTAGCCCATTACGGTACGAGAGCGAAGGACCCGAAAAGTCTTCTGACTATTAAAGAAGGAACTTCGTTTTAACAAGAGAGTGTTCTCAAATAATTTCTTCATTTGATCGAGGTAACGTACTACACGAAACTGCAGAGTTCAAAAAGGGAGTTCATAGATGCTGTACTATATCACATGGAAACTGTAAGAAATAGCACTTTTATCTATGAACCAGCATCAGACTTATACCCCTTTGCCGAAAACGGGTAACTCAGCAAGAATTTAAAGTAAATTCTTGTCTTTCATTGGAAAAGTACTATACTCATCCCAAAAAGGTTAATGTTAAAGACAGAAATCGTAGATCACGATGTAACTATTAGTAAAATTCTAATGTTCGGCCAATTGCTTCGGTAGAAAAAGAAGAGAAGCCGTCGAACAGTGACGAAAGATAAGTTTCAAATCTTACTTGTTTGTGAAAATGGCTGCGACAGTTGAAGGCACGAGAAGAAGAAGCAAAAAAACTGAGGATGATGTATTCCACGCCATAGCTGACTGGCCACCTCTGGTTCTATCAATCTATGATTCTGTTAATTAACATGTATAAATTATAGAATGAAGACAGAGAGAGAAGAAAAATGATAATATGATTATGTGTTGATAGAAATGGCAGTTATATATATACATGATACAGAGGTGACAGGATATCAAAAAGAAGAGGCTGCTACCGCCACAAGCAGTCGACGCCATCACAATGCCTCTCATCTCAAAGAAGAGAAATAAACGGATGGAACGACGGTAAAGGGGAGAGAAAAAGAAAGAACGACATGGGTCGAAAGAGCTAGTTTCTTACACATGTACTGCGTCGTCTGCATTTTCGCCACAAATGGAATCAATTCACCTCCTCACCTCTTCCTTTTCTTTTATTTCTTCGTCACCCATGTCTCTTCTCATTACAAATTTTCGAACAAATCATTGTCAACAATAATCGACTGCGCTTATTTTTAAATAAGATGCCAACAATCAGCTGAGACAGTCCTCCGTTCCTTCCAACGTTGCCATTGATTAATGCGATACAGCCATCCGTTCAATCACTAGTTATGTTTTTGAGAACGGTCAATAACCAATTAAATACGTTAACGACTAGTTGAGTCGATGCCAACTATAGTGTCAAGGATACCAACAGCCCCAGAAATTACCATCTTTTTGAAAGAGCTTCCATTAAGTACGACAGGCAAATGCAACCAAGGGCATCAGGCTGTGATCGTATAAATCAGGAAATATTCTTTTCTGGTATTCATCACATGATCTATGTTTCGTTTTCATTGAAAACATGAAATTTTTTTCCTGACATTATTATTTTTATTGAGCTCGCTCGTATATTTAAGAAAATTCAATTTCCTAGCTAAGCTAAAACACTGGGAAAACGTATAAAGTATGAACAGAGAGGGTGAAGATATAAGCGAAACTTTTTTAGAAATCTACATTCCGTTTTGAAATGGCTAATGAGTACATAGACTTAGACGTTGTTAATAGCCTTTCCACAGTAAGCGGAAAGGTTGGCTTCCCTGAAAGCCTCCGAGAGAGTTGGATGAGGATGGCAGACTCTGGCAACATCTTCGGAAGAGGCTCCATATTCAAGAGCGAGAGTGGCTTCGGCAATCATTTCTCCAGCATTCTGAACAAAAATTTTGGATTTTTTTTTAATTTTTCGCTTACTGGTCCGATAATATGAACTCCGAGCATTCTATCAGTTTCCTTATCGGCGAGAACCTGAAAAGAAGCAAATTTAAAAACTAATACAGAGATGGCTAGACAGAAAGCGCAAAAAAAAACTAACCTTTACGAATCCTTCTTGATCATTATTGGTTTTAGCACGAGAGTTGGCAACGAATGGGAACTTTCCAGTTTTGAAAGCGACTCCCTTGAAGATTAATTTGTGTAAAACGGGATATAAAGGTGGGTTACCTCTTGTTTCAATTGCTCTTCAGACTTTCCTACCCAGGCTACCTCTGGATGAGTATATACGACAGAAGGGATACAGTCGTAATCAAGATGAACAGGTCCTCCGGCAATACCTTCGACACAGATGATACCTAAGTTTAATCTTATGAATTGAAATACAACCTTTAACATGCCTTCATCTTCTGCTTTGTGAGCAAGCATAGGTCCTTGAATCACATCACCAATAGCAAAGATTGAGGGAACCTAAATAAAGGAATTTCGACAGGAATATAATGAAGTTATACTTTGCTTTGGAAGCGATTGTTAACAGGGACTCTTCCTCTCTCGTCCAACTGGATACCAACACTGTCTAATCCCAAATTCTGAGTGTAAGGTCTGCGACCTACAGAAACAAGCAATGTATCGCATTCCAACTTGAAATGAAAAAAAATTCAGAAGGGAAACACTATACAAACAAACCGTTTGCTTCTTTCCATCCTTGGCTCCTTCAACTTCGACAACAATGCTATTTCCATTCTTGGTGGCGTTCATAACCTATAGTAGGACCATTAGGGATGTAGATAATTCAATAAAAACCTTGGTGTTGAGAAGAAACTTGAAACCTTGCTTAGTAAGACTTCGCTGGAATGTTTTGGAAACCTCCATGTCGATTCCCATTCCACCAACATGTCCTAAGAATTCAACAGCAGTTACTTCAGCACCTAAGCGTTGCCATACAGATCCCTGAAAAATAATAACCATAGGCCTTTTTATCTTGATTACATACGAGTTCAAGTCCGATTACTCCAGCTCCAATAACGACCATCTTCTTTGGAACAGCTTTGAGAGAAAGAGCTCCAGTGGAAGACACAATCTTGAACAAAATAATGCAAATAAATCAATTAAAGCTTACCTGTTCTTCATCGATTGGAATACCTGGGAAAGGAGTAACTTCTGATCCAGTAGCGATCAAGATGTTACGAGTATTAACAACCTCTACAGATCCATCAGCCTTCTTGACAGAAACCTACAGAAACAAAATGTCAAGCTTTAAACAGAAAAAAAAGATAATAACATGCCTGGTTAGCTCCAGTGATGGATCCATGTCCCTCAATGTGTCCGACTTTGTTAGCCTTGAACAGTTGCTTAATTCCTGAATAGAGAAGAGTAAAACGTTCAGATGAGGATTGCAAACCCCCAGTAAGCTGCTTTACAGAGTTAGCCTTAGCTTCCATCATCTTTGGAAGATTGAGAGTAGCGGTACAATCAATGCCTCTTGCTGCGAAATCGTGTTTTGCCATGTGGTAGTAGTGAGAATTGTTAAGTAAAGCTTTGGAAGGAATGCAGCCAACGTTAAGACATGTTCCTCCCAAAGTGCTGCTCTTTTCGACACAGACAGTCTGCGAAAATTTTCTTCATGTAGAAACATATTAAAGAATACCTTCATTCCAAGTTGAGCAGCCTTGATGGCAGCAACATATCCTCCTGGTCCTCCACCAATTACAACAAGATCGGCATCTGTGATATTCTCATGAACAAATGAGTGAAAAACTAATATCAACCTCCAGAGCTGCTGTACCCTCGGGCGAGCAAGCTTAACACTTGCTTTCTAGGTAGGAATGTAGCACGTACCAACGACATTATTACCTGAAGAGGATAATCATCAATATGTTATTTTTAAAGGGTAAGAAGTGCGGTTTAAATAGTGTAACGTGAAAATCAATATGGAATTCACTGCTTTATCACCCTTTCATTATTTTACGACTTAAGCAGCAATCATTCGATCTTCATTTGCAAAAAGCACAAATAAATTAGCTTAAGATAGCAGTGCCGATCGCTCAGCCGCCCGATTCTTAACGGACTGCCACTGATCGCAGCCATGTTCAGGATTTTCGTGGTGGGACCCAGCACCTTTCCTTTTTTCTTATAATTTACTAGTGGCTCTACTCACTATCTGTTTATATCAAGTGTGTTAATACTATCTGAAAATCAGCGCAGCTGAAAAAGGCCTCAGTGTAATATTTATTGTCATAACTTTCTTCATATTCCATTATGTCAGATGCATATTAGCCGATGGGTTGTAAAATAATGGTTTCACCGAAGGAACATCTTTCTTAGTTTGGAATCTTGAAGAAATATTGAAACATTTTTAAAATCTAGAACATTACAAATAAATTCCTGGATGACTGATGGTGAAATTAGGATCTGGGTTTTCAAAATTTACCTCTTTCTTCCAGTCGCTGAAAAATGGGTGAAACAGTAATTAAAAAAGAACTAACAATATGGTTAGCGTTTCGTTTTGATTTTCGAAATACATATTAAGACGAATTTCTTTGAATTGGAGCGGCTCCGTATGATAAAATGACCCATCCAAAACTCCCTACTCGCAAAAAATAGGTGAGTCCGCATAAGCTGATTACCTCTTGTGGTCTCATGACTTTCGGATGGAAAGGAAAAGCATCAGTATCGAAACCTTTTACAGTTGGATAAATCGTGAATGCTATACTGATATCCAACTTTCCCTCGACTATCTTATCAAAAAAGTCGTATGTGAAAGCATGATCTCGACTATTCTGCAGTTCTACGTCAGATTATCCCGATTATACGGTATACCGTTCGTGTCCTCCCTTTCACTGCCCAGTTACAAGTACGACAAGGAAAAAATAACAGAGTTTGCTGAATTTCTTGAAATAACTGAACCTCATGAAAAAAAAATTACCTCGACCAGTCTAGTTTTGGTTTGATGAACAACGAAGCTCACAGCTGTTGGTTGCAACTGTCGTTTAGCTTCCGGACTGATAGTTTCATATTCGAAAAGTAGTGCCCACTGAAATGGCGAGTTCAATACTGCACACTGTTCATAAGACCTCGTGATTGTGCGTTAAACTATCCATCATCGAATCATTGCTTTTTCTAATCAATGCATAACTTCCACTAATAAGTAAGCAGCAGAATGGTAACAGCCAACCCATAACTACTTCTTTGATGGAGTTAATTACGTACGTGGATAGAGCTTACGTGGATCACGTGAGTCGGAACAACCCACGTTGTTTCCGTGAATTCGAAGCATTCAAACATACAGGACGGTCGCTAACAAAAATTATTCTAATTCGATGATAAAACTTCATTTTAAAACCAAAGTTAGCTTCCGACACGAATTCAAAGAAATTAGAACAAACACCTGTACAAATTTGAGATTTAGGATTTAGCAGAGACAGGTTTCTTCATCCAATACGTATCCTGAATCGTGAAACCGTCGATGATCGAGTCGAAATGCTTAGATGGAATGGATGTGAACGTTTTTCCTCCGTAGTCGTACCTAAGTGGAAAATATGAGTAATAGTTAAAAACGACTTGTTAAACTTGAACATTAAATCGATCATTTCTTCGGTACATGTTTGAGGACCAGTGCCAACCAACTTCACAACATTCTTCTTTTGCTATAGCACTCTGTATAACTCTCTAATACTATTTGAACAAACCTCATCCCAAGTATATATGGAACGATATTGAAGACGACTATCTCGGAAAAGTACAATGAAATGCTTGGAAGACGAAGTCTCTATCTCTTTCAAGGCCTGAATGAACAATAGCAGCACGAGGAGTTTTAACTAACCTTAGCTCGTAGTCCTTCATTGAGAGATCCTGGGAAAATACTGAATTTCAAGGCATTTTGGATAACATTTCGATTAGTTTTATTGGTTACTTTGCGAGCTGATTGTTTAGCATCTTTTGATAGTGTCTAGAATGATGATAGTAGGATACCAGTCATAGCAAACTTACGAATAAGCTCTCCCGACGCTTCTCAAATTTGGCTAGCATGGCCTGCTTTTTTGCTTCCATTTTGTCATCGGGCTTAATGAATAAAACGATAGCCCTTAGCTCTTATAATAAGCTTACCTTAGGTATAAAAACATCAATTTTCTCAGCTGCTGGAGTTGAAATAGTACTATAATCTGCATTTTTTCATTCAAGCCATTACAGTTTTACCTTGGTATGGGCTCACTTGATATTTCTCGCTCACAGTTATTAGATTGATTTTCTGTACTAGCGAGATAGATAAGCTCAAAATGAAAACATACCTATATTATTATCCAAGCTAGGTGTCGGAGGCTCCACATCAGTATCTTCAGTACCATTAACAGATGTATCATTAATTTCTTCGAAGACAACTTTCCGTTTTTTGGCACTCCAGCCATTCATTTTGATGCCTTTCAAAGCTGACCTGAGGTTATCTGAGAGAAAAGTTCAGGCAACGGCAAAGAAACTTCGCACCGTTGCTGCAGCACTCGGATTGTCGCTCATGTCTTTCCTTTAAAATATTGAACTTATTCCAGAATGTTTCTGTTCGTTGAAGATATGAAGTAATCTCGGCACAATCCAGATGGTCAGTCGTAACAATCGGTGTTACCTAAAGGGATCTCAATCAAGAACAAGAGCTGAACCATGATACACCTTTTCGGTAATTGTTTGCAAAGCTTCTCGTCCAATTTCAAACCTTTCTTCATCAGAGAGAGAGCTTAAAAACATTTATTTACGTTTGAATAGAATTTTTACTTCATTAATAAAATATGTTTTCGTTGATTTTCTCTCTTCGCAAAAACTTTTTGGTGAATATCCTCAGATAATTGCGTGAGCACGCGTCCAACGTCTTCTGCCATTCCTTTCTAAAATTATTTTTTTTATATTGAGGGGAACAAAAACTGGGCATCGTTATCCTACCATAGGACACAAAAGCAAGTTCAAAATTTATTTTTGCCGCCGTTGTGGTCGTGATTGCACATGAAACTCTTTTCAAGCGCCTCATTATTGATAATTAGAGGTACGATGGAACGATGATGTTTCAAGATCTGGGGTGAGAGCTACATAATCAATAGAACCACTGAAACAACAGAAGCATAACATGGCATTTGCCAACAAAAAAATTAAGAGGGAGTTCGCTGGTTTATTGAATACATTGGAAAGAATATAATCTATCCGTACTGCTTAGTTACTTCGTAGACCATATTGTTTACCTGCCATTAACTTATTAATTGTCGAGAATGAAACATGGTGTTTTGATAAGTTCTTTAAAATGTCTTTTGGTCAGAGACTGTACCCTAAATATTGATCGATAACACTTCGAATGCAAAAAATGTATCTTTTCCGTTCAAATGGGTTGATTACTTTTCTTTTTTTGGTTGTTCCAGATGAAACGATTCACGGGGATTCTCAAAAGCCAGAGACTTCGTTATAATAGCTCTGCTAGGTAAATTCCAATGAAAAAATGTTTCAACAGAGTATTATACTAATAACTTCTCTCAATTCTGGTCATAAAATACTATGTTTGACTCCCCAAATTAGGCCTCGTTCTCACTTGAGAATAGAAGCTAAATATTAAATAAATAACATTTCCTAATTTGTAAGTTGATTTTGCCACTCAGCTGATAGGAACCAATCGATTGAACATTCGACTATAGCATTATGTCTAACGAAGACAACGGTATCCCTTCTCCGCTATTTCTAATATAACTTTTTGTTCTAAAGTTCCGTTTAATACTAAGTCGTTTTAGAATGTCCTCGTCGGATTCAAGCTTAAATGCGTATCGAAGCAAGAGTTCGTTCTGCTCTAAAGAAATGAAAGACTTGATAGAAGGTGAAGATCATGTCGAGTTGATGGTACGTTATGTGAAAACGCAAAAGCCTACTGTCAAGAATTTAGAAAAAATTCACGGAAATACTGAAGAATGATCCTTTGTTTTCGAGATCGTACTCGAGACCATCATTAGAGGAAGCTAGAGAGATTACCCACCGCAGATGGAAAAAACTCGTAGAATACGATTTCGTTCAGGATGTACGATGAACTTTATTCTTAACTAATACATTTTCTTTAGCCTATGCTGGATAGCGATAAGTTTTTAGCCTTGTCGGAAGTGCTGGAGATATACGATCAAGGATTATCGGCTCGGTTGAGCTTGCATAGCAATGTTCGGTTACACGTTTATCAGAAAAAAATAATTTTTCTCAGGTCTTTTCATCAGCCGTAGTTTCAATGGGAACTGAATCTCACAATGAAATACTGGAAAAAGCTCGTCGAAATGAGGTAGCTCATGCTGAGTACTTTGGTTAAACATTAACACTCAGATCGTCGGTTGCTTCTGTTTGACCGAACTCAGTCATGGTTCCAATACCCAACTGGTTCAAACCACGGCAACATTGAAAGGGGATAAGTTCATTATAAACACACCGAATGATGAGGCAGTTAAAGTATGGGCTGGAAACTTGGGTAATCTTTTATTTTGTGTGATTGCATTGAGATATTTGTTATCAGCCTTTTCCGCAACTCATGCCGTGGTCTTTGCTCAGTTATACGTCAGAGAAAAAAACAGAGGTCTTCATGCTTTTGTCCTCCAAGTGAGAGATCTCCAAACATTCCAACCTCTTCCGGGAATTAAAATTGGTGATATGGGCGAAAAGCCAGGTGCTTGGAACGCCGTCGAAAACGGATGGATGGAGTTTAAAGTAATTTATCCTTAATTGAGTTTTTTCAAAACTGAGTCACAGAACCATGAAGCTCCAATGTGCTCCTTGTTAAATAAGGGATTAAAAATAACGCAAGATGGGGAGTATATAAGTAGCTATAAATCCGCAAGTGAAAGGCAATCCGTTAGTCTGGGTGCTTTATCTATAGGAAGGTTCGTCGATAGTCTGATACACTTTTTTTTACCTGCTGATTTACAGAATTGGAATAATTGGAAAAGGGATTCAAGCATGTGGATTAGCTTCAACTATTGCTATCCGCTATAGTGTATCTAGAAAGCAATTTGGGCCTCCTGGTGAAGGTATATACTTCATAAAGCGAAAAGCCAGCTATAATTTAGATGAGATACCAGTTCTGGAATACCCTCTGCAGCAGCATCGCATTTTCCCCTACCTTGCTTCACATATTGCTATTAGAATTTTTCATAGAAAATTTTTGGAATATTTCAAAGAATATATGATAAGAATGATTGGAGGCGAGAAGTCAGACGAGCTGGTACGAGTGGTCATTTTTCGTTTTAAATGTAATTTCTGAGTAGGCTGAGTTTTCAAAAGAGGTACACGCATTGTCTTCATCAGCAAAGCCTGTTTCAACATGGCTTGGGGTCGAAGCATTGGCTGAAGCGAGACGAGCCTGTGGAGGTCATGGGTAAGAGCGTTCAATTCCCCATTGGAAATTCCTCATTCGAACATTCAGCTTTTTACACTCCGCACGTTTGAATGAGTTGAGAGACTCATATGACCCTTCGCAAACTTTTGAAGGTGAGAATAATATACTTCTACAGCAAACCAGCAATATTCTCCTCACAAAGGTCTTGTAAAGCGTTGAGAGCATTTTTATGAATACAAGCTTTATAGGCAAAATCAACAGATTTCTCCAGCCCCATGTCCACATTTACCTGTTTGCAAAATGTGCCCACACCATTTTTCAGTTTCAGCCAATATCCTCTTAATGGTCAGTTCATATGCACATGTTTAAAATGCTTCCGTTTTACAGATATCTTACTTGCCTATAAATGGCTTATACAGTACTTAATTAAAAAAACTAATTCGATCTTCAATGACTATAAAGACAAGGGAAGCTTCGAAGCTCGAAACTTTTCGCAAGTGAGATTAACAACGCTGCCGGATTAATCAATTAATTGGGATATAGATATATGCTGCTCATCCTCTTTCCATCGCTTATGCTGAGCATACTATAATTTCCTGGTTCATCGAGTTCATTGCTGAAGTAGAATGCTCTAAACTAAAAAAGGTTGGAGATATTTTTTAACTTTTTTAATTTGACCAAACCTTCGTCAGGTTCTCGAACAAGTTTGTCTTCTATACAGCGTGTTTGCAATCGAAAAACATTTGATGCATTTCTACATAGGTATGGACTATTCGGGAATAATGACTACGGTTTCATTCAGGAGGGTATGCCAAAGGGGAAGCATTTGGACTTGGTATACAAGAACACAGAAAATCAGTACAACAATTGCTCTTGCCAAATATAGTCGCTTTGGTAGATGCTGTAGCGCCTGACGATTTTCTGTTACACTCAACTTTGGGAAATGAGGATGGACGGTTAGAAAAGCTCGATTTTTGAATATTAAAACTAGAAAGTTTGCAGTGCTTATCAACATTTGATGAAAGAGTTCCGTAATAATGAATTCGAAAAAGTTCGACCAGATTGGTTGAAAGATCTTTCCGAATTTTTACTTTCCAGAAAGAACTTGAAGAGCAAACTATAAAACATGTAATCTTATATATTTATACTAAGTTAATTCTGTACAAAATAAAACATTTTTGTATTTTACAAATTTGCTCTGTTGCCGTTGACTTCACGAGCTCTCATTCTCCAGATATCCTGAAAAAACTCGAATGTTGGATGATTGCAACTTTGTCGATCTTACAGCGTAATCAAACTTGAACTCTTTTGCGCTCTCCTTTCCGAATCTTCTAATGAACTTAGCTCTCGCTATTTCAATTATTTCCTTTGATAAATCCTGAATATCTTCAATAATATTAGGCTGATCTCTTTTATAACCTCTTGTGTTGTGCCTTCAACGTTCACATAGCGACACATGTCATCATTAGCGTAGTGACATGAGATTGCTTTGCGAAAACCTAAAAAACTTGAGGTTTTGGTAAAAAGTATAGTTATACCTTCAGTTCTGTTCGCTCCTGATCCGTGAATGAGAATAGGGTGGAAAAATACAGTGTCTCCTGCTTCCATCTCGACATGCACTCTAGGAGAACTTGGGTCGTAGTCTTGAATGCCATGGTAAGCTTTGTTCACACCGCCCTAGGATAACTTATTCACTCATCTAACAGAAATCGTTACCTCCCATTCGGGATAAACATGAGGGAGCAATGTTCCTTTATGAGAGCCTGGTACCACAACCAAACAGCCGTTAGCTCGGTTAATCTGAATTTAATCAAGTTTGACTAGAGCTGCATCTCAAAAAGTACTTTCTCCATAGCAGTCCAGGCACAGCAAATATAATCTGCAGGACGGAAAGGGAAATAATGCAGATCTTGATGCATGGGGTGGCGAGATGTTAGCTTTCCTTAAGTAAAAGTGGTATTGTATAATACTCTTATGGAAAACCGTTATCAGGTGGCTTGTTAATAAGCATTGTATGCATGGCCAAGAGATTGGACTTTGAGGTTCCAATTAGGTCTTTCACGACGTTAACAATCTGAAACCAATTATGATTCTTTGAAAACATTCTTATAAAACCGTTGGATATTTGCAATAGTCGAACAAGACTGGATCATGCTGGAAATCCTGCACTTTTGTGATAGCCTGAAAAATTTTCACTCAAATTGAAAGTTTCATTTGAACGGAACCTTTTCTCCCGAAAGGAATTCGGACTTGGCAATGGAGACATCCTTCATAACTGTCATATCAGAAGGAACATCTTTTTTCTCACAAATAGCCTTAAATGAAGCTCATCTTGGATATCTCACAATCGATTACCTTGAAACGATTCTGATACTTAGACAACTCTTCCTTTGAAACACAGTTCTTAATCACAATGAACCCATTCTTGTCATAGAACTCCTTTTCCTCACGAGTGAGGTAAGACCTGTTGTTTAGCCACTCCTTTGTTCCGTACATCAATGGCACTACATCAAATAAATTGTTAGAAAATCGAAAAAAAAAGTTACAAAATGAATATAGGGAAAGCAATGGAAAATATAAGTAACCGTTATCACAGTCGAAGGTACATAGTTCACTTTATGTAATAAATTACTAATCGATACTCCTCAAATGGTAAACAACCCTGATATTTGTGTTGTAAGGAACTTTAAAAGATTAGGTTATGAATCAGGAACGAATGAAAATTATTTTGTTTATTATTTCTGTCTTATTATTGAAACAGAAACCAGCTTATCTTTAGAAACTTGTCAGGCAAAGTTGGCCAGAGAACTCGACCAGCCACGGCCATGTCCGATCTCCAAAGTAATTGATCATATTCATTGAAATCATAAAAGAATTCCATGACAAATATAGTTTCCAAATGAAGATTGATAAAGAAAGCACGTGTTTGTCCCTATCGATAAAAGATTTGGAATTGCTCATCCACAACGTCGTAGACCATCATAGGTAAGCACTACTTACGCAACAGAACATAATACAAGTATGATGCGAACCATGTGAATATTTTATTTTTGTTTCAATATAGTTTATTCAAGCTTTCAATTCAATTAAAACTTGCTGATTGAGTAGTAATTTATGATTATCTTCTAAAGTTTTATAATCTTGTTCCTTCATGAAGTTCCCATATTGTTCAACTGTCTTGAACTTTTTCACTGCTTCGAACTAAAAATAATCAGAAATCATTGACTATCCGTGAAACTCACTCTCAAATTGACTAAATCATAGATACAGCTCCATTTTAATACATTGTGAAACCAGGAAGTTTTGTGAGTTACTTTTATCGAGTCCAACAAAAACTTTTCTCCAAGATCTAGAAGCTTCGCTACTTTGAATCTTTTAGCTAAACTCAAGATGTAAGAAACATTCGTTTCTGAAAAAGCAAAACGTCTGTAAGAAATTAAACATTTCTACCAGAAATCATGGAGTCTCTGTCATACAGCAGCTCCAAGAAATCATGAAACTGATGTGCATCTACATCAGCAAGATTGGGCGAATCACAAATGTTGGAAGAATGAAACTTCAGAAACTGGAACAAAACTGTACTATCACCTTGATTAAAGCTAGGAAGACTTACATTCTCATTTCCATACAGTTTAACCTTGTCTTTATCAACAGTGAACTCGAAAGAGTTTATTCCGTTCATATCATTTTGGAAGTTGTTCACCAGAAACCTAGAGAACAACTAGACATGAAGGAGGAGCGGAACTAGCATACCTCTGTTCGGACACTTCAACAATAGAAAAAGGTATGCCGATTGTGAGACTACCGGTGACGGCAGTGGCGTCCGCAACGTTGCAAAAATGAGATTTGTGGGAATCAACCTCATTTGTAAATTTGATTTCTTTATCAATATGCTTCAGATAAAAATGACATAGGTTTTCAAAAAGCCTCTTACTATTGGTGGAACTGTGCTATTCACATCGCCCATTTTTAAGGAACAGCTCCAAGGACTGTTTTTCCCGATGAAAGCTCGACATTTGACGGAAAGATGGATCTTCCTTTTTGCCGTGTTGCATCCATCATCCATATCAGCAAATAATTCGAAAAAACTATTGGAAACCTCTGTTGAAAAAGCATATAATCACTCACAACGTGAATCGACCTTTCGTCTCACTTTTACTTGTACAAACTCGGCCTGAAACAATATCTCTGAACACGCCGACAGTCAAATCGAGAGTGAACTTAATAAGGCAAGTTAGAATTTGAAAACGATAATCCTTTCCTTACCTGATGATCCATGATTTATATTAACCTGAGGCAATTGATTATAATTAATGATTATAGAAACAAGAAAAAAATATACGGGAGGATCGCTACCTTGTTTGAATGAAAAACAGAAGCAAACGAAAACATTTTAAACATATATGGTTATGTCGCGTTCACAATTTCTTCCATCAAATATAATTTCATGCCCTCTGACATTTCCAGGTAGCTTTCAGTTTTCATGAACTGCTTGGCTTCTTCTTTAAAAGAACTACGCGAGCTTATTTCTTCCTAGAACAACAAGCAGATCACGATTGATAGATATATAAACAGTACAAACCACAATATCACAGAAGAATGGTAGATTTCCACTCGAACTTGCAACGGTGAGCAGGAATGTGATAGAACATTCTCTGTCTTTTGTTAAGTAATCCTTGCAATCCTCTATTAATTTGACATCACCGAAAAAGTCGGCAATCTCAAACATTTTCTTAACATTTGCTCCTGAATCGAATGCTTTGAGTATTTGATAAACGGAAACTTACGATTAATCTTAAAATCCTGATCATACCAGTATGTTAACACATTTTCCATTTCATGAGAATAGTTAAACCTGGGTTCTCTGTATACTTCACTAGCGTTCAATAAGACTGGGCTGTTGAACCCAGCTATCTGTATAATCATGTACCAATGTAGTGAAAATATTTTCCTTACCGCTCGGTGCAAGAAAGCAACTGTGCCATCAGGGAAAAGCATCTGCATATCACAAAAAGGAACAGAATTTCTATTCAAGAAATCTAACTTTCTCTGTCGTCTATGTACAAACAATTCGAATAATTCAAATTTCTAAAGTTTACCTCAATCCTTCCAGATTCTTAACGATGATCACTACCCCCATTGTGACAGATGGCTTTGGAATTAAATGAGCTATTTCATTAATGTTCAGATTGAATGTTATACTCCTCTCATTCTTATTAAACTTTTGATTCTACAATTATTGATTATGTGATCATTTAATCTTACTCACATAAACATACAGTGAACTGTAGTCCTGTGTCTTTCGTGTTTATTTTCAAAAATAAATCAGCCGTGTATTGCCACTTCTGAAAACGATCTTCACTTTCATCTCTGTAGGAGCACCACCTCGTCGAAGTAGAAATCAGTGCAGTTTATTGGGTTACACGTGATTTTCAGATTCATTCGGGAAGGCTCAACATCCTCAACACTCGCCACCCTGAAAAAAATTGATCACTTGCTTCGACTTGCAACTCACCATCCTGCTTCTTCAATATTAGCTGTTGATTGTTCTAAGCCTTCTTGCGTAAATATGGCCGGCTTGGTGTTGCTGAAGCGGATGGTCACAGGAACTTTGACCAATCCCTGCATAGCTGATGAAAAAATAATATCAACTTCCTGGAAAATTAAAATGAATACAAACAGTTATGAAATTTAATAATCAATAAAGCATAAAGGGGGGTAGGGGCTACTACTTACGAAATATTGTTGGCTCGTACCCAAGTTGTTAAACAACGTCAGATGAGCGAAAATTACAATTGCGGTTTACAATAACTTTTATGAATATCTTAGAAGTTCATTGGAAAAAATTTCATTCTTTTATTATTCGGCTCACAGAAAGAAGAAATCGTTCAATTGATTTCTTCGTTATCACTTCGACTAGTGTCAGCATTTCATAATGCTCCAATAAGTGTGACTCATGAATACAGGGATCGCCTAGCACCACCATTTTTCCTTGTCTTTTCTGATAAAATAGAGGTTTTAATAGCATTGATTGGTTTACGTAAAAGGTTCATTCGAGCCTCCTTCCTATGATACAAGCCAGCCCCTATGTCTTGAAGACGAAATGAGGGAACCTCCGAAATCGAATGTATTCATCATAATGAGATGCCATAATGATTTGCTTTTGAAATTAGCAATTGTTCATAAGGTAACTATTAGAGGTATATGACCATCTGTGTATTATATACTTCGCAGGCAATGTCATGCTGTGTTCTGACCCTTTCAATGTTGTCTTCCAGACTAAGAAAATGCTATTCGGGAGTTGTAGTCAGCTAATATGAATCCTCAAACAACAACATTAACATATATGTTTTCATTCTATAGTTTGATAAAGCTTTCGTTTTCTTCTTCAAATTCTTTTCCCATATGCAAAGTCAAAATCGTAGATGGCTGACAGATGTCCGCCACTGGATGAGTAAAAATCGAAGGCCACACACTTACTTCTTATTCTCTTTCTAGTTTTTATAGTTATCAGTTTTGAAACTTCTCATGTATGTAAAAAGACTCACCAATATCCTTTACGTAGTTCAAAAACAGTTCCTTTCTAATGACAGAAATACGATTTAGAGTAACAGATTAACCTTGGATGGTTTTAACTGCACACTTCTCAAATTCACTCTTAACAATAGCCATCTTTGACTCTACCTAAGCCGCCCAATATAAACAATCGCTACAGGGCGTCCATAGTGAGAGAAGTAACCGACAAATCTCAAAAATTATGATATCGTTGATAGCTTTTTGAACTACGACCACATATAACGTAAATACATTGTTCACTTTGTTCATATTACGTACAATCTATCTCCCATATTTTGTTCTAATTCAAAAATTACTCTGTTCGAACCATTTCACATAATACGATTTGTATAATACAATAGGAATACTTGATCAACAGATTATCTTCCATTTAAACTATTTTCTTAAGTTGTCTTGTTCCCGAGGGACATTCTATTCAGACATCTGAATCACAATTGACTATACCCAAGAACAAGATGTTACCAGCGGTTCAGTCTTTGTTTGATTCATATCCTTCTGATGACTAAAATGTGTGCCTGTTGCTCAAGAAAACCATACAAATGGGTATTTTCGGCTACTTAACCAGATGATGCTTTATTCTCTAATACGGTAGAGTGATCTACACCATGATTTGTCCGCATGTCCACTTGACTCTTCAAAACAAAAGCTTTGCTCTCTTCTATATTTTTGTTTGAAAAGAAAATCATAAATTGGCCTTTCTCATCATTTTTTCTCACTTCTTCTTCATCTTATAATATTCTTACTGTAATACATCTGGTTCTGCTGAGCATTTTCTTATTCTGGATATCGCTTTAAGGAGTCATTTATTCAGTGATTTTGCTGGATTGCTAAACTTATCTGCCGTTTTAATAATAAGTTTCCAGAAATATTTTAAATTGTTTATGTACATATTAATGACCCGTGAAGCTGGTAGTGTGATAAACATATAGATCCGTATATTTATGATCTCTTCTCTAGCAGTTCATTATACGTTACCTTCGGCATACTATCTCAGCTTGATACTTTTTTACTTTTTTTTGTTTTATAATTTGAAATTATCTGTAACTATATTGCAAATGTTGATTTATTCTTGATTTTAGCTTAAACAGCAGCTTAACCTCATTAGCATATCATTATTCCTTTACATCCTTCTTATGTGGCCCACGTCATAACCTAAGTGGTTATTCTAATGTGTCTATATCGTTCATAAGAGCATAGATACGCTCATACTGGTTGGTTGCTTCCGGCTGTGCTTTTTTGAAATAATTCTTTTGTTGAAATTCCGTAATTAACATTGAGAATTTTCATATTTTGTTCGGCGACATCAGACAAATTAAAACTAAATCCCGTGAGAACCGTCTTGCATCCAGCATCGGTTTTGCTGTCAGCTGCCGGCGGTCGGATCTTTTGTAGTCATCATACCCATCAGATATAATCTTTCTATTTCCATCCGGAAAATATGTCGTAAAACCTTCAACCCGTAATCATTCATATTCAAACTACTATAATTTATCCATTTGTTGCTCATTCACAGAGTTTCCAGTCTAATGAGGTATATATCTTGTGTGACGCCTCCAACTCATACTCATACGATGCTTTCTCACAATATTATATTATGAAACATTATAATAGACTGGCTAGAACGTCAATGTGACAATCCATATTACGTAATCTGTGTTTTACTCACCTGCATCTGCTTATTTTCTATCTTAATTCTTTCGTTCATCTCAATATTTTTGGCACCTGCTCAAAGTAATACTAATCCTCTGATTGTACATCATGTTCTACAGATTCGCATCCATCTCCAACCGTGAAAAATGTCATAGGACAATAAGGTCATATGGCAATTTCAAAGGTCAGCTAAGGATTGTCAAATAATCTCATATAGTAGTATATGCAAGGGTTGTAGGTGTGAAAAGACTGTTTGATGATGTCATGCGATAACCGTTAATGCTTCTCTCAGCAAGTTATTAATGATGTTCCTCTTTTTTTCCACTTTAATATATCAGAATATTATAAATACAAAGAAGATATTAAAGATTTGTTTTGACTTACACTTACTTATGCTTTAGTTATTCGAATGTTTTGACTAAGATTTTATGAATTTTCTCATGATCATTAGCATTAATCAACTAATTTTGTAATTAATTCTGATCTTTAAAGTTATTTCTTTGTGTTTTCTTTGCAATTACTTACAATTCATGTCACTCATATTTCTTTTCTTTATTTTCATTCACTCACCTCCTTCATCAGCGACCCACTGAGCATCACATTCAATATATATCTGCTTTGTGCTTAATATGGAAATGTCTGGGTCGTTCATATCGCAACATGAAGCAGTATTTACCGTAATCTTTTTGACAGTATTTTCCATGTGGACATACCATTTAAAGCAGATGAGAGTCGTATGTGATTTACAAAGTAGCATAAAAGCCAATCAACTCGAACACAATAGGATATAAACGATGACGACGGAAGAGAAAAGGATATTTTGAAGAAAAGATGGAAAAGAAATTACAACCTGCTGTGATAATGTATTCCATAATAGGTGTGAACGTGTATTGCCTAACAGATGACTTGACACCCGCTTTAATTCTATTTCATTTGTTCCTCAGATTGCCTTTTCACAATCCCCATTCCTATTTGTTAATGTGAAATAGTTCTTTTTCGTTCTTCAAATTCTCATTTGAGAGCATTAATGTTTATTAATTTAGATGAGTGAAGGACCAATCACCAAAAAGGTTCGTGTATGGAATCCTGCAGTAGAAGAGGATGCGAGCAAATATGCTGTTAGCTCTAAAAGTTCTAGTCCTACTCAAGATAATTCGTTCGATGATTCCGACAATTCTGCCGATTTTGCAAAGATCGCAAATCCCATACTACCCATGTTTTTACAGGTAATTGGGTAATGACAATGATCACACTAACTCATACATTCAGAATTATCTGAACATTGCACCATTCATGGCTCGAATGCAACAACAACAACAGCAAATGGAAAATTTGATGCGGCAACGCTTGATGAATCCTCCTACTTCTGTTCCCACACAAGTGAAAATTCAAAAATCTGCTATTACCCCAGTAATACCACAATCCGTTCCACCGCCAGGTAATTTGTGAAAATTATTGGTATATATACGAACACTCTTTCTGCAGTACCTTCCTCAGTGTCGGCAGTCAACCCTTTGGTCGCCAGTGCTATGGGTGCTCCCGCAGTTAATGAAAACTGCTGTGCAATTTGTGGAGCAGTTTTCCGATTAACAACTGATCTCGTTCAACATATGCGAAATAATCATCGCAGGTCCAGATTCAAGAGAAAGAATGAGAAATGTATGGAATGAACAGATTTTGTAATTAATGAATGCTTTAATATAATTAAGAAAATCAACATTTCATGTTTTATGAAGTATGACTAGTGTATCTTCACTAATGTGATAAGTCTTAAATAAAATTTTATTTTTTCCATCAAGAAAATCCGCTTCTCTTCATTATTTTATAAAAAAAAAGATTCTGCTCAATAACAGCTTTAGAAATCGCCCGTGAGCCAAACATGAAGCTGATTAGCATGGCCAGAATTAAACGGGATAATGTACGTTGCAAACTAGTACGCTGTAGTTTGCTAACTTTCAATGGTTTTTAAAAGAGTGAATACAAGTCCTTCTACAAAATAATCATACAATACAAGCGCTTTTTATTAATCTGCTAAGATAGTGAAAGTAGCATTCTATACGGAGTTTGTAGTATTGTAGTACTATAATCTACACTTATGAAAGTTGACAGAAGTTTTATTCAATCATTACCACTGAATTAATTCAAAAAACAGTTTTTTTCATGAATAAACATAGTACAAGGGGGGGATGGGAAGAGGCTACTACGATTGAGGTAACTTCGTGAATTTATAGTCCTTAGCATTCACGTCAACGAGCGTTCCAACATTCTTAATAACACATCCGTATTCTTTTGGAATCATAGGCTAGATAGATAATTACAAAAAATTCCCGTGTTATGCTTTCGCCTACTTTTGCAATTTTCATTCCGACATCATTGACCAGCTTTACAGTGACTTTGTTGACAGCCATTTTGTATGCGTTTTCATACACATTCTTCTTACTAACTTTATTTTTCTTATCTGTTTTGACTTTGTTTTGAATCTGTTTGATTGTATTGAGGAACTAGACACAGGATGTACTCACCTCTGTCAAATACTTCTTCAATGTTGGCGCTGCAATATCTAACGCTTTATCCACAAGATCCATGGCAGTATTTTTACTCCCACTTTGTTTCAAACAAGCGTCAACTGAAATTTTTTATAATTGTAAGAGTGTACTTGTACAACTTTCTGTACTTTTGTTATTAGCATTCAAGAGAGCAGAGTAACATCCCAACCTATCCGTGTTACAGCTATCCATTGCGCATGATTTTCCTTCTGAAGAAAGAAGTTTTAATTTATTGGAAACAGCTTACTCTCTTTGGTTTCGTTATAAGGTTTAAGATCGTAGATCATGGGATCAACGCAACTCATAAGCTGAAACAATGAATATTCTGAGAATGACTGAACGACATACATCAGCAATTTGCTTTTGTTTCAAAATTTTTAAACCATATTCAATTACAGTATTAGCAGCTTTTGCTCGATTAGCCACATTTTCGACTTGAGCATGTACTACAACAGTTATCAAAGCCAATAATAGGAAACAAGAAGAGTAGTTAATCATGAATAGAGTAGAGCAAACTGATGTTGATGAAACTAACACATAGAACACTTTATATAGATAGGCGAGCTCAATAGCATTCTCATACATCCAAGGTATAAGAAGGGTATTATCTTCTATCGCACAAGTATTTGGAAACATTAACAACTTGTTTTTATTAATTTTATTTTCCGTTAAAAAATATATATAATTCGTCAATAAAATATGAACAGATTACTTTATGAAAGTGATTTCAATCAACGCCGTTAGCTAGTTTGATCTGCGAAGTTCAAGAGAATCAAATACAAATGATATCGGGCGCTTCATTAATTTAAAATTCAAGGATGGTTTGTAAGATTAACCACAGATGACGTATGCTTCTCCGAATAATGGGCTCTGAGCTTTTTGAAGTTTCTGAACTCTTTGTTAAAATATATTGTAATTAGTCTGAAACATTATATTTAGAATTTGTTGAATGATTCTGTTTTTTACCCATCGATAGAATGAAGAGTAATCCATGCGTATCCTGTGAGAGCATATTTCACAAAACGGTTCTCAAAGTAGTTAACAAGTATAAAATACGAAACGAGTTCGATCGCAAAAGCAAATGCTTGAGTGCAAGCTTGCTTCAAAAGATTCGATTCATTCACTCTTTTTGACTGTTTATTTTTGGAATTCTAAAATATTCAAGTTTGAATTGAAATTGTGAAGCTTGCTCAATACCCTTATTCTTAAAGCAGCTACATGGCAAACGGTTATGGTGTCAACCAAAATGATGATGATCACTGTAGCAAAATCCTTCACAAAATCACCATACCACACAATTGTATTACAAACAGTATTGTTGATGAAGTTTAAGCGCCAATACTCATTATCATAATACAGATGACAGTTTACTAGAAAAAAAAGGAAGAAAGGATTATGTTATTAGAGAGTTGTATAGCATCTCTTACCAATGCCATAAAGAAAGATGCACGTAGCAACAGATATGATCCATGTGATTATAATTAGTCGAGTAGTATTTGTCTTACTGAAATAGGATCGGGCTTACCGAGAAAATTGACTTTGTTACCTGAAGATGCGTTCGTAGTGTAAGGGTAGAGCTACCGCAGTAAGACGGTTAATGGAGATAAGCAAATGACAATAATTACAAACATCATAACATATAAGAAGGAATATCGAGAAATAGTTCGCTAGACCTTTCAGAAATTCTGTTTCCCTATGAAATAAACATTATAGAGCGTTCTTGCTCAAATTAAAATACAAAAATACTAATGGAGAAAAATAGAAGGCGAAAACAGATAGAAGAAAGGCTTCGGCGGTGGCTTGAGCTGCAGTCAGTTGTCCAAACGAGTTACGTAACGTTGAGACTCTTCCAATGAAGTAAACCACGTAAGTATTTATGAGTACGCCCGAAAAGGCGGTCTGTAAAAGTTCGTTTTTTTTTAGAGAAAGCATATTTGGCTACTTACAAAGAAGGTAACAGTTGCCACCAGCTGCGAGGCGATCATATCCATTGGGAAATTTTCTGTTAAGGGCTGGTTCGACAGAAACGGCTTATATACAATGACTTCAGAGACAGTTAGAGCTACAAAATTTGGCGTTGGAATTATATTTTAAAACCCCTACAAATCTTTTCTTGTTCTCAAAGTTCATTGACCATATTAGATCATTAATTATTAGTTAAATACTTTTGAAGAATTTTATGAGCGAGAAACATGGAAATATTTTTATTACTTGGGACCCATGTATTGTGATTGCATTCCTGCTCCACCAGTGTTTCCAGATCCGAAATAAACGGACCCTCCGGGTGCTGGTACATTTCTTGGAGATGGAAGTGCACGCTCAGGATTCGGAGGGAAAGCAGCCCCACCAACACCACAATAAACGGATTGAGCTCCTACAAAGGCATTACTATCTGTTACTTTGTTCAACATACCCATGGGTTGTTGAGGTTGAGAGTAAGTGACAGGCTGTGGAGCAAATCCACCGACAGCTGTTCTTGTATCGTCTATGAAACATTAATTAATGCAAAAAAAGGTAACGAGTCTTACCAGCCATAGCTTGCATTTCTCCAAGTGCTGTCATAGTAGATCCACCAGAAAAACCACCAGGAAGAGCAGTCATAGTTGATCCACCACTCATGCCTACTCCGGGAAGAGCTGTCATTGTTGAACCACCACCCATTCCACAACCAGGTAGTGCGGTCATAGTAGAACCTCCGGCCATATTTCCACCGGGAAGAGCGGTCATTGTCGAGCCTCCATTAAGACCAGCTTAAAGAGTTGAACTGCTTATTAGCTAAATATTTTTTTTTACCATCTAGAGATACTTCGACGACTTGACGGGAAGCGGCAGGAGTGTACCCAGCTCCTATGTTACTATTGAAAACAGAAAAACTTGAATATCGTACCTGGACTTGGCATGTAACATGAAGCTGCAGCAGCTTGGTTATTTACTCCAACCCCCATATAGCACGATTGGGCACCAGAGCTTGGAGCAGAGTATCCTCCAGCATTGCTTGCCACAGGTTGGGAGGGTTTAGCGACTCCATTAGACTTAGGTTGGCCAGGAACACCGAAGTAAGCAGATTGATCCATGATTGTACAATGAAACAGCAAAAACTGTTTGTGCTATTTATACTAACTTTAAGCGTGACGTGGCCACGTGAATAACGTGGAAAACAACCGACAAACACGTGAAAATCATTTGAACTCACTGAAATTTTTTTTCAAAACTTCACTCTTCTTTGTGTTAATTAAATATTCTAAAAAAAATTTTGATACTAATTGATAACTTTATTATTTACAGTAATTTAACATGATACTCTTAACGTTATAATAACATCTTCACGTTCAATCGTGTTATTCCAATCATTTTCTTCATTTCCAGTAAAATCTACGACCTTTAAGTTTATAAATAAAACAAAAGTTATGCTGTTTTTACCAACCTTGCCCATAACAAGAGTTAAATAATCAATTTTGTCTGTTGCATTAAAACGCATAACTCTCAGTAGACAAGTACTGAGAGGCTCAACATAACTAAAAATTGGGTCGATATTATAAATGTCATTGTCCGTACATTTGATCTACAACATACGATGTTAGACAGAAATAGATCAAAAATCTGCTCTACCTTAAATACGCATATATCGTTTCCTTTATTGTAAACAATAAATGATTTCATTCCTCCAATAGATTTAAATGTAATTTCGCGTGGGTGAATATCAACATCTCCTTTTAAGCCTTGATTTTCTATTTTTTGTGATGATTGACTTGCAGCTATAGCAGCAATTCTATCAGCTTCAATAGCTGCTTGAACTCGAAGTTGTTGAGCTGTTGGTTCAATGATTCTTGTTCGTTTAACAGGTCTTCTAATCCTATTTGAGATTTTCAAAAGTTACTTCAACTATTGCTTACAAATAAGATTCCCCAAAGCTCTTTTTGACTCCACCACTTCCTGATTCAAAGGAAGATGACTGAAAATCGTAGTTTCTACATTCATTTTGGTCATTTACCGAACACAAGCTCGAGCTACGAGATGAATTAGCGAAATTCCTGTTGGCAAGTGAAACTTGTGCCTCAACGTGATATTTATAAAATCTTTTTTGGAAATTATGTGAAAGTTTAAACTTGCACTTACTATTTGCTTTTTACCACATCCAATTATTATTGAAATAAAGACAAAAAAGGTGGAAATGGTTCCAAATAAAACCAACCACATCATCAAAACAGAAGACGAAAATGAAATTACACGTGAGTGTCAGTCATGAGATGCTAATTACGAATAGGTTTCGGCGAGAAGAGAGAGAGAGAAAAAACAACAAAATCAGCTTGAATTCTTTTTGAGAAGTTTGCAAAGAAACTTAATTTCTATTTGAAAATGAAGTTTTTCGTTCAGCATAGTCAGAATTCTGTTGGCTTTATTTGAATTGAAACGATCAATTTATTCAAACAAAGCCCATCTTAAAGTTTAATTTTTGAACAAAACCGTTCATTAGATTAGAAGATTGTTTTGAAAAACTTTCATTATGTTCGTCTGCAGTCTTTGTGTGAAATAGTCTGTAAATATTCAGAGAAAGTTTCGATTATTCTTTGTTTGAAGTTTATTATAACGTTGTAGTGTTTCTAATGTTGTTTTTAAGCTTTTGAAATATTTTTTCTTTGAAAATTCTCTGAATCGTCGTTGTTTAATCCTTTGTAGCTTCTTAATGAAGGTTCAATTGGAAAGCTTAAGCCATGAATGAATGAATGCTTTAGTTCAAAAAAAGGGAAGAAGAAGAAGAAAGGTGGTTCAAATAGAAGAAGAAGAAGAAGTGTATGTATGGAAAAAAAGAAAATAAGGAAGATAAGAGAGAAAAGGAGAAACGAGGATGAACAGAAATGTAACGGAGGTTAGAGTGCAGGATGAGAAAATCCGCCGAAATCTTCAGCTTCTCCTTACTTATTTCTTTTTTTACGCACAAAAGCCTTTTTTTCTATTAGAGTGTAGGAATGAGCATATGTAGACACAAGCACAAATACACAACATGTTCACACGTTTTTGCCTCATATAAGGAATCAAATACGCTTCTTCAAGTTCATTGTTGTTTTCTGGCTGTTGATGCTTTGCTAAGTCAGTTTTTCTTCATATACATTTGCATATTTATTTTGGTAAAAAAGTAATTTTTCTTTTGCCAAGCAAGACATTTGAAAGTTGAAGATTTATGTCTGCGTCTCGCTGCTGCTCATATGGACTTCATAATTACAATTACTTGATTTATCCAATTGCTTAGCAACATGCTTTTAGTAGTAAAACCAACTTCTTTTTCTTTTCTCTTCTTCCACTCTGCTATGCCTCTCCGTCGAGTTGTCCCCCTTTTCTTCCCCTTGGCTAATTAAAATTCCTTTTTAGTCTACGTTTTTCTTTTCGTCAACGACATATTTCCTTTAGATTTTTGTCTTACCTGGCCTCTATTAGTATAAAGAATGTCTTTGTTATTATAGAGTGACATAAGACACAGATTATTTGACGTTTTTGCAAATCAATTTTCAGAAACATTCACCGAAAACATGTAATATCGCATCAAACTTCAAAAGTTTTGTTGATTTGTAAGATTTTAATGAATTTTTAACCTTTTCTTGGGCTCTCACCACATACACAGCTGCGTTTAGTGTCGTTTACTTACTTTCTTTTTTTAATTTTCTAATATTATTCGAACATTTTCATTTAAATTCGATTTATTCATAAAAATATACTTTGACTGATAGAAATAAGAAACAAAGTTAAAGAGGATATAAATTGAATGTGATGACAGAGAGAGTAAACTAGATAGTTGAGCCTAGAGAGGGAAAGAGAGATATAGATGGAGGAAATAGGAAAGGTCTGCGTTGGGTGGCATATTTTTACTTCAATATACGCTTCTATTTCTACTTTGTATGTATGTGTGAAGACGAATAGACAGAAGACTTTTGCTTCGAGAAGTTTGGATTAGACTTTCTATCCTTCTGAATTTCGTTTGTCTTTGTCTCCGTTTTGATCTGACTTCTCTGTGTGTTTCTTGAACATCAATCAATAACTTCTCGTCCTTTAAATGTTTCGAAATTTAAATTTGTCCTAATATAGCTTTTTAACTAGTGGTCGTTTCTAGAATTTACTGTAACTAGAATGGATGGCGTTTGCATATCAACATCCCTTGGTCACAAATATTGCTCTTCTCCCTGTTCATAAATCTGATGATTCAAATTTAAATAAAGGAAATAGTAAGTCATATGAGTTTCTATCGTTTTTATAATAATAGTGAAAGAGATGTGCATCAAGTGACACCTTAAGCTTTTTATAGCAACTAAAGTACTCCATGGCATCATGGAACACGTTCCCACTAGATCACAACTTTTAAAGATGAACGTCCTAATTGAGAAACTAAGAAATTCATTTCGAGTGAATAGTTAATATGTATCAAACACGATAGCAAAATTAGTTCTTTAACACTCATATTCTCATACATATTCTGTGAGAACTTCAGAAAACATTTATTGATATTTTGAGGAGAATAGATTACTTCAAACATACTCTAAGCTTCTGCTGGGCTTTTGTTGTTATTCAATTATTTCTAACGCTTATGGTTGTTAAACCTGGCAGAACCCACTTTCAACAGCTTAGCTTCCTGCCAAATCTTATCCCCGTATTTACAGTTTATTCGACTTTTTCCCTACTTCCTATTATCCTCGTCTTAGCAGTAGTGCTGGGAGTGTATACTTTTTGTAAAGTTCGAAGGTGTCGTGAAGAGAAAAAGCAGGTTTGTTTAGCGTTTTTGAACTTGATCACATGCCTCCTCTTCAGATACTACATTTGGCAAACTTCTATGATTCAATCGAGTATCCGAATTATTGCGAAAAAGGGCTGCTTCCCCAAAAGGAATTCTTCAATAAACTCGAGAATAAGCAGAACGCGACTGGAGAGGTACTCTCATTAAGTTAGCTGACGATAAGACATTCAAAGCTATTTCAGGACTTTGACAGAATAAGACAAGCTCTAATGATTCCGCCAATAGGATCATCTCCTTTCTACCAACCTATCGGAACTCAAAAAGCATGTCAAGCAGCAGTAGCCAATTCTGTAAGACCATTTATAGTCCGTAAAGTCTGAGATTAGTTTGCAATCAATTTTTCTCTTACTTTATATTGTTTTTATTATCATTATATTATTCATCACTCCATAATGTGACTGAAGTTCATGGGTCTCATTTTCAGCTGTAATTATTCTTTTCAGTGTCATATAGAACTTTATATTTTATTAATTAGATATTCGCATTAACGTTTAAATATCCTCCTACAATGTTTTGAACACAAAGCAAAGGGTGGTCAAGCCTCCCTGATTACAAATACATCTGCGAACGGTTCTCAGTTTTCCTCCCAAAGAAGGCAAAGAGTTTTCTAAAATAATCCTTAGAAAAATCTCGAATAACTATGAGCTTACGTAAACTTCTCTTATCATGAGTCATGACTACTATTCGCCCCCCTGTTCGAACAACTCTATGCCATTCCAAAAGTAATTTTGGATAAGTAACTCTATTATCACTAACTGACCCGATCTTCTTTCCGAAGCTAAACTTTCTTGTGTTTATAGACTTTAAAAATTGGCTCACGGTAAATCTGTTACAATAGCATCAACACTATTGTCGAGAAGAGGTAAATTCATAGCGTCCCATCTTAAAAAAGAGACTTGAGCTTTGGAATCCTGAAACTTTAAAATCTTCACTTGGCATAAAGCTACTCTAACTTTTGCATTTTCATAACAACGCTCGAGTGCCTTTTCATGATTGTCTCCGGCTATGAAAGTGCATTGAGGGAACGCTATGGCTCCTTCTATGGGAATCGATCCTCCACCACACATAGGGTCAACGATTATTCTATCTAATCAAACTATAACTCTCTAATTCGTTCCTGAACACCCACTTTTTTTGGGTTGGACAAGAGACACCATACAAAAGCACATGGTGGAACGCATAGTGGTCGGTCCAAATGCGATAATGTTACGGCAAAATAAGGATTTTGCATTCAATGATATCATAACCGTAACCTAGAAAAGAGAAGAATTCGTTCTTACAATTCTTAAAATTAACATACGGTCTCATTTCGCACGCTCAGAATAACTTCTATGTTGAAGTTCTTCATATTTGGTTTCCAACCAAACATGTTATTCAGCTCAGCCCCCATTACTCGAGCTGCCTCCATGGATGAAAATTGATGTAGCTCTTTTTCGCCTGTTCTGTTGCATGTTACTCTGAAAAGGTCATTTCTGAGTCAAGTATTAGTAGTACAAACCTGAAGGTAGGTACGTCTGCTGTGATTTCCGTATTCACACCAGTTTCTTCATAAGTTTTCATTTTTACCTTCAATATTTGTTCAAAACAAGTTCTATGTGTAAACTTTACCATTAGTCCCTGGGATCCCCCAGAAATCTCTTCTCCGAAAGCAGTCTGCCAATATTCAATACCCTCTGCCCAATTTACATATTTTGTCGTTAACTTGATTTGCCTCAAAGCTTCCTTTAATATAAAAGTGAATAATTGACCAAAATAATGTTTTCAAATCTTTGAGATTCAATAGAGATGAACATGAATGAGTTTCAATTCATTTACTTCGAAAAAAAGCTCAAGTGCACAGCCGTGTAAGCAACTCAGCATCAAACAATGATTCCAACCCACGTTTCACGTGCACCAATCTGTTTTTAAATTCACGTCTCACGTGAATTTGAGTCTCGTTTATGCTAATGAGCAATCAATTATACCACTCCTATTTGCAAAACATGTGGAACTTACGCTATTCTCCATGCTCTGGAGGTTTTTCATTTCTTCCGAATATAAAATGGCATGCAAATTGTCGATGGACCGGAGTTTCAAGCACTTAACGAGTCTAAGTTCATTATCAGATATTGCTCAGACCTCGGGAATATTCGAAATGTCTGTGGAAAAACAAACAGCACCCCTCCTTGTTTGAGCATTAGGATCAAATCTATTGATCTCCTGCTGAGCGACTTCTTCGAAACCAGTAATGACTGTAGCCCATAGTTGCACCATAGCTGATACAGAATTGAAGGATGAAGGATTACTTGTAATTATAAGTATTCCAGGTCCCTACCAACGAAAGAGCACAAAGATAACAAATCCTATATTAATTTATTGCGATTAATAAATAGTTTCATTTAGAGAAGTATTCATACAAAATATAATAGGCCTTTAAGGAAATACAACAACCAAAACATCAAAAATATACTTAATAATAATACTGAACTACTTGTTCACAAAACTAAATGAATGAAAAGGCACGTGCGCTCAGACCACTAGTTTTTTTTAAATATAAAGACGGTATTTGATTTGCACGAATATCCCAATGTGAATTATGCAGGTGAAATAAAAACAGAAGGAAATGCTCAACTCAAATCAACACTTTCTAAAAGGTGGATACGTCTAAATTTACAAGAGGAATACGTAACGAAGTACAATATAAGGCAAAATGTTCCTACAAAGGAATTACTCATTGATGTAAGTTTAATACCCTCTAAAACAAAACTTATGAAAATAGTTCTACCTCGTCTAACGGCCATATCCATCAATTCACAAAGCCATTTTCTTAATATATTTACAATTGAAAGAGATTTTGACAGATAACATTAGTTGGAAATTAATTGTGAGCTCAGCTGAGATTCAAACTTTTACTTATAAGAGAATCATTCAGACTAGGGTAAATTAATCATCTAAGGTTATACAATCAGTGCCAGTTGCCTGAAAGAACGGCATGATCTGAACAGGGGGGGTATGCTTTATACCTTAGTAGCTTCTTTGGTTACTTCTCCGTTTTTGGGATGTTGGGTAGACAAGTGAGTCTCAAGATCTTTGTAACTCGTACATTTGAAAGAACATACATCGCAGGAGTACCTAAATTGAGAGCTGATGAAACCAAAACGAGAATGGATGAATTACATGATTTCTGCTGAACATAGTTTAACTTGGTGATCGGCTACAAGATGTTGTAACATGTTGAATGCGTATTGCTTCCCACACAGTTTGCAACGTCCTCCATCTTCTTTCTTTTGTGCCTTTTGCAACAAATCAGCGGTTACTAAGCCATGCGACATAACCAAGTGACGTTCCAAGCCTTCATAAGTCCAGAAACTTGAAAAAAAATACATTCAAATGCAATCTGTGAAAATGAACCAACCGCTCTTTGCATCTACTACAAGCTAAAGGAGCACCTTGAGACATATCAGATGCCACCTTTCCTCTCATCTGCTTATGATGAACCTGAAAAACAGTTCTAATATTTATTTCGGTTAAAAAACGAACCTGTAAATGTTGCAGATACTTTTCTTTATCGGAGATTGATTGATCGCATATTTCACATGTACTTCCAGTACTTGCTGAAGTAGTGACTCCAGCGGCAGCAGCAGCAGCAACGGCAGCAGCGGCATTTTGACTCTGTGGAGAACTAGCAGCAGCTCCTAATAGTCCTGCGGCTGCAGAAGTAAGCATTTTCATTGCTTGTGAAGTGAGCTGAAAATCAATAGGATCACTATTTAATATGTTTCATGATAAACCGCTGGGAATTTTCGCAAAGCTTGGGCTTGAGCCAAAAGCGAAGCAGTACTCATCTTTGCACTCGCTTTATTTAAAGCTGGGCTGGCAGCAGCCGGTGTAGCTGTACGTATATTATTAGTATTAGATTGGGCAGCGGCCCTTTGAATGTGTTGTTGCATAGCTGTAAAGAGCTTGAGGAAATATCTGTTTCAAAGTATATACCTGCTATTAAGTTATTATTATTGAAAGGAGAGTTCTTCTGGTTCATTAGTGCCTTAATTGATGAACATGAGTACAGATCAAAACACAAATTACTTACTCCTAATTGACGAAGCTGTTGCTGATGCCTCTGAGCAAATTGCTGCTGAATCAGTGCTTGAGCAGCAGCGGCATTCTGAGTGTTAGTGCCTGTCATATTCCTCCTCATAGCAGCTTGGGCAGCAACAGATTGAATTTGAGCTTTCTTCTGAGCTTTCACATTAATACGAGTTTCAAATTAAAATGAACCTGATGCGCTTGCGCCACTTGTTGTTGTTGAAGAATAGTGGGGTCAACTGGAGGCCGATCCCAAAGCCATTGATTAATCATTAGTACGTCAGCAGACTAAAATGGAAGATAAAATAAAACGTTCAGGATCACATACTCACCGTGGGTGCCATAATTTGGCGAACTTTAGTATAGTCCTTTTTACATGATTTCAAATGCTGGTCGCGAAGACCTTTCAGTTGGAAATCCTCTTCGCATATAACACATGGATATTTAGCGGGTGTGTCTTCTCTTGAAGCAACCACACAATGAGCATTCCTGAACAACATAATCTAAAACAGTTTTCAAAACTCAACTTACAAATAGTGAGAAATCAGCCGAGTCTCATTAGTATCAAACTCAGGACACAATGCACACATATACTTTCCATTTTTGTAGTGTGTACGAGCTTTATGGTCATTGAGAATCATACGTGACTCAGTTTTGAACCCGCATACCTATGAACGTAAATTAGCTAAGTTGAAACTGTGAAGCGTACTAAGCATTCGTGTAACTTGGGTTTATATGGTTCATTCTTCTTCTTCAAGGTTTCCCAAACCGGCTTCAATTGAGCAGCGACCTATATTCGTAATATAGCTTTCATTGTTTGCATAAATAACTCACTGTTTTGTAAGTTTCTAAATTTTTAGGCGTCTCTGGTAAATTTTTTGCATGAACAATATCACAGTATGTGGCTTCCTGAACTAAGTCTTGACCAATGTCCATAAGTAGCTTCGTCATATGGGGAGCAGGATTGTTACCCTGGAAATTGAATAAATATATTAAATTCTTTTTCTTTTGTACCTTGAGAGTATGGCGCTCCTTTTTCTCTGCATCACTAAGTTTTGGCCTTTCATCTCCGAACATCTTATTAATAACCTTTGACAAGGGGTACTCCGGATCATGTTCAATCAACATGTCAACAACCTAAATGAACCGTAAACTAAAATAAACTTTATTATATCTTACTTGGCTAGGAGGAAATGAGATCGTATTTGGTAGTACTAACTGTTTATCCAAAATTAGTTTTCTCACACTAAGCGGTTCCCGTTGTACTTGTACGTTAATAGCTCCTAGCAATGCATCAAGAACTTTACGTTTAACATTTTTTTCGCTATTAATAGCCTGAAAAGGAACAAATAGTAAACGAATTAATAATAAGATAATTACATCGGAAATATATTCTTCCAACTTATTTAACAACGCCTCTGGACTATTAAGTTCGGGCTCCTTCTTCTCGGAAGACTGAAAGTACATTTAGAAAAGCGCATTTAACACACTGGTTTACCTTTGAACTTGATTTATCCTGCTCCTCTATTTTTGATTTTTTCGATGGGGGTTCACCCTCACTTTTGCTATCTACAATGTTACAGTCATCATCTTCAAGCTCGATGCATTCTACTCCTTTTTTCTCGTCATCTGTTTTCTTCTTCCCTGAATACCAAGTTATTATACTTTCATATATTATAATTGTAACCATTCTGTTCGTCTTTCTCGTCGGCTACAGATGATGAGGCCTCGTCCAAAGCTTCAGGTGCAACAGATTCCCCGTTTTCCTTATCACCTTCGTCTTTCTTCTCAGTTTTATCCTCCTCGTTTTCGATCGACTCTTTCATGGCCTAAGTGTACTGATTAGGTAAATATAACATGGATTTCACTCACCTTGATCTCGTTTTTATCGTCACTGCTAGCTGTCTCAGCAGTGATCATGGATGTTGGCTCTTCCACAGTTGAAACCATTCAGAAAAATGCTACGAACAGAGTTATAAACCAGGATCTCCAGAAAAGACGAGTTCTGAACCTATAACTTGTCATTTGAGCAATGAAACAAAAATGGAACAAAAAAATAAGAAAGAATAAATATTAAAAATGTAGGAGCAAAGCTCCAAACTTTTGTTAAACAAAAAAATATAAGGTCAACATACAGTAAACACAAGGAAAAAAAATAATATCGATATGGAGCTGAAGAAGCTGATTCGTTTGAGATACAACACAATATGTATATATTAATCTTGATCACTACTAGGAAATTCGAGTTTGTAAATAGGGAATTTACATTTGGAAGACAATACCGCTAGCGACGCCGTTTGCGGCTAATAGGCGGGCGTTTCTTTTTGACGTGGTACGCAGCGAAATGTTTGAGCATTCTGCTGGTCAACAACTACAGCGTTGGATACTCAGGCGAGAACGAGCATCAGACAAATCGCTAGCGAAGACGCGTGCGCCTGGCGAACAGTGAAACGACAACCGCTAAGCGTGCAACCTAAACTCTTGTTAGAAAAGTAAAGTTTCAGAAGGAAGAGCATAACCGATGACCTATGGAATAAGCCTGATTATAGCACGTCAAAGCACGACCCATGTGGAGGAAGGGTAGACACTAGAATATGCGGGAACGGTAATCCCGCAACAGTGATGTGCAAAAGCTATGTTAGAAGTTCAGAATATGAAAACACATCTAGATTAGCATAATAATATTAAAGATATTATAATTAAATAAAAAATAATTCAAAACTAATGAAAAAAATCAAACCAGGTTGCCTAAGCAGAGTGACCACAACCATCTCAGTGAATGGGGGTAAATAGAATAAAAAGAGCGTATACGCAGCACATCGATCAATAATTCGCCAAGGAACCCTGTTAGTACCGACGCATAAAAAATTGAAACGTGTTCAACAAGAAATTTTTTTTCCAAATTACCAGAACAATTTTATTATATTAGGACGCTGATACGTTATGAAAATATGTAAGCTTGAAATTTTCGGAGTTGTTCGAGATGTATCGAAGAAGTTCAGAATGTTCAAAACTATATTGTGAAAAGAAAGTAAAGATTAATGAAATTATATATACACGCCATACTTACAGTAACCTAACATAAATCAGTCAAATTTACATGTCCATATATGGTCACTGCCAAGTTTAAAATAAGACATTACAGTAATAAGAAGTCGGTTCGTTTCTAAGAGAACCAACTCAATAAGTTGTAAGAGAAAAGTTGATGAAGAAATTTGCACGAAGAATGTTATTGTGTTTGAGCGCAGGGTGAAATATACATATTTGCGAATATTGATTGAACGATGTACACTATACATATGAGATCATGTAAAGAGGTCAATCTTGACTTATAGACACACTAGGTGTGTTACTAGAAGATCCTTGGTCATCGCCACGATTCTTTAACATTAATTTGTGTGCAGCTCTCAATGCTTCACGGAGATCATCAATTTCTTGTTGAACCTCTTCCTTGGCCGATTCACCTAACTCCTGAGTGCGTCTTAAAACTTGTCCCACTGAATTATATAAAATGGAATAACAATCCGATGAAAAATATAAACTAACAGTCATTATGGAACTTTTTGTGGTCATTCTTTTTTCCATCTCCTGCGGTCAAAGCATTATACATAGGTAGCGTTGGTTCTTGGAAGACCTGGATAAATTAAGACATAGGGGGAAATTACCAAAGACTAACTAGTTCATCGTAAAATTCTGCAATCACTTCACTCTTTCCCGTCGCTGTAGTAAACACAGGTTGAAATAGCCTTAAGTAATGGAACGCCGTCACCTATAGTGGCTAACTATTGATATTCAAAAAGCTGAAGTTACCGGTTTTTCATTCATATCTATGAAATATATCCGTATTTGTATTTCAAATTCTCCCCAACCCGTCTCTGATACTTCGAAAGGAGGCTTCTCCACTACTAAAGTCCGACGGAAATATTATCAGAAACGTAAGCAAACAACCTCTAGTTGAATTAGCATAACTGTCATGCAGTTTGAACTGAACCTTTCTTATAAACTTAGATAAATCCTCGTTATTGAAAGACCGTAAAAATATAGTCCAATGATGAGTGTGACCATCAGATTCTCTTTTATATCCAAACGGATTAGCAGTATTGCCATACACAAGGGCTTTGACTATCTTTTTTCCCTTCATTCGTTCTACAACTTCAACCATCTCTGAAACACAACTATTGTAGTAGATTGACATAAACAAAACATTCATTGTTATAAAAGATGCTTAAAGACTTATTCAAATTCTGTTGGAAAAGGAAAATTGTCTTAACGCGACAGTTTCTTTTTTTTTCCGCCCTTCAAAACTTGTTGAGAGACTGTGAGGTACAGTTCTATATGACTTACGATCGTTAAACGGGGTGTGTAAACATGGAGCAAAGATATGCTTTCACGGATTTTAATAACATTTCAATATTGAAGAACTATTCAAACCTATCAGACCACAGAACTTTTAATACGCTTGCAATTTCTCACTGGAATCACCAGCTAGTGTTTTCTATATCCTAATCCAATCGATCGGCAATGGAAAATAGATAAAAATCAGTACTAACTGCCGACTATTCCTCACATACATTGAATCTTCGTCCTTCTTCGCAAACTTATAGAATATCTTTGTTGTTTTTTTCTTTTCAAACTACTCGATAATACTTCCAACAGTCTCGTAATGATATTGACATTGGTGATTCTTCAGGCCTTGTTAATGTGCTGAGTACGTCCTTATCATCTTCTCAGCTTGCAACTTACTTTTCGGAATGATTCCTAAATGGGTAATTACTCTGAACGTCGTTATATTTTTTGTGTTCGTTCAATCGACAGTTGGTGAGTGCAAGGTGTATTTTACTTCATATAGCTTAACTTTCAGCTTCTCCTTTACCAGCCTCTGCTGAGGAAGACAAACCTTACGTGAATCAAACCGCCACCACTTTGAAGGTAATATTTTCATATGTTGAAATAAACTTAATGATGTTTCACACTTTGAAGGTAATTGTGAAAGAGGAAAAAGAAGTGACTACACCTCTAGCAGAAACAACAGCTTTTGTTGATGTGACTAATGGAACTACGATACAAGAAGAGGAAGAAGCAGCGGAATTTGAAAGGCCTGATGCTGTAGAAGGAGGCAAAGCTGAAGTGAGTCGATAAATCAAAACATATGACTAGTGAAACATTGTCAGGAGTCTCAGAAAAATGCAGAGACCGTCCCGAACGAGCCTCCAGTTCAAGAAGGCGAGGGAGAGGCACGAGAAGATATTGAGCCTGATGAAGGAGACAGCATCAAAAAAATGGTGGAAGATGCAAAAGGAAATTCTAACAACGAGAATAATGTTAATTTACAGGTATATAAAATATTATTGAAATCAAATCAGAAATATTTTTTAGCCTAACTCACAGTTTCGGGTTGAAGAAGCTCCCGATTCGAATTTTCTAACTTTTCTGATGGTAGCTACATTGTTGGTAGTTTGTATCTATATCATTCAACATAATAAGAAGAAAATCCTAGGTGAGTGTTTTGATAAAGATGTTGTCAACGTATTAATACTTTAGGTTTTGTATTTGAAGGAAAAACAGGTAGGAATGTGAGGTATCGGAGGTTGAGTCAGCATGATGATAGGGAGGATATAATTTACTGAAACTGCTCCAATGCTATAATAATCTAGAATCATTTAATCTTTCAATCCAAAGAATGTGATGAAAAAGTATTTATCATTATGTATATTTGAGTTCGCTGAACATGTATAAAAATATTTTAATAGCGATACTCAAATTTTGTTTGTTGAGAACCCCGTTGATATATGACTGTGCCTTTGAATTCAATTGATTGTTTGAACTTTCCAATAAACTTTAAATTTTAAGTCTCGAAGTTTTCCATTTCCTGCATTTTCCTTATTTTGTGATCAGAGTATCTGGAAAATTTTGGTATCACTATTCCATCAAGAACACTATTTTACCCTAGAATGGTCAGGGATGGCAAGAGAAGAACTGCACTTGCTAGATAGCATAAGCCAGGGAAAAAGCTTAATGTCAGAGGATAGACGTTGTTATAAATAGAAGTAGCTGCTAGACTAGTGATCCCTTCAAGCAATGCTATCAATGAGAACATTTTCCCTGGAATTTTCTGTTTAGGACAGCTGAAGAAAATCTCGCACCTTGTTCATTATTCATAATCAGTGACGACAGGAAAGACCTTAAGCTCGATGAAACGAACCTGTTGAACATGGTTATTGCTTGAAAAGAATATATATTTCTTTCCGTTATCATAGTTCTGATTTACCGGATACTGAATAAGCCATGAATGCATTTTGTAAAAATGCAAGCACAATGAGTGACAAAATTTTGAAGAAAATTCCGAAGACGCCCAATTGCCCATCAGATACTCCACGTGAACGGCACAATGGATAAATAGTGAGCACCTTAAAACAACAAATAACTTAAATATTCAATTTCAGCTGACTGTGAACGTGGTCAGTCCAAATGAAAGTCCACTAAACCATCCATACTCCTTATCAGTCCATGCCAATTTGAACCGGAAATACGAGAATTGAATGTCACTAAGTCCTACAACCGTATTATTGATTAAACTGTTTCGGCACGTTAATAACCGGAAAATATGAGAAGCTCAAGTCCTAGAGCCAACAAGTTAAGCCAAATGAACTTTCGAGTTTCGCGTGGAACTGCTAAAACTTCGTAAAACGATTGAATAACAGTATATACTTGCGAGAAGAAAAGCGAACACCCTACAGGAAAATCAAGCATTATGTCTCATTATGTTTGCTCCCACTTACTGGATGGATTGGTTGCGGTTGAGCTGCTTGTGAGGCGTCGATGCTCTGACGAATCTATGTGGTCGCGAGCTAGAACTATGATGTAAATCAAACCGATAAGTTGCAGAATTAAGATCACAAGAAATGTGTAGTCGTAGCCAAAAGCCCTACAATCACTAATGTTTCGAAATATTCGTGAAACCAAAGACTAACTGTCTAATCGTTCCAGAGAGTGCATAACCTATGGTACCACCAAGTCCGATTGCACCCTCCATCCCAGCAATACGATAACTGCGAGCATTTTTTCCAGTCGTTTTAACTCCGTAACTCATAGTCGTAGCTGAATAAGATGAAAAAATGACTATAATTAGCTAGAGACGTACATATAATGGAAATGTATCCGCCACAAATCCCAAAAATAGCATCGCTGATGAGAAGCCAATGAATGTTGGAATGAATATATATTGTTTGGAATATGTAATTGACTGTGCCCAGTATCAATCCAACAAAGGGTATAATGAGTGGGATTTTGATACTCCAATAATCAGACACTACAACCAAAGAAGAAGTTAATCCAACATCTGGGGTTATAACTACCTACTCCTAGAAAAAGCGTGGAAATGAGAGAAGGAAACATTAAGGTGTAAGAGGATATTGAATAGAAATGATTAGCATCTGTTTGTATTTTCTTGTCCTCATAATATGCAGAAGCGTTTGTACAGAATGTAACATTCTGAAAAGGAAAGTATTCGAGTTGATTCTTCTTATTAATATTTCTGTAAACCTTGGCTCACACTCACTTGATCGTATCGTTCAAAACATGATTTTTCATAAATTAAATTTTGAAATATTGGAGTTTTCAAAAAACTAGTTAACATGTAAATGAAGAGCGGAACTTCCATGCCAATATGGCCAACTAGACGTGAAATTACATTTCTTTCCATTCTATCTACAAGTTTCAAATTAAATTCATATAAATGAATGTTATATGTGTTTGAGGACAACATGCAAATAAAAAATAATAGAAAATATCAGACGCCTATAGTGCTTGAAGACATCAGTGTAGATAGATAAGCTCTTATTGATAAAAAACATAGCTACCGACAAAAGCACACAAAAACCTTTTCCCTTCTATCGAACATGCAAAGAACGACGAATTAAATACTTTATCATTTTTCTAACTATCACTGGAGTTTATACTTTCAATCGAGAAAGTTGTAGAGATATATTGAATACAAGGTGTCCTAGTTTCACACGCTGAGATTCTCTTTTTTTGAAAAGAATTAAGTGAGAGTATCTCCGGGGATCGTATAAGCAAAAACACAGCTGTATGACTTTATCAAATATGTTAATCTATATAATTTTCATAGGATTTGATTGTCAAAAAAAAGCCTCATAGGTCGATTACATCTATTAACGTCACTATAGCTTGTCCAATGAGGTGGAGATATGAGAAATATAAAAATTATTTGACAAAATATCAGGTTAGTGTGAAAGATCGGAATCATAAACGATTTCAAAAACCCATCAACCAAAAAAACAGTGAAATTTTGTTTTTTTTCAATAACCACACGCCTCTGTGAAAAATACAGGAAAATCGATAATTTTACAAGGTTTAGGGTGCAAAGAACATGAATTGTTATAATTGAATACCTTGCACAGGCTCGAACACAACCGATCACCATGAATTTCATGCTCAAAATGAAAACAACCATGATCAGTTCACGTGAATTTCCGGGGGTCCCCCAGAAGTTATTTGAGACGCCGACACAAAAAACGGGTTAGGATCGCTTTCTCACTATATCGAGATCTCATACCACTTCGGATCATTTTGTATAATTAAGTTTTTTATTTTCGCAACATTCCACACCTGAAACTGGTATTCAAATCATATTAATCCCCTTTCTGAACCCTCAAAGTCCATTGCTATAAATACTTAATTGTGGTCAATTATGATATTACTTTTTTCTTAAAAAAATGTATAGAGTGTTTTTGGAATTTTCTTTGTTAACCACCTCGTTTGATTGTTGAAGCCTTAGTTCTTCTGAAAACGGGTGTCAGGTTAATCGTTATGAATAGAAGGAAGCTTGTTTCTTCCTCAAATGCGATGTCCAGGACGAGACTTGTCAAGGCATTGTCCTCACTCACATTTGTAAGAATAGCCAGACAAAACGATAATCGACTAGACAGTTTGAAAAGTGCGAAGAAGAAAGTAATAGGGATGAGGAGAGTATATGAATTGGCGACTTAGACTTAGGAGTTTGGAAATAATTAGTGCACTCGTAGGTCATTACGTGTCATAGTAGAAATCTTCCGAGTCATTCAGAGAACGGTTGAAGTAACTATCCGTATATATCTTCAACACGATTTTCGATCTCTTTTTTTGAACAAGAATCTTTGTTTTCTTCTGCACGTTTCGTCTTGAATTAACGCTTTTTCAATTATTGTAATATATTCTGAGTTCCGTTTTTGTCATTAAGATTAGAAAACCAGTCAAATCAGTTATTTTCGTGTGTATGTGTATGTCGACTGTTTCACAGCGGCAAGCAAAAGCGTTAGAAGAAAAGGATGCAAAAGGGTGTAGATTAAGAATGCGAGTAGAAGATGTTTCTAGTAGTGAGAGTAATACGATAATCGAAAGTGAGAACTTTTACTGGGAGGTTGGACAGAAGGCGGATAATGGTGATGATGAAGAGAATAGTGGGAGGAAGAACTTCTGCGAAGAGTAAGAGCGAGGCAGGATGAGAAGCGTTAGATGAACTGTATGCCTTCAAGCCAGCCAACATTCAATCTGACCGACGTTTGTCCTCATTTCATCATTATAATCGTTTCTTCCTTTTTAAAGCTCTCTTTTTGTAAAACCCTTTAGCTGCGATGTCTCATTCAGGGCACTTACCTCTTTAGATCGTCTCCACCCTATTACTTCAATTTCGAAGAATTAACTGGTCGCAGCTGAGAGAACTTCGATGCAGCTTTTACAACTTTCTACTTTGCATAAAATACTTTTTTCGTATCAAGTTTGCTTTTGGCAATCCTAACGTATGTAAACAGTTTTTGCTGATCACCTCACAAATCATGAACGTCATTTGATTCGTTATTTCGAAGGACATCTAGTAGAGATTTATAAATGTTGTTTTCGAAACAATTTCCTTCAATCATCTTCTCGCTCTTCAATATTATAAACATTGTTTTGTTGTGTTTCATTTGAGGTGCTAGCTTATCGTTGTCGATGATCTCATTAAGCTGCGACTAGCCCACCTGATCTTCAACCAGAATATTTTAATCGTTCTTCTTAATTTATTAACGTTTTTTTAACGATTCATTTCTCAATAATGTTTGTTTTACCTAATCTTAATGTTCATCTGCTTTTTTTTGGTAAAGATAATTGGCTGAAGGCTTTTGAGAAGCATTTCTCACTTGCAAGAGCGCAGCCCTACCAGAGGCCAACATGCAACATTCTCATATATTCATAATTCTGTATAGTAGTAAGTTCCAACTTCAGAGTTTGTTCTTAATCATTAATTTGTCTTGATTTAGTTATCGTAGTCAGAGCTAGTGATCAACATGACGATAGAAAAATTTCGTTGTTTTCACCAAGTATGGTAAGTTTTCGACTTACTTGTTCATCGTTCAAGTTTTTCTACAAAGCTTAGAGCTCTATATTCAAGTTTTATCATGTTCAAGCAAGATGTCCTTTTACAGAATAGGATAATGCACAAAGGCACAGCAGGAACTATAGTTCAATCCAGTTCCAATTCCCAAATAGAAGATAGTAGACGAAGCATTGTAGAAGTAAGAAATCTGATAAAATTCTCACGATGTGTCAAAATCTTTAGAATTCAAATGTTCACAATTTCTCACAAAAGTTCAATGAAGGTAGTCGAGTAAGAAGACAACCGTTTCAAATGATTCCCACAAGGTACTCCCATTGAGAACTTTTGAAATCAGCTGAAACCTTTCCAGATCAATTGTAGTTGATCCCATCTTCGTTGACCTGGACAACTTTCAGAACTTTAACGACATTTCTGAGTCAATGAATTTTGACGAGGAGTTTCTTGCTACACCTCCTCCACCATTTATCCCTGTAACTGTAGAGGATGAGCTCCTGGAAACAAGTTTCTCCGAATCTCCGTCAATTTTACGAGCTCAGCTACCAAATAATCCAAGGATCTCGATCTTCACAACTACTACCCCTGCTCCCGTCACGTCAACAACAACAACAACCACTACAACAACTGAAAAGACACCAGCATTAGTTCCCACAACTCTCAAGATTTTCGAGGACAGAAGAACACAAATTCAGCGTACCAGTGACTTTTCATCTCATTTTCCAACCCCGAAAATCGAAGACATGACAGTCAGAACGACTCTTCCAACTTCCTCTACGTTCGGCATGCGAAAATTCATTTCAACCTCCCCATTCCCGATCCCAATGCCTATGGTCATACCTGATGAAGACGATGATATAGATTCATCTGAGAGTGATAGCTCAAGGTTCGATCCTGAGAGTGAGGAAGGCATACCATCTTTTCCAATCAAGCGAGATGATAAGGAACACAGTGAAATATTTTCCGAATTGACTACTACAACTGAGAGAACAACTATGAACCCTTTATGGTGGACGCCTCGTCCTGCGTTTATAGGTCAAACATCAGTACAGCTTTTGCAAAAAAAGCAAGAAGAGGTTACAGAACTTAACCACACAACGTTGTTATCCTAATCGAACTGTTACAGAACAAATCAAGCAGACCCATTGTGCAACTATCATTGGATCAGCAAACTTCACCTAAACGCCTCTCTCAATGGGGCCGAACGCAGCCATTGGAAGAACGATTGCCTAAAAGTCGTTACCACAATACGGAGAATACTGTTTTTGTTGGATTACCGACGGTTAGCATAGTTTGAACGGCTGTCTTATTTAACCTAATTCAGAAAAAAACATTATCGCTTCGTCCTCATCGTTTACCATCAGTGTCATCTCGTTCATCATTTCCATCTTCTAGTTTCAAACCACAATCATCTCAAGGTTTGTTTACAAGTATTGCAACATGGTATGATAATTTGTATTTGAGGGAGTGTTCTCACGAGAAATACAGGAAACGTTGCAGAAAAAGAAGTCAGACAACTATGATTCTTCTGTTTTAATGCCTTTTTTGTAGATCTTAAAAGAATTAGAATCTTTGGCCTCACGAGTACATCTGAATGATTTGAAAAACGTTTTCCAACAGAAGAAAAAACATTCTGATTTTTCGAACTGGAATAGAGAAAATGTACTGTTTTTATGAGTTTAGCGAAAACTGTTTTCTTTGCTTTTAGGTCGACAACGAGTTAGTATCGAAACGAAATGCTTTAAGACAGTTGGAATTACTCAAAGATTTACATGAAAAACATATCATGCGAAATTTGCCACATCTTCCAATCGCATCAGGTTCTTAAGAATTATCTCTTTGTAATTGGCAATACTTTGTTTAGCTGAGAAAAAAATGGTTCCTAAGGACATTGATGAATTGGATTTGGCATTGAAGGAACTGGGCTTATCTGTAGAAGATTCACATGAGGATTCTATGAAAAACGTTAGTTGTTAACTTCGGGAAATCTTTTTAACTGCGTATTTCAGATAAACGTATTAGGCGAAAAGCGCACTCTCAAACAGGTTTACATCTGAATTTGTAACGCTGAGATCATTTTTTTTCTTAGGGATTATCAAGGAAGTCGATTTCATCATTGACATCGAGATATAGAATTCATAAGATGAACAGTGGAGTCCAGATATTCGAGAGGAATGCCCAAGACAGAAACGTATTCTGAACTCAATTTCCTAATTTTCATTAACTTTTTTTTACAGCTGGTACACGGATACGGATATAGTGGAAGGAAACTAAATAAACTCAATAAATCTAAAGCGTTCCGAGCGGTTCCACCATCATCGCCTCAGCGCAGTAAAAATTAAAGTTCATTTGCATAGATTCACGTAACGTCAATGACATAGCAATCTTTAATCCGTTATGTTTGAATTATTTTCGGAATTTAGATCGTGTAGATACATCCGCTGTGCTTTTAGTTCCTTATAGTATTAACAACACTAATTATTCTATATTTAAGTTTATTCGGTTCCTGGATCAGAATTATTGCCTTCGGTCGCGCGCTCTGAAGTGAAAAGTGTTGAACAACTGGTGCATTCTTTGAAGAGAAGAGATGAGTATGTGATCATCTAAAATGAAATACGTTTCAATGCCATTTTTCAGCGCATCAAATGTTTGCCAATTAGCAAAGTGTAGTTTTGAAGAAGGAGATTTATGTAATTGGGAATCATCTTATGATGAGACTACACGAGTACGAAGAACCAAACGTGAAAACTTGGTATGTTTTCAAAACAAAACTTCTTTGAGCTATACGTTTTTATAGAATGATGAAAAGTTTTTCGTGATGAGATCTTGGAGTAACTGGTTGGGTCATAACAATACTTCTGTTATAACAATAGATAAAGCTCGTAATTCAAACTTTTCATACGCTTCAAGGTTATCAATCTACTTTCTAGCTATTTTCAACGAACTGAACAAACATTTCGCTGGAATCGTATTGAACGCTCAACAGCGCGGTTCGTTAACTTTACGAGTGAGTTTTTGCAAACAAAAAATTGTTGATTATATTGTAATTCATTAAATATGCAGCTTAATCATGAAGAATCATTCAAATTACGCTTTCGTGGATATGATGTAAGACCGGCTACAAAGCTAAAGGTGTGTTGTGACGAGTCATGCTTTGTGTCAAATCGCGATCCTGAACAACATCGGTGGAAAAAACTTCAAGTGGAATGTCCTGCTAGAACACAACAGGTTGATATTTTTGAAAAACTTAATAATGAATAACAACTGATTTTCAGATTTCATTTGAATGTATGAGTGGTGGCCCTTACAGAGGTGCTTGTGGAGTCGATGATATCTCTATATACTCGGATATATGTACATAGAATGATTCATAGACGATGAGGAACGGAAGAGAGTTTCATGATTGTTTAGTTAATTAAGAGAGATAGTCCTTTATTTTCGTCTTTGAACAAAATATGTTTAATTGTTTAAATTGTTCATGATGATCACCATTTGAGGCCATTTGTATATCAAAACTATATGACACACACTTTCTTTTAAATAATTCATTTAACTATGTTTAATTGAGAGTCATGCAAAGATATTTATATAAATCTTCTATGACTGTAACCGTTTATTATTTAAAAAGCTCATCATGACACAACCGCTCAATGCGTAGCTTAACAGACAAATGATGGATCATGGCGATATCGTAATTGAGATTACAAGTTCAAACTCAAGGTTTAAATTTAAACATAATATGTAAACAATTTACAATGTTTTCTTTGCATATACATTTTTCCATATTTCAGCCAAACATACGCTACTATGAAAACGATAGAAGATAGTAAGCGGTGAAAAGCTTCGAACTAAGAATACCCAACTTTTTTTCCCGTAAAAATCTGTAAATATGATGATAATGTTTAAACAATCACAAATCATTGCTCACCAATAATAGCTTCTGATACACCAGCTTTTTCACTTTCAAATAAGTTCATAAGGAATATAGCCAGGTTTGCAGCCAATAAGAATGTTATTGCTTGCTTACCTGGCTGACTATCCCGATCCCATACGCCAACACGCACACGGTTGGCCAAATAGAGTAAAAATGTTTGCATTCCTACCTTAAAAACATAAGGATATGTTGAAAAGTGACCGGCACGAATGATTTACCTGTATTAATCTAAAAATATGTACAAATAATAACAGGAATGTTAATGGTTGCCAAGCCCCATCTCCAGTGAGTCCTACTAATCCGGCAACAGAAAAAATAAGTTCCCCGACTAACCCAACTGTTAGCAGTATTTGATCTAATAACTCCTGAAAACTATGTTTATATGCCAGTAAGACAGGAGATATCGACTTGTTCTCTTGGAGCACTTGCGTGTTGTTTCCGATTAGTATAAGTAAGAGCTCTCATTTGATATATTGCTAAACCACATCCAATGGAAGAGAAGAAATATTGCAAAATATCAGTGACGGCATAAGCATAAGCGGCATGCTTTGTTTTTCCCAAAAACGAATAACCATAATATACAATAATGGAGGTAAACGTTGTCGCCAAGAAAGCTAACCCCAAGAAAAGACCTGAACAGAGAGAAGTTGATTGAAGGAAACGCACTCTTGTATGTCAACCTGTTGTAGTTTTACTACAATCAACACGAATTTGATGTTTTCGTTTCACATATGTCCCACCAAAATCGTGACGACCAATGTTTCTCCATACAATATACATAACTGCTGCTGCTATCAAAGAGTATTCTACTATTGCCGTGAACATAACTTCTGATAAGCTTCCTGAAACAATTTCGCTCATAACATTGGGAAGAATAATAGAGATACCTAATATACACTCAGCCGCATGACATCGTACTATATTGAGATCACGATGTTCGAAATCTTCCTCTGAAGAATCGGAAAACGACTTGTTCGTTCGGTTATTAATGGATTTGAACACTTCTCTATAATTATTTACTTTAATTTCAGAAGAACAACATCCGTTTACCTTATCTCCTGCTCCATTACTCCTTCTTCCATAAGCACGTATCTAATCCAAGTCCACAGATTGGCGGCGATGAGATGCATGGTTCCAGCCCTTGCGGCAAAATGTGATCCGGTGATGGAAATCTAGAGCATCGAACTCAAGAAGGAAAGTCTACTTTCTCTTACTTTCCAGTTACAGAATATAAAGTGCATCTGAGTGAATATGAACACTATGGCGCATATATCCAAACCGATGTTCAAGGAGGTACAATGTGCATCAGCAGAACATAAGAAAACTAAGAAGGAGTAGTATACTATTCCGATTACTCCAAAAACTGTAAACATAGATTATAGTTGATATGTGTTAGTTTGGTCACCTATAGCTCCTAATCTTAGAAATAAACTTCCGGCTGCTGGACTATTGTGAGTTACTCTACGGACAGTGGCCGCAGCTGATGAAGTTGAATCAACGGATTGACGGTTTGCAGATGATCGGAAAGCATTCTGAAAAGTTGGAAGTATTCTATGAAACTAGTGAAAGAAAACTACTTTCACGGCATATACAGTAGAATACCATCTTGGATTCAACATCAGAACAACGTACATATAAAAAAAGAATAAAATTGATGCTCCGTACATATAAATTCCAAAAATCTGAAAGTTGTACCATGATTGAATTCAATAAATGAATGCGAGTACCATATCTTTTAAATTAACTTTCCGTTCAGTTTCTCCGGATAATAGATGAGATAGTTCGAGAACTAAAGCAAATATTGTGAGAAAAAGACAATAAAAAGCTGTCAATGCTGTTAACATTGAATTTCTGTAACACGTCAGAGGATCAGATGATAGAGAAGGAATACTCTGATTACTTTGCTTGTTTATTATGGATCCACAAATCCTCCGCACTTGGCATATCGTCTTTTTCATTTTCGTTCCCTGAACTCTCGACTGATACGAGAGAACCTTGACGAAAGACTCCATCTTTTCTAGGGCTGAGAGAAGAAGCTGATTCTATAGTAGGCCGATTTGGAACCAGAGAAGCTTGATATGGATTCAAGAGGGATGGCAAAACCTGATTTATAGGGTTAGATGTCAAAGCATCTAGATTCATGTTAATCTGAAATTTTGAACCCCTCAAGTTATTCCATCAGTTTTTGCAAGCACCTGAACATCATCTGAGTTCATTCCTTGTTCGTCAAGTTGTTCTTCTTCTATGCGATCTTGGAGCTCGTCGGGTGGTTTGTTCAAGCTGAAGTCAAACAACTAAAAAACTAACAAAAAATTTAATTTACTCGAAGTTTGATGTTGAAAGCCAGGCTTGCGTAAAGGATGTAGTTGCCAACGGGTCAACAGATGTTGAATGCTTTCGGGCGAATGAAAACTTGCGTTGTGGAGTTGGAAGATCAAAGCGTCCTGGACAGACGGAGAAGCGACGAACCAGCTGATGAGAGTCAGCTAAAAAATGACTGATTAACAGGTTTTTTCAAAGAGATGAGGTAAAATGAAAAAAAAACTATTATGTTGTGAGTGTGTTCGAATAAAAAGAAGCGTTTGACAATTTGTTTGAGCGAAAAATGAATTTTTGATTTTTTCATAAGAAAAGACACGAAACGCTTGGCAATGAAGTGATCTGGTCACCCCAGACAGTGGACACTGATACTTATGTTCCTTTCTGAGAAAGACAGGTATGAGCAGTCTTCCAATCTCGAAGAAAAGAAAAATAGTGTGGGATGCTTGGAAGTAAATAAGAAAATGGAAAAACATTGAATAAGAAAGATAGATGTGTGACCACGAGAGATATTCCAGATGACCGGAAGATGACCGAAAGAACGGAGAGAATTGAACCGGTCTCAGGAAGAAACCAGAGAAAGCAAAGTTCTAAGAGTCAAAATGACATTCACAAGTGCTTCTCACTTAATCATAGAATATTAGTTTTTTTGAAGACAAAAATAATAATAAAACTACAAGCATGAGTGCTGATAGAGAAAAGGAGAAAGAAATATTAAATTGAGATGATAAAAGAAGTTTTATTAAGCAGTGGCTCCGTGCGCCGCACTCCCTTATTGAGATTAGCCACAGGGTATGAGCGAGAGCTTAATACTGTCGCACTTTGACCCTTTTCTCATCAAATTTTTCTTTTCTCTCAACTATGTGCGAGTCTCTTATTCGTTTTCAAAATAATCAAGAAATCTCTTTGAATTGTTGGGTATGTCCACAATAAAAAGCGTGTATTAATAGATGTCTGGTCAAAGTGCGGGGTCATTGCATGCACAAACACACACATGAACCGAAGCCAAAGAACCTTAAATGAATCTTTGAACAGTTATGCAAATAGGAAAAGTTACAAACCAATTTCAAAAACGTATTTTGTTAAAACAAAACAGAAAAATATGCAAATGACAAGTCATGTCGGAGATCAGGAGATCGAGTGTCTGCTCATTTCGGAAAAACCGGCTTGGCCTTTTTAAGAAAAGACACCTCAGAATTCATGAAACCCAAGAGCTTTCATGTAAAACTTCATTTTTTCATTTTCACACAAATAAACTTTTTTTCAGACAAAGCGTTTGAAATTAAAAGAAACAAAAGCTTTAAACGTGTTGAAAAGGAAAAACTGAGTTTGTTTCGTATAAGGAAGCACAGTGAGACAAATAAGGAAGAGAAGAGTTGAAGTGAAGAAAACGAAGAGACTCATGATGAGAGAGATCACGAAATCATATAGATCGACGGGAGAGAGCTCCGATTGTGTGATCAGATTGTAAGCTTCGACGTTCTCTCAAACCTTCGCATCGCAAAAACAGTTAAATGATTTGAAAAGGTTAAAAGGTGACGATATGCATTCGCTTAGAGACAGAGGTAGTTGTGACGTCGAAATGGTCAAGAATAGGATAAATAGTCGGAATGCTCTTCTAAAAGGCAAATAAACTCTTTCTTCATTGCCTATTTCTTGTTCTGTTGCTCAAACTCCGGGATAAACAAGTTATTTGAGTTCATAATATACATTTTGAATTTATGAGTTATTATCAAGTGCTAACCCGCATCATCATTCGTTTCTGAGTGCTCAAAGCGACCTCTATCAGGCGTGTATGTATACTTCCGGAAGTTCTTGTGCTCTTTTACAGTTGAGCTCATGGGATTTCTGGTTGACAGGAAATCCTAAATCAGCTTCATAACTGTTATAAACAAACAAAGTGATGCTATTGAAAGAGATTATATATTAATTAAGCGTGGGTGTTATGTAGCATCATGGAGTGATGGCTGAGCTCTCAATCACTCCATGGCAATTGATGATGAGGTTGCGTTTGATTAAGAAATAGGAAAAAAATAGAATTTATTCGCAAAAACTCTACCCGTAGATGTGATATGTCATCAGTGACATCTGTAGAAGATGTAGTCTCATTGGAATTATTCAATGAAGGAGATGGCAGATTGGTTGTCTCTTCTGAAGGCTTTTCTGACTTCTCCATGACGATGAAGCTGAAATGAACTGCTTGAATGATAAAGAAATGATTCACTTTTTGGTTCTTCAAATAGAAAGTCAATACTTTCAGCAACTCATTTCATCGAACAAACGAATTAATTGCCGCAGTTATAAGAATAAATAGATAAATATTGAAAAACTTCAATGAAACTCGTCTCTGATAACTAAAATAATCAGAAATTGAGAAGAAACTAGTTCATTCTCTTAATAGATACTCATGTCCATGTACATGTACAGTAATGGAGATGCAGAAAGCATAAAGCTAAAAGTTAAAAGAAAACATCTCCGGCCCTTCCTTTAATACCACCTGTGTTCTCAGACATATTACTGACTTTTGATATTTCCGTCTGTTTAGCAACATCAGCAGCAGCAGTGGCAGCAGCAGCAGCAGCAGAGGTAGCAGCTTCTCCCTGTTGTTTTGGCCATTTCATAGGCTGGAAAAGGCTTCCATTCATGAAATTTTCTTCAATATTTACCAGCTAGTTTCTTCTTCATGAATTTTCAAAGTGAATTAAAAAGAAAAATGATTTGAACACGTATCTTCGTTCATGTCATTAGCGACACAATGCCTGGAACAAGTTGTCTGGATAGAGATCAGGAAGTATCTTTACAAGAAGATGAAGTTGAAGTATGAACATGACAAACAGAGTGATTACTTATTTTGAGACAAATAAATCCCTATCGAATGTCAAGAAAAGCCAAATTATCAAAATATTTTCGTTTGAATAAACAAACTAAGAAAAAAAATAATTTCAAATCAACTTTTGAATGGAAAGGAAGATGCTTAAACGTTCACATTGGTATCCATTTCATATTTTTTTTCCTGTCAAAAATGGCAGCTTTGTCTTCTAATCGAACTTTCATTTCATTCTCACGTCCATCAATTTTCTTCTTTCTTTTTACGAAATTTAAGTTTCATTCATTCACTTATTCTTTGTTTTTCCTATTCATAACCTACAGAAGAACAGAAATCAGTCAGAAAAGACAAAAATTTTTTATTTTTTTATTTTCATCTTCATTTACGTGATTTTCAAGGAGAAACAAATGATTTTTCGTCGCTTTTTGCTTCTTCTTCCTCTTCTTCTTCTTCTTCGAACACTGAAAACGAAAAGAATGAAAGAGCCTTCCTAACACTTCTGCATCTGTTTGAGCTTTCTAAGATCTTCTCACAAAAAATTAGTTTTTTTTCCTCCTCATTTGCATACTATGTGTTTCTGCAAACACTACGCTTTTTCAACAACTTTGTAATTTGCGCAATTTACGTGGATTACGTGAAAAAAAATTTTTTTTTTTTTTTTTATTTTTCTGTTCATACAACACTGCAGAAGTAATAGAGAGGGAAGTATCTCTCTTGCTCACCTCCTCTATACTTCCCATTCTTTTCTCTCTATTTTCCTCTTTCTTTCACTTCCCTCCTTCTCTTTATAAACAATATTAAAGTATAACAGTTGAATTCTGATGTTCTAATGAATTACAACGTAATTATAGTTATAAACACAGGTTGTTCATTGAGGAAGCCAAGTGACAGCTCTAGTTCTCCGCTCAAATCTCTCAAACACATGTAAACACTCTGTTTTAGGATTTATAAGCTTTATTGTGGCTTTTCTCTCTCATCACTCGATACGCCACATGAAAAACATAACCGTACGTATCGTCTGCTATTGCATGCAAAACATCTGATGGTATAACTACACGTGATTCTCATATACATACATGAGCGGCTGTTCTTCACGTGTCGCTTAAACAGCAAACAACAACAACAAGACACATTCATGGAGTCACTCCAACTCATTTCATTCCTCCTTCTCCACCTCCTTCTCTCTCTCTCTCTCTCTATTTCTTTTTCGATCTAAGTTGTGGTCAACACAACATAGGTTGTTCAGAAATAAAGAACGTTTCTATATTTCTACCAACTGCAACCCGCTATGAAACATTTGAAAAGATCTACTAGAGCATGACGTCATAAAGCATTTGTGAATGTTTTAAAGATTTTTTTTAATATTTTCATTATTTATTATGATTCGTATTCTAAAAAATTTAGAACATTCAGCATTTTCTAGTTGTCTGTAGAATGAAAAATAGAAGGCTTCTTGTTATTCTGTAGGACGATGGAGTGTTAAAGACCATTCTATTATTTAAATTTATCAATATTTGGACTTCATAACTACATATTTTCTTTGACGAATAACAATGTAAACGATACATCTCGATACAATATTATCAATTTACAAGACATTCTAATCAAGATCGGTCTGCAATGAAGAAGCTCCTTTCGTTGTTGTTGCAACTGTTTACTCTTACACAACATTTGTTCAATTATCAGCCTTTCATACATTTTCTTTTTTTTTCTTCTTCTCTTCATGAGCTTCATCATCTTCATCTTTTGATTCGTTGTCATTGGTTCCTCTACTACTTCCTCCACTTATTGTACTTGCTCTTCTTCGTTGCTTCCTTGCTTTTCATTCATTCTATAATCCATTTTTATATCAATTTTTATGACAAAAGAACATTTCTCTATTATTTGAACTTCTAAATGAAGGTATGAATATCTTTCTTTTTCTATTGTTTAACATTAATTTGAGTTTACATATTGAACTATTGAAACGAAGTTCCTCTTCATTCTTTAGCCTCCTTCTTCATCTCCTGCCAATCAAGATATTCTCTAAACTTTCTCTCTTACACATAGAGAAACACACACACACACACACACACACATACACATAAAATTAATTATTTGATATTTCAAAAGTTTCTTTCTCTCCACAATCACTCTTCCCTCCAAGTGCATTTGCCTGCTGCTTCTCCTCATGTGTACTCACCTTTAACCTTTTCTCCTTAACTTTGCTTCAGGGAACATTGATATTTCACGTCCTTCATTTTCGAAATAACTTGTTGACAACCATTGAGCGAAATGGCACAAACTGATAGTCCGTTTCCTTCTGTCTTCCTCGTCCCCTCCTCTCTTCTCTCTCTCTCGTTATCCTTCCTTAACTAATTACAAATTCTGTCATTTTTTTCCTAAAATCAAAGAAATAGAAATTGAAAAGATAGACAAAAAAAAAGTTTTCAATTACGACTTGAAACTCTTTCTTGTTGCCACCTGATTATGCGTACTCCATATATATTCTCTTTGAGAGCTGTTTTGCTGTGATTCATCTCCAAACTTCATTAGGCTGACAAGGTTTGTGGCCAACAAAAAAAGGTTTTTCATTTTTTTCGTGTCACAAACTGAACTTTAGTTTTTCTTCCATGTAATTGAAGAGGGAAAGACACTTGTTGTCGTTCATGGGTTCTCCTTTTTTTTCTTCCAAATATTTCAATATGAAACTTTAATTTTAATCGAAGTTTATCAAGTCATTGATCTCAAAAACCATATAGAAATATTCAAAGAAAACTTTTTTTCCTTATTTTCTTCTTCATTCGTTTCGAGACGACATATCTCATAAATAAAGAAATAACCTCAACTCGTCTCGACAGTCAATGTCAACATCTCAAAATCAGCCAATATGCAATCCGGATTTTATATTTTTTACTTTCTAACTCTTATTATTTATAGAAAATTTTTAATTAATCCTCTCATTATGCATTTGTTTTGCTATCTGTTTACCTGCTGTTTTCATCTCTTGAGCGTTATAGCTTCAAACACAACCGCTTTCGGCGTCAGCAAATCTTAAAATGATTTCACACATCAAATCACATACAGACACGTGAAAACTCATTTTACATTCGCCATCGCTAAAGAAGAAAACATTTTTCCACAAATTTCATTGAATTTTGCGTGTTTTGGTGGATACCTAATGTCTCACATCTCACCCAACTTCCATAAATTGTTCGTCTCTCCTCGAAACCTTTGAATCATTCGTATTCTAAGCCGCCTACCACTACTACCATGTATAAATACGGGAGAAAGAGACAAAGCATAGGGGCAAAACTCAAGTTCAAGTTATGAAGAAGGACTGTTGCATAAGTAAAATGGGGACTTTGAAAACTTTGCTATACACAATATGATTTATAACAATGAGCTATCACGCAGTATATGATGGGCTCTCAAAAAAAAGAAAGAAAACAAAGCTATAGGAAGGCTGGAATTACTTGTGAAATTCCGTCGATTCACTATATTCCCTGAGGGCATGGGTAAGCTTACCAAATAGATCTGAAGTCGACGACACCCACCTTCCCCACCTACCAACCCTTCGGAGACCTTTCTATCTCCTATTATCATATCTCCTATAATAATCACTAACTACTAATCTTAAAGATATATCAGTTAATTGTATATGTAAGCCAGAAATTATGTATCTCATGCCTATTCCTCGTAAGCTCTACAAAACATCTTTTCTTTTATTTAAAATTAGTCATGAGACTTCTTACATCGAAGCTTTTTTTTTTCGTTATATTTTGAAATAAAAAAAATATTTTTTTTTTATCTGTTTCTTTTTCAATCATCTGTCTCTTCTATTTCCTCACTTTTTGGTTTTTCCTTCCTTCTTCTGCTTCTTCATCGTGACTTCAGCTCTTTTCTCTCACTTACTCTCACATTCTTTTCATCTCCCTCCCTCTTTTCCTCTCTCTCTTCCACCCTCTCTCTCTCTTTTTTTTCTACAACTCTGCAATGTACGAAATCCTTTTTTTCACATTTGCAAATTTGGATCTCTTTTTTTTCTTCGTTCCACCTAATCGTTTCGTTATCAAAAGGTGGAGTTATCAAACTTAATAGACGCTCCGCCCACAATCGCTCTGCTTTCACCCATCGTATCCCATAAAGTAGAAGAATCGAAAAGTAAACACTTGCATTCCATGTAAAAATTCTTTGATGTTTCAGATGTATTCAAGATTATCTTGGATCAAAATCCACTGATTGTTGTATTTTTCATTTTTTTTTACAATTTGCCATCCGTTTTTTTCATTTATTGTTCATCCTCTAGCCCTCCCTTCCTGACTCCCCCCATAGCTTTCCTTTTTCGTCTTTTTTTCATCATTAGCACAAGTTTCTCTCTCTCTCTCTTACTTTATCAACTGTTGCAGATAAATCATGAATAATTATACTAAAACTGTGCCCCTCAATCACATAGGAGAAGATCCAAATCTCCAATCATTAATTAATGTTCTACGAGATATGATAAGAAATCCATGTGAACAATTAGAAGTATGTTTCTTTTTCCTTACCTTATTTGGCAATATTTTGACATATGAAATCAAAGAATCTTCTTTCCTCATTCCCACGAGGACATAACATTTCCAAAAAAAAAGTTAAAGAAAACACAGTTGAAACATCATGAGTACTCGTTCGCAAAAAGGAAGAGATAAAGAAAAACTTAAAAAAAACAATTTTTTTTCCAATTTTACCTCCTAACAACGATTAGTTATAGCTTTCCTTTTTTTTCAGACAAGATGTGAAGACATGCCATTCCATGTCTTTCTTATGGGGTTTGGTTTTATATTCGTTTTCACTTGGGCCATGTTTGGAAACTGTATCAACGTGCTCATCTACAATTCTGATCAGATCCGCTTTTATTTGGCTATTCGAATGTTATGTACTCGTTTAGTAAGTATCTTACACACTTAAAAAAACTTCTAATTTTACTAAACTTAATTACATTCAAAAGAAATTTGATCCAATTGCTCTATATGCCCGATCTTTAGATGTATAGTGTTTGACTCTGTTGGCATTCACTATGTTCCTTTTCTTTTATGTTCTTTCGCGAAAAGAAAGCAAAAGCAGATAACATTAATCGTCGGATGCCATTTATGCGAACCTCATCTGATAAATTCTGTTGACGTCTACACGAGTTGTTTCTCCGACAACTTGTGTTTTCATCATCGGTCACAGTTTCTGTTTCGACCGCAACACAGATATTTCCATATTGAATTCTTCTACTCTTTGTTTCTCTATTTTGAAACATTATGCAAATTCTGTTAATTTCGGTTGTTGAGTTTTCGAAGATCGCCTTCCGCCCGGAATTTACAACGAAATTCTGCATGAATGGTCAATGACTCCATTTGTTTTTTGAAATCATAAAGCTGCTCCTAAGGATCTAGGGCATGAAAACTAATTAAAATCAAATAAACAGATGAAAAAACTGAAAATAAGATGAAAATTAGTTAACCTTTGAGCCATTTCAGCTTATTAACAGCTTTACGATGGTTTCGCTTCTGCCCCAGGCTTTACGGACTATAAGCATCTGGCAGCCAAACTCAAACTTAGATCATATATATTGGGCGTACTATCCATATCAAGCTTACTTCGTGAATGTATTCGGCTTCTGCTCAATGTGGTATGTTTTTTTTTTCACCGTTCAAATCATTTTTCATCTTTGAACACTATGAGGTAACTCATCATTCTATCTTTACTTTTTAATTCAACTTTCATTTCTTTATCTCTCTCTCTCTCTCTCTGTCTCTCTCTCTCTCTGTAACTTCCCTTCAGTCATTTTACTTCATCCTCTACTTCCCATATCACTCTCTTGTACTATCTTTCTTTTTTTGGGGGGGTTTCCTCTTTAAATTTCCGTTTTGAGGGGACGTTCATCCCAAACTAGGTCTGTTTACATATCCACAAGCTGAAAACATCATTAATTCAGAAGAAGCATTTGTTTTTCATCTACCTAAAGATTCTTACGCTTTTTTCGTCAAAATTTAAAAAAAAAAGAAGGAGAAGAAAGAGAAGAAGAAGAAGGAAAAGAAACTGTCCGAGTGAAGAACGAAATAGGATTCTCATCAATTACTGTGTTTTTGAGAGAAAATAAGAAGCGAATAGAATCATTCATCCAAATTTCTTTTGTTCCGTCGTAAGTAGAATAATATATTTTTAAAAGCTCAAAACAGTAATTTTTAATAAAATTAAAAAATAAATTATATATTTTCATTCCCATTCATTATATCAGAAGTTGTAGATGAACACCAAAGATTAGACGAAATGGAAATATCTTCTCGTTCAATGAAAACCATTTTTTTTGTGATAAAAGCCATAATTAGAATAATATAGATTTGATAGAAATGAAAATGAAGGCAGTATGAGATGAAGGGAAGGATGGGAGGAGGGATGAAGAAGAAGAAGAAAAAGAAAAAAAACACGAATAACAGTCTTTTCACTATTAACACATTTCATTTCAGGATTACGGTTATGATGACGGGCGAATGTTATCTTCATGTATTTTTTCCCAGCCATTCAAAATCTCTTTGTACTAAACGGAATTTGAGAAGGTTCTTTACAAAGTGTTCTTTTTGTTCTTATTTACTATTAATTTTTCTTTAAGAAGCTATGTTTCCATTTTCTGTGCTGCATCTATTCTAGCTTCCATTTATCCACTAAATCGTAAAGCCTATGTTACTGTAGATCAATGTGGTCGGGTTATTGTTCAAATTGTTGCTTCACAAGGTTAGTAGAATAACGTATGTTCTTTATAATAACATTGTTTTAGATTCACTCATGCAAGCATTCGAACGTTTACATACTATTACTCATTTATTACTAGCTAGTGTATTACCAATGGGATTACTCATCTATATGACGTCACGTATTGTTTGGAAGCTGTTACTTCGTAAAGCTGAATTTCCTAACTCAACTCACTTCACGTAATTCAATTTCAATTCATTCAAATAAAATAATATTAAATTCAGATCAGAAAAACGTTGTGTTACCCGGATCACGTTAATAACAACATTCCTCCAGGTGCAATTCACTTTCATAATGTCATAACCAATCACTCAAGCTCCGATTCGTCCTTCACATCCGAACTAATTCTAGAGCTCATAAAATTATTTTCGAAACACTTTCCAAAAAAATATCCATTTTCAATAACACGGAAGAGCGCCATAAGCTAAATATGCTAATTAGGCCAACGTCAATACGTGGCTTATTAGCTTATCAGTCAGTTAGTTCGGTTGCGTTCGTATGCTGTGCAAAAGAAGAAATAACATATATCTTTGTGAAAAAATTTTGTAAAAACAGAAATTTTTGTAAAATTTAATTTACGATTTCACAAGCATTTTCAAAAAACGTGGGTGGCTCTCATGAGCACTTTGAAAGGAATGTCATCTCGAGAGAAGGAGAGATGAAGAAAAAAAAATAGAAGAAGAAAAAACTTTTCACTGTTCTTATTTTTAATTATTTACAGCTGTTGGGAGAACTACCTTCGATTCCTGGTTTCATATATGCAGCGCTGATTGGTCCGCATGTCGTTAATGACAAAGGTATCTGCATAGGAAACACCATCGGAGTGTTTCTTGGCTTATGTAATATGAGCTTGAGCTTCTTCGTCTACGCTATATTCTCACATAAATTCCGTCAGATTCTTTGTAGGTATGTGAGAACTGAAGATGAACTAAATGATTAATCTTGAAAAAATAATAATTTTTAATTAAAATCCATTAAATTATAGACGTTATCGACAAACGTTCGGATGCCTTCTAATTGGTACAGCTCCAAACAACGTCAGCAAGTCAATGGATTATAGGCTACAAACAGGACAGTTAACATCGCGAGAACTGCTAGCTAAATCCCCTTGTGGTAATGATAGTGCTCACATCATCGATCTTATTTCAATATGTTTCAGTAACCGATAGTTTTCTTTTGACAGAAAAATCAACCTTCTCAACAATCGACGTCGATGACACCCATCTCTGAGCTTCAATTTTCAAAACTATTTCATTAAAATCTCATTTTATTATTAAATTCAGTTTTTCTCATCAAATTATGATTAAAACGCCACTATTTCCTTGAACGCCATAATTTGATCTGAGTGCCGGGTAACTATGTGTAGATGCAAGCTAATCTAGTAATTTATGATTTTAGTTTATTATCTGATTTTTTTTTTTCGAAAAAAAAAGTACGAGTAACATGACATAATTTTTATGTTTTATTATTGTTCACGAGGTTTTTGTGCTTTTTTGTCATTCTCATTCTCTTTTACAAGTTCTTTCTAACTTGAACTTTTTGGGAAATATACTTTTATAACATGAAAAGAAGTTAGAAACTTTTAATTTTTACAAGTAAAAAAGCAGGCGCAAATAGTTTTTCAAAGAATTTGCTCGCGTAACTCCGGAACTGGATCCCAAGCAACTCGTAGAAAAATGCCTAAGGCAACAAGATTTAAGACTTCAAAGAAGAATAGGAAAAAATAGTCGAAACGTTGAAAAACACGAGCCCATTCTTGCTCAACCTTAAATGGAAATAAAGAAATAAGTCTCTTCATTAGGATAGAAAAGACAGCTTACGAGTTTCCGATGTCCTTTAAATTCACTTCGTCGTCGAATGCTTCTATGTGTTTCTGCTATCTCTTCTAACATATTGCACATAGCTGATAATTCAGGTAATATAGATGTTTTACTAGAAAAAGATATCCGTTAGTTCTATTAGCACTTATAAAGAACATACGAAATGTTTTCATTTGCATACACGTATTGCTGTTGAGCTCGAGCTCGATAGAGCGTTGATCTGCGGCGGATTCTTGAATCTTCCATCAGTAATATTTTCATGGTTCTTTTCGATGGCAATTCGCCTATAGAAATCAAAATTAATCCATAAAAAAGGAATTGATGACACCTTTTTCGATGTATTGCTTGCTAACAGCTAGGAAAGCCATCGATATGCTTACAGCAATTGCACATAAACAAATAACAATCAATATATAATAACCTAATAGTTAAGAAGATAATAAAGTTTCGTTTTTGTTCTTATTTTCATTACCTAATAATGGAATTGAGTTAGATTTAGGCATAGCACCAGCAACAATGCCAAGCAATACCGTCATGGCAAGCAAACTGCCTAATCCCAGAGATACCTGTAAGTAGAGCATGTTTCATCTAGATTACTTACTAGTTTCAATATCAAAACCGAAAAAGTGAGTGTTTCTTAAATACAAAAAAAAAAAAATTCAAGATGTTAAGCTCTAGGGAAAGATGATGCAATTGGTTTGTTAAAGCAAACTAAAGGTAATGGAATGCACAATCACGCTCAAAAACTTCCTTACGTTCTCATTTCCTCCCTAAAAAAAAGAATTAATATATATTCTATTTTTTATAATCGGGGAAATATTACAGAGAAAAGGTAGTTTCGATTGTTTCTCAGAAAATTAGATAGTTTGTTCATTTTTCTAACAAGATAATTGAGGTGATTTTGAGAAGAAAAAAAAAGAATCTAAACGAACTTTTTCATTTCTTGGCCCATCTGAATTGCCAGGGGAGAATATTCCCAATATAGATAAAGCTGATATGAGGAATGTAGGAGCAACAATAACTGTTATATAATAAATAGGACGACGTTGAAGATGAAAGATGTAATGAATCTATAAAGATCAATGAATTAGCATTGCTGAACAGTTTCTCAATGCATGTACTTCTACACGGGATTCTCCCTCTTCCACGAACGTTAAATGTCTTACAGATACATTGAACAAGTTCCATTCTGCATTACCCTGGATAAACTTATTTTTCAGTTTCTATTTTTGATGAAACATACAGTGAAATAGGAATCTTTTGGTGGCTGAGTGGCATCAACAACCATCTCGTTCACATTCAGCAATGGAGAAGCCAATGCTACAGCGCAAAACTGAATGAATAATGTGAATAGAAAAGAAGAACAAGGAAGAAAAACTTGATAATCAAATGGAAATGCTTGCGTTTCAATACGGCATATCGCAGATACATATTGAGGAATATTAACTTTGATCTCTCCATCTGAATGTAACCGTACATCAGCTCGGTTTGGGCTGAGCATCTCTTTGGTCTCCACACTTCAATATCAATATTGTACTCAGGGGGATATTCGAACTAATTCAGAATACCTGTTGTAAACAAACAACTTTGGAATCCAAACCATCGTTTGGGGAACAATCACCTGAAGATGATTTATATGTATTCTATGTGAGCAATAACAAATACTTCCGTCTGTTCTTGGAAATCCGCTGGATTCCATGAAAGACGATGATCTTTCCATCTCTGTGTATGAGAAATAACATAACTTGCCAGCTGTTGGTTTTCTCTCTTAAATGAAATTGGGGAATGATGGTAAAGAGAAAATAGAAAACAGTGACGTTTTAATGAGTAGAAAATAGAAATGAGCAAAAACCGCTAGAACTTACAAGTTCAATGAGGATTCCTAAAACAATGGACATATTGATGAGAACGGGACCATCGTTATTGGGTAAAACTCTCTTATCATAGTCTTGGAAGATTCGTTGTAGAATTGATGAAGAATCATTATCTGCAAAACTTGCTATTATTCTCAGAAAAGCTAAATTTCGTTTAATTGATGTCATGTCTACAACCGCTCATCAAGTATTATCTTGAGCAAAATGAGTTATTTTTTAAACACGCCGTGTATGCTAATGAGGACGTGTAGTAGTATCGGCGTGAACTTGTTTTGTTCCTAACAAAAGCTCTATTATCGAGTTTGAGAAGGGAAAAAAAATAAAATTGTAATTGATTTAATTATTTAATGAAACTTACAATGGCCATGAACTCGACAAACATAGCAAATTAGTAGAAGTAAGACAAAAGATAATCCGGACGAATCGAATAAATGTGAAGGCATGCTGTGCAGCTGAAAAGATATTGTGCTGATTATAACAGTTGGAAAACAGCCATAGGTTGAAAAGCTAAACTGAATCAAAAATCATAAAATAAGTTGATGATCGTTTTTCTGTCCTCCGGCCCTATAGGCGGAGAGTGAAAATGTCTGCTAGATTGGACAACAAAATCAAAAAAAAAAGAAAATATAAATAAATAAAGGATTTCTTCTCTCTTTAATACAAATACATAGTCTTAAGAGAATAGGAAAAGCTTAGGTTGTGGAAAAAAAATATTTTTTTTCCAGTGGTTTTGTGCGTTATTCTTCATTATTTCACCTATTTCATTTCAGATGACTTCGCTGTCTTTGTGGAGAACTTTTCTTAAGAAGCTAAAAAGCATTCATTCAATAACATTAAAGGTCGAGGTTCGTGCAGAGGAAAGCTTTTTTTAACAGAGAGAAAGGGAGAGAGAGATAAAGAGAGAAAAATCAGTTAGAAAGGAAGATGGAGGGAAAGAGAGATAGAGAGAGTGAGGGAGAGATCATGAAATAATTACTAGCATTTTCTCTTGCTATATCTCTGAAGGTATAAAGGTTCCGACTTGACAACAGGAAGAGCTTCAAATTTGATTTCGTAACTTCATATGAGAATGTTCCTCTGAGGGTGACGGAACAAAAATTTTTTTTTATTCATCTTAGGTTTTTTTTTTGTTAGAAACTTTGTTTATTGAAGTGAGGAGGATAAGAATGGAAACTTAAGAGAATATGGATGAATGACTTTATGATGGTTGAAGAGGACGAATGTTACCAAAACAAGCAACTAATGGAATGGCAAGTGAATTTGTCTTTTCACAGAAAAAGCTGAAGAAGCTTTAGCGCCATTTCAAAATGCAAATAGCTCTTATCGAATACATGATATTAAGAAAATAATATTTTTTCAGTCAGCTAGTGTGTGTTTTCATTTAAAAAAGGAGATGAAAAAAGAGAAATTGTTGCTTCCATTATCACAACAAATTCTGAACTTTGACATCTTAGTGAGAAGAGACAATGAGTGAGAGAGATAAGAAGAGTGAGAGAGAGAGGGAGAGAGAGCAAGAGAGAGGTACAGGAAAACTCTTTTTTTATTACAAAGTTTTGAGAAACAAAAGAGTTTAAATGGTCTCTAATGAGATGAGGGAGAAGTAGCAGTCGACAAGTAAGACGCAACCTGTACTTGCTCAGAGATAGTTTTGGTCGCCTACGCTTGAAATTTCAATTAATTTTAAGATTTACGATGAATATGTTATACGATAGCTGTATAGGAGGATGATGGAAAAAGATTGAAGAATAAGTCATAAGGCTGTCTTCATTCTCAATTATAATCTTTGGATTCTTAAAATTTCAATTCATTCTTTTTATGGATAGAGAGGTCATTTTTCTTGACAATATGATATTTATTATAAAATAATTATAACAATATAGAATATGCACATAAAACAGGAAGAGCTGGAAAAGGCTTGGTTTGAGATTTTAATTGGGTTCATACGAAGACCACAGAATGAGCAGAAATTTGGGCTTATGAAGCATCGAAAGATATTCGTAAGAGAATTCTATATAAAATCGGTTCAAAAGCATAACGGGATCCTGGGAAGAACAAAAGAGAAAGCACTTAATACGTCCAATCAAAGAGATCATTGAACTCTCAGAGAAAAACCTACAAAATAAGTAAAAGTGATTGGGCAAAGTTCAGAGAGGGAGTTCCTCGCCAACTCAAACGAAACAAGGAAGGCGTTGATTATTCACATTTCTTAAAGCAATAGGTCAGAATGAGAACTTTCTGAATGAAATCAAATTTGGTTGGAAGAATCACAAATAAATCAGTGTGGATGAAATGAAAAGCATTGTAATCCATGACACATATGAACTTTCTAATATCTGAAGAAGATTTGTCTGTCCTCGTGGACGGAGATGTCGAGCAAAATGATGTCGCGAAAGTTTTATGGAATTCTGAATGCGATATTCAAGCTGCTTTTCAAACGAAACAAGAGTTCTGGTTTCTTGAAGCATTGAAGAAATCTTTTGACAGTTTTTTGTGAACCTTAAATAATATTTTTTGTTAAAAACGAATAATGAAAAGCTGTTCTGCTTACTCTCTATCAGAAACTATCTGAAGAATGGATTTCATTAATGTTTCTTTCGTCAGGTGTGCTTTATTCACTACTAACCCAATTTTGCGAAGTAAAACGATATTTGCATTTTTAAAATGATCTGAAATATGTTTTTGTCAGTTTCTCTTAAGTCGGTTTCTTTTTATTATTCAAATACTAACCGGCGAATAAGGGCATTAACACCATTGGTTTTCCGTACATCAAACTTTCCAAGATGCTGCTCAATCCACCATGAGTAATAATTCCTTTATAATTGGAATGAGCTTAATATTAAAAATTGATTTTTCTATTGTCTTTGTCTTATTTTTGACTTTAGAGTGTTGTTGTCTTATATTTTTGCATGTTATTATTATTATTATTATTATTATTATTAATATACAAATATTACCCATGAGAGACTTCTGAGGTATCCATGAAGATGTCAAAACATTTGTTGGAAGTGGAAGAGTGCAGTTTGCTGCTTCATATTTCATGATGAAAAGCAAATTAGGAAACCTGACAAAGGAGTCAAGGAAAGTAGCCTAAAACAAGTTTCTGATGATTAGTTTTCAAAAATAAAAACAGAATAGTTTGTCAAACAAACCAGCATTTTCGAATCCATATCAATGGTTTTGGCTATTGAACCGAAGCTTACAAGTATGAATCCATTAGATGCCGAATCAGCCACAGTTTGCCAATACTGAAAGAATGAATCTTCTCAATTATGATAATTGCTTAGTTTACGTATAAGTTACGCAAGCTATGTGAACGTTGATGTTTCATTTTCGTTTGATCAGACTTGCAGATTGGTTGTTTTCATAATAACTCAAAATGATTTTTTCGAAGTACTCTTTAACGTCGCAAATAAGGTTAAGCATACTTATAAATCAGCTTTCACACTGTTTTTCATCTCATCTATCTCTGGTTTAAGCAATCATAAAACCTCGTTCAAAGATGTAACATCTTTTTCTGCGTCCACAGATATTCCTGCCAATGGTACTATCTGATCAAATGTGGGAACAGGAAAATCGAATATTGGATGAGTATTTGCCAATATAGAGTTTGCCTCACTAGACAGAAATGATAAATCTGAATGAAATAAAAACATTTGTTCGATTTTTGTTTCTTATTTTCTTCTTTTGACAATATACCTGAGTGAAATATGCGTGATTGATGAGATTGGGTTATAACAAACACTAAAGATGTTATTCCAGCCACACAAACATTCATAATTCTGTCAAATAATGTCAAATCGTTCGATATGGGCGCGAACAGTTCTTAAATGATTTTTCATTTATTATTTCATATTATAGATGTGTTCATACCCGGAGCATAGCTAAGTGGATATTCAATGTTGAATGCACTTGGCTGAGATCGAAATATTCCTGTTGCACTCAGCCAGAGCACATGTGATATTTCTAATGTTTGGAAAATTCCAAAACTAAGGAAGAAACATGTTTGAACGAAAGAAACAGATACATTACATACCCACATGAATCATATTGTTCAACAATTCCAACATCATATTGTTCAGAATGAAGTTGTTGCAGTAACTTCCTATCGTCCGAAATCGCTTCAAACATTTTGTTTCATTTTGATTTGTGTTGAGAAAATAACCTTGACAAGCTTTTACGAATATATGAGAAACTCGTAATAGCTTTGAAAAAATGTATGGATTCAATGGATTTGAGTTTTCAAATGGTCCCGGGTTTTGCCACAATTGCTTTTGAAGTAAACCACTGGGTATACCAATGTCAGAGGGAATAACCTTAAATGGCGATAGCGTTGAAAGAGAAATGAGAGAGATGGAGAGAGAGAGAAATAGAAAAACTAACGTTTATGGAAGAACTATTAAAGTGTATATTATCATCAACTAATGGTAAAAGCATTGTCTGCAAAATGAAAATAAACAGAAAGTTCAGAAAAAAAAGTGAAAATACCACTTGATGTCCGTTGGCAATAAGATGTTTAGCGATTTTTGAATTGAAAAGGACATGACTGTATGATAATGTAGGAACATACATAAGTATTTTAATAGATAATGATAATTGAATGAATAGCATAAGATAGATGATGATTTGAAGATGCATTTTTCTTGACTCAATCGGTTATTAGAGGAAATGAAGTTTTCCATTTCAATATCTAGGACGGTAGGATGCTAATTACCTTCTCGACTTCTTTAGAAAAAGGACAATAATTATAATATTGTATTGAAATTGTAACGAATAAGAGAAATGAGGACTTTCAATTTCATTCAAATCTTCCCACATATATTTTCTCTTATTATCTTAATCAATATCCTTTTTATAATTTTTTTGTTTCGTTGGTAGAGATAACCTGCTACACCAATTCCACAGAAATATAGGAGACTTAGGCCAGTTCTTCCACATGAATTGAGCGTGAAAATCAAGTGTTTGTTGAGAATTTTTAAAATAATTTCATTTAAACATTTGACTTTTTCATGTTTTTTATCTATCGAAAACAAAACAAATATCGTAATGCTTTAAGCAGCTTAACACATTCTGTTACCATCTAAGGAAAGATAAATAGAATAACATTTGCATTTCCATACAAAAATTCAGATTACAAATCCTATTATTAGGCTTCCGCATCTTATTTTTAGTAAGAGTGCGAGATGAGGGTGATGCAACCAATGATTATAGAGAGTAACGACGAACAGACACATAAACACAAAGCAGAACACAGAGATTCATAGATAACAAGATGGTGTAGGTGAATGAAAGAAAAAACAAAACGGTCGATAGAGAGTTAAAGTCTTTGACAGTCAGCTGAGTAGACCTATCATCATCAGTAGCACCCGCGCTCTTGAGCCAGCACGACAAACACCAGCAATGCCCCTTTCCACTAACGTCAAATTATAATAGACTACTGATTATTCCTTCTTTTTCTCAGTTCTTTCTCTTCCTTATCGCTCACCTGAATAACTAATTTTTTTATTTCAAAAACATAAAAGTGTAATGACTTGACATGAAATTTAATTTGATGGAAGAATGCAACCGATTCAGGAGAGCAACAAACGAAAAATGACTTCCACGTTGAATGACTATGGACACACAACGTCTTCATTAGCATATTGCGTTTCCTGTTATTACACTTCATCTTCAATCACATAATAGATTGAACTTCAAATATATATTATTTTGAACACTATGTATTAAATAATATATTAATATAGTCATATGTGCTTCGATTATTTTGCATCAGAAATAGCTTTTATTATAACACACGTGGTTGCATGTGACCTAGGAGATGGTCCATTGTCTTATGATGATGTAGCCTCATGAAGTTGTTACTTGCAATGTCACTTATTTCCCAATATTCCAGTAATCATATCGCATACTCTTATCTTAACATGGTCATTACAATGACCCATGGAGTTGATAAAAACAAATATTGTTTTTTTCATTTCATCTTATCAACCTACATGTAGTATGTGGCAAAAGAATTTTTTTCCTCTCTCTTTTAGCCAAACATATTTCATATAGTTTTTTATAGCATGATTATAGCTTTAACTATATCATATACAAGTTAAGTATAGGATAGAAGATGCTTTTATGTATTATTACTTTTGTCATGTACTTTACCAATTTTTGATCATCAAATCGAGTATTGTAAATAACTCATCAGATAATTGTCATCTTTTCTACCTCATACAGCATTGTGTCATGTTTTCGATGAACGGTAACAAATAACAAACGCTTTCTATATATTTCTTTTATTATTTAAAAAATGAAAAGCAACATTTTCGAAGGTCACGATGAACCTCATTGATTGCTTCTGGCAAAGCAAATCATCGTCTGACAGTTCATTTTCTATGCAGAAATCCAAAATTAAAATTTGCACTTCTCACCTTGTGTTCTATTTCTTCAGATGACAATCTGGGGACATCAACGATAACGAGGCAATCAGGAGAAGCCATTATGAAATGTTCTCAAATTGTTCTTCTTCTTACTTAACAGCTGCTGATGTTTCTTTTTTTCTTGTGCTCTCTCTCTATTGTTCTCTTCATTTTTCCATATCTTACACTTGCTCTCTCAAAGTATTTTCTTTCTCAATTTCTCGTACTCTCCCAAACGTCTCTACCCTTCATCGATCCGCCCACCCTACAGCCTCTGCGTCTCTCTCCACCAGTACCCCTTCCTCCCTTTCTCTCTATTCAATATATAGTTGGCTTCTTACCATTTATCGTTTTTCAGACCTGGAAAACGAACAGATCGCATGAATGCTAGACGAAAAGATTATCGAATAGTAAGTTCTTAACTTAATTTTGAGCAAAACAGTTTTCTTAACCCCGAAAAGACATGCGTTTGTTTAATGTTTCCGTCTTTTCTCCAATTCTTCACGTGATTTGTGAGTATTTGGGATTCAGCTCGGGAACTTTTATCACATTTTGAACTATCAAATAGATCAATTATGAAGAAAATAAAACAGAATTATGCAACAACGAAGTTTTTAATTCAGACTCTCGATCATCGTCAAGTAAGGGATGTTGTTTCCTCAGTTTTTCATTCCTTGATGGTCCATAGGACAGTTGCAAAAGTGAGTACTTCCTCTTTTCCCTTTTTATTCTTTTTGCGTCATTAACACAGTTTAAACTTCTTTTTTTTTTGCGAACCACATGATTTTACATAATCTTTTGCATTCGTTTGCCATCTCTTAGGTCGCGTGACTGTGGCTGCGCCAATCGGTGTTGGTCCTTGATAGAGCGTTATAAAATAAATTACTTTTATTGAGTAAAAAAGAAAAACAGTACAGAAAAATGATTTTGTTGGAAGCTCAGCTGACACGGAATCAGCTGTTAGTAACAATAGAAAGCGCTATTGATTCTGATATATTGACTTTTAACCTTTTCACAATTCCTGCTGGAATTGCAACCGAAGAAAAAGATTCAACGAGTTCATTTGTAAGATGATCTTTCTTATTTCAGTTCAACTATCGGACAGAGAATAATTACGTTCTTGGATCACTTGGTTTAACAGAAATTGATTGCAATTGTATTGATCTTAGTTATGTAAGTAGAGTTCTATGTTTATCCAAAATATTTTCCTGAAATCTGCCCGGTTTTTGATTCTTCTTCTCCAAAATATACAATTTCTTTTCGTATTTTGTTGAAATGCCGAGTTCTTTTTTGTATTGAAGGGGGTGAAAGTGAGTGTGAGATGACCTTGCTGATGATTCGCTCAGGCATATGCTATATTATTTAAGTGAAAGCTTGACATCAACGATAGTTTATACCTTTCAGGTCCGGTTAAATAGCCCTGGACTTACCACAAGAATAGAAGAAGAAATAGAAGCTTTTAGTAAAGATTTATATGATCCTTATGCCTGTAGTCCTCGACGAACTCCAGTTGGAAGCCCTCTTGATTCTGCTGGTCAGTTTTTATCACAAAATCAATAGTTGAAGCTCCTGTTTGACCAGTTTCCATCTATTTTTGATAATCACGTGAAGCTTGTTGAAGTTATCGATTATATTTTTTCAGAACCCTTCATGACTACATCAATCGGAATAGAATTTTATCAAAAGAAAAGAAGATGGTCTTTGTCAGTCGAAAGTTCTCCTTGGGAACAATGGTATCTCATTCTCGACATATTCAAAGTCACATCAGAAGGTATAACCCATATCAGGAATATTTGAACTCTTTCTCTTTCAGATGATTTCCAAAAAATGCGGGAAAGTGTGGCAAGATCTGTTAGTGAAGTCATATTGAATGTATGTTCAGTTATCAATAGAACACAATATGTTCCTCAAATGCCATCCAAGTAAGGAAATTACGAAATAATTTCTCAACTCATCTGCTTTTCTTGTAGATCGGAGTTGAATAATGTGTTCGAGACAACATTTTCCGATTGTCAGCCTTATCTATTCAATGTAAATCGTGGTTCTTCTTTGCCCGGTTTGTTTTATATGAGACATGCAATTTCATTCTATTTGCTTTAACAGGTCTGCCAACCAAATCGTCCTTTTCCACTGTTCGTCGATTGTTGAAGGATTTTGCCATGTAGCTTTTCATATAAATATGCTCCAAATTTCAAAAACCGTCTTTCGTAAGCGGGTATTCTTGTGGTGAACGTTGATATAACCCTCGGTCGCAGCTTCATTTTTGCATTTTTCTTTTTAAAATTCAATCATAATGCGGTTTCTCAATTCTCGTCATGTTTTGTTATGGTTGTGTCTCCTTTTTGTATATAATTTGTGCGTTTCACAGTTTTTTTTTCCATATTGCTATAGGTTGACATGGCCTAGGAGTTGGTTTAGGTTATGAGATTACCATGTTTCCTCCCAGTTTTACATCAGTTGATTTCTTAACTGATCAATGTAGAGGATCCTTTCATCCTAACGGAGGGAAGGATTTGTCTCATTAATCTCTTTTTGTTTTACGAGTTGAAGAATTTTTTCAATTAGAGCGTGTACATTTCATGTAATTAGTCGTTTTCGTCGTTGTCAGGACATAAATTTTTTTTTGAATCTTCGATTTTCATTGCTTGCAGTATATAATCTAACACAGTTTATCTTGACAAATTATTGTTAGAGTCACGTTGTTATCTTTACAGACTTTTTCATAATATTTAGTTTACCTTTACTTACTGGTAGGAGAAGGAGGTAAAGCTTCAATCACCATGACACTCGTACGGAACACACTCATCCTACGACCATCTTCATCAGCGAGTTTTGTTGTCGTTTCATCAAGTACATTCGACGTTCCGGCTACCAGTTCTATTCAGGTTTGTTTTTATCCTTTATTTCCAATGTTCTCACCGGATGATCTTATGATGCTGAACTTTTTAAGCCCGAGCCACCTACAGAGTATGAAATAAAGCGTCTGCTGCAACAAAGAGTTCTAACACATTTCAATAACAGAGGGAAAATTGAAGTCGACAGGTTGGCTCTTTTAAATAAACTCTTGTTTTGATGCTCTATTTCAGTTTTGTCATCCATTTCGCCGTTTTCATAGATGATCCGTGTCGTCTCGTATTCGTTTGTGTCTCAGAGCCATCATATGGTTCAGCAGATGCTCAAAAGTTTCTTGATCGTGTCCGGGTAGTAGAAATTGACTATTCAAAAAGATATAATAATTATTTCTAGAGTCTCGTATTGAGCCAAGCTCAACTTATAATGCTAATTCCTCAATGTTTGGATAAGGAACTTCAACCTCATGTTGATTATGCTATATGTTCTCTCATGGTGAGTTCCAATCGAGTTTTTTTGTTATTTGGATAGGTTCTGTTCTTAAAAACAAAAAGATGCTCGTTTATCTATTGTTGGATATCGTTTGCCTCTTATCAGTGTACTATTGATTGAAGAGAGAGAGACAATTTGAAGATAGTTAATCAACAAGATATTCAGTCTTACATTTGTTTCTTTCAAAACTATTCATTCAACAGTTATTTCGTCATATTTTCCCTTTTTTTCCTCCTCGTTGTCATGGTTGCTTGTCCAGTTCATAAAATAGTTGAGAATCAGAGTGAAAGAGGTATCGATATACAACCGTTTTTAGAGAGGTTGAAAAGAGAGGAAAGGGAACTCGTGGGTGACGCATGATACCTCCGATCTGACTCTTACATAGCTTTGTCTTTAAAATTACAGAATACCGAACTCACAAGCTCTCTAAGATTTGTCTTTTGAACAGTCTTACTCAAATACGTGTCTTGTTCTTTCTCTGCTCTCAAAATCTCCGGTCTACTGGTAGTCTTTTGTGTTTATCTTTTCAGAAGATTCAGTATGAGCTGCGTTTGTGGCAACTCCCCATTTTTTCCTCTTCTATTTGCTTTTGCATTGGTTGCCAATATTGATTCTCAAACGAAGACATAAGATAGAAAACGATTGAAAAGATAGAGACTGTTATAAGTCTGTGAAAATCAGTCAGCACGTTCTCTTCCCCTGTTATCTACAATGGTTTCCTCTTCTTCCCATGTAAATTCTGTGATGAGATTCTTGTGTTCTTTTTATGAAACTCTTCATATTTGCTCCTCAACATCTCACAATCTTTGCTTTCTATTTTTCTAAAAAGGTCGACAGTAATAGGCAAGCTCTATAATCTATTATGATGCTTTCGATATCTAGATTTTAAGGTCAAAATAGCTGTGTTTCGGCTAGTTTATTCAATTTAACTAGATGTCAATGACTCTTAACCCAAACTTCTCTATTTACATGTGTCATCTAGATCCGCCCCTTTTTAGTTGTTCATTTCAACATTCGCGTCAGACTCCATACATGTCCTTCTTGGGAAAACTGCTTATGTTCGCGAGCATGAATCATCCAGTTATCACTATATCTTTAAACTTCCCGTTTTGCTCATCTATTTCTTGCTCATCAACTTACTCATTACATTCTACTCTTTCCAGATGGCCGAGAATACTGCTGAGAATCCACAGAACCACCGTGTCGATGAGCTACGGCAGCAGGTTGATTCAGTCAAAACTGTAAGAAGCTGAAGATTTTTTCATTTTTTTACTGCTTTTTTTCAGATCATGGCTGACAATGTAAACGCCATCATTCAACGTGGAGAACGTTTGGATAATATTGAAAGACGCACAGATGAATTGCAGGCTAACGTAAGTCATTCCCTTATTTAAAAATTTTTATTGACTTACTAAAAGAAGGCTCATGTTACCTTTTTCAGTCAGAGAGTTTCAAAATGACTGCTCATCGTGTTCAACGAAAAATGTGCTTCCGTAATGCCAAGTGGACAGCTATTACAGTTGTTGCAACTCTAATCGGACTGACAATTTTGATTTTGATTATTCTTGGAGCTGCCGGTGTCTTCAAAAAATAAGCGAGTGAAACTTGCGAAGAATAGTCTTAGCAGACTTTCAAACATTTCCATTATTGCGGGGATTCTCCTATATCGGCAGTTTGTTTTTCGTTAGCTTCTTAGATATCTCAACCATTATGAAATAGTGTTGAGAGGATGACTATATGAGACAAATCAGCCTTCTATTCATTTTCGAACTGAAGTTACTTTACTTTTGACAAAAGTTCTCTATTTTCTAACTGTGAATGTTAATAGTGCATAATTATGAACATTACATTTACTATTACATCCGGTCAATCTTACTTACTCACTCTTTGAATACTTCTTGCTCTTTAAAAAAAACAGTTTCCATAATACCTTTGTTGCCCTATCCATTTCTCTTGTAAATTCACATGAGGTTCTTTCCTCACAAATAAATATTTTGAATTCAAAATCGATTGATGCTTTTTCACGTGAACACACTCATTTTTCGTTAGATGACGCAGTGATTGGTTGTGCACACTGAGAAAGGATGATGACGTACATCACAATATTAATTAACGCGAAGCCAGATTATGTGTGTATATATATCTTTTAATTGAGTCTTGATTAAACACTATAAAAAAAGAATCTATAATTGGGCGTGCATATATAAATAACCAAAATCAGATGGGACTAACAATTCTCCAATGATTTGAAGGCAGTATTGGGGTCATGTGCTTTAGAATGTGTTCAGCAAGCGTGAAAATAGAAAAAAATAATTAGATGAAAGGTTAAATAAACATTAGAGCAATAGAAATGAGTTACTGAATGAAAGATAACAAAAAACGGTCAAACCGACAAGAGATTAGCACATAAATATGATTTTAGATCTAATACTTCACTTCTTTGCTGAAGGAATGTGACTGAGTATTGAATTCATAACTGGGAGTATAGTTACTTGTTGGGGAAGGAAGAGATTGCATTGATGGATTTGGAGATAGAGAAGAGTGATGAATTAAATTTGAGATTGGAGGTGTAGTTGGTGGCAAATTATTGAAATAAGTACTGCGTATAGTAGCAGGGGTAGTCGCTGCAGATCCCATTGTAGCGAAGTAGTCATCAGAGAGCATCTCGAGAGAATCGATTGCTTCCTAAATAATCACATCAGACAGGTGAAAACAATTAGAGTGAGTACCTGGCGCGACTTGCCGTGAAAGTTCGCTAGCTGAACAAGCTCTCTTACGAAATCATCTTGCAGGGAAGGTAGCAGGGCTGAAGGACGAGATGATTGACTGAAAATACTATACATATTGCGAGAATGGGCTGTGAAACTCCTAACCGTTCAACGTCTACTTCCAGCAAATCAGCTGATGGTGGTTTAACTTTACATGTGACGACCGCGATTCTCATAGCGGTAAACCTGTGTTATAGAGGATTAAGGTGGAATGTATTGAATATACAGACTTTATGTGCTGCATAGAATCAATATCACCCGAATGAGTAACATTACTACTGATATCGCGGCTTTCTATTTCTCCATTGGACACACGAGAGTCTCCTAGTTGCATAAGAACATCACTTATACGGACTACCTCATCAGATGAGTTTACTATGTATTTCACCTTCAATACTCTTAATAGAAATAGAAATATGACTCGCACAACCTTTTCTGCATCTGCTATATCCCGTAAATAATCTTTCAAACACTTGGTTTGGAGTTTCTTCAAATCCAAAGGCTCTAAATGGATAGGTCTCGTCGATTGAGAGTCTAGAGTGTGAGCAGTCGATTTAACCGTGAAGCAGATTGTTCCTGTGAGATGCAAATGCGATAAAATTGTGTTTTAAGGAAATACCTCCAGTCACAAAAGATAAACGCATGATAAGAGCAGACTTATGACGTTCAAGCTTCTTGTCGACCTAAATGGGATTAATGTTCAGCTTGTCTGGTAAGTGTATTACTGACATCGGAAAATTCCAGAAAACCAAGGAGTAAGCCTATCTCCCACAGTTTTTTCACATTATTTCTAGTGTCATGGAAAATCTGCAGTAACTCCAGCATACCTCTCCACACCTGGAACCCAGGCTATATTAAAAACTGTCAAAAGTTGAAATTACCGAAAAGCGGACATTAGTACTTCCACATTCGTAACGTAAGTGGGGACAAAGAACGTTTTTAAATGTTACAATTTCTGTTATATTGTTTAGAAGAGTTTCGAGAACAAAAAAACATACGTTGTACTCCATTTACTCGAGCACCATCTCCTGAAGCACAATCTGGGCATTGCAACTTGTATTGAAGAAGATCGAAGTCTTCATCCATTAGAGCTCTTTGAACATCAGCGTTTACTTTGAAGTGTTGTTTGTACAAATGTTTGAAATGTTCCCATCCCATTCCTTCAAACGTAAAAAAATAATTTTACAGCTTTACAAAGGAGTATACCAGTATCAACCCATTGCAGCAGTAAACCATCTTGCTGGTTACAACCGTACAACCAGAAAATTGTGGCAGTATATGAGGACATCATTCTCTGCACCTGACAATCTTGGTTTCTTCGAGTCGCTATTGTGAAGGGCAATGAGAGAGTATGAGCACTTGCAAATCGACCCGATGGACTAGAAATTTGACTCTGTTTGAAAGAATAGAACCAGAAGGATTACCTGAACATAGTTGCCTTTATATGGAAATAGAAAATAGGACGTTTTCCATTGGATTTGTCTATTTGAGCAGTTGGAGAAAGATCTTGATATGAATTATGAGTTGATTGTCTGCCTTTTTGCCTTGTTGTACATAACAAATGCGGATACATAGCTGCCCAATATCTTAAGAGTAACATATTTCGATTCAGCAGAGTTTTGCAAGTCGAACCTGTTCTTGAAATTATATTTCGGATAGATGGTAACGCTCTCTTTACTGTTTACATCACTTTTCTTGTGAGCTGTATTGCTCGGGTCTGCAAAAAAAAGGAAAATAAACCAGTTCTCGGAAAGAGAAAGTACCTGAATTACTAGCTGCGTTGCTTCGCTTTGTTCCAGAAGTCGGCTTCATCGCTAGCAGAGCTGCGGAAGGAGCCAGCCCTATGGGTGACGGTTGCTGCATCATGCGTTGTCGTGCCATTTCCCCCTATACAGAATTTGATTGAATAGTTATCACAAAATTGTTTACCTGAATGTGTTCAGCAGTTTCTTCCGAAACAACTTGTATCTCAAAGTCTTTGAATACAACTCCTCTGGCCAAAGCACCACAGTTCATACTGTTTTAACATATAGAATTTAGGTGAATAATTAAAAAAGAACCTGAACAAATTGTTTGTCACTAGAATAGCATTTGTTGATGGTTCTGTGGACAAAACACAGTCAGCCATCAGAAGCTCAAGCGCCGAGAAAACTACTTCGGATTGGTGTTGCACAGGGTCGAAGCTACCAAAAACTTTCTTATTTATCATCAGATCATATCGGAAACCCTAAAACTACTCTCCATAAAACCATATGAAATTCTTAGATCCCACCTGTAGCCTAGCTCCTAGAACAGCCAATACATACATCATTTCCGAGTAAAAAGCAACAAGTCGAGAAATAGCATCATCAGGTGACGTTTGCAAATCTTTCATTCTTGAAATTTGGGCCTGTCTCACCGACTGCCATAGCTTATTGCTCTGCTTGTTACAATATGACTGAAAGATATTTTTTATACCATACTTTACAGGGAAAAAATTACTTTAAACTCGTCAATGCATGGAATTAACATTTCATCACCGAAGCAGCGGAGGTTGTGGTGAAACTCTTCAATACTTCGATGGTTCTGGAAGTGGCCTTGATTCATAGCTCTGAAAAAAGAAAAAGTTTAGTCCACATGTTATATGTATGCAGAGGTGTGTAGCTATGCTTGCTGATTTTCATTTTCATTCGGACAAGCAAAAAAGAGCGGTCATTGTAATTTTCATTCGATCGAACTCTGCTGTGGAAACCCGTCATGCACTGGGTTTCATTTCCGTGCTATACTGCTCTAATGAGCAGTCGTGCATCGAGATTCTTCTTCGTGCTATGCTGCTCTTGTGAGTAGTCATGCAATGAGATTCATTTTTGTGGTATGCTGCTTCAGTGAGCAGTCGTGCACGGAGTTGCTCCTTTTCTCGATACAGAGATGACAAGTTATCTCGTACAGTTTCACTCTGTTTCAAGAAGCAGCACTGAGCCATCATGTTTTGTTTTTATTTTGTGATTTATGGGGACTGTTTTAGAATTATCATCTTTTTAATTTCACAAAACGTGAGGAGCAATAATAGAAATTGATGTTTGTAACGAACCTGTAAAGTGTATGCAAAGCATGCATAGTAACAGAGAATTTATCTTTCAGGTTCAAGTATTCTTGGTCTTGAAGATCTCCTCTGAATGGTAAAAACTCTCTGGAAAAAACGATCAAACTCGAAAACTTCTTTTACAAACCTGGAGTAGTTCACCAAATCAACTAAAGCTTGATTGAGTCGTGAGTATATGACACGATCTTCATTTGAGACAGTAACTTCAAACTAGAAGAAAAAAGTCAAAAAAGAATCTCAAACAAAATAATTATATTGGTTTAAATCCATTCTGCTTCTACTTACCTGAGAAGAACTGCTTTGTAATCTACTTGTTATACATAAAACATTCCATGTAAGCATAGTCCATTCTTCATAAAAGTCCTGTATTGAAAACTGATTTTAAAAAAAACTAATTTCACTGTACTTGTCCTCTTTCTTCTTGTGACACATTTTGCTTTATACGTTGAACTCTTGCGTCTATTTCTCCGAGAAGCTTACAAATCATGGTTTTAACCTTAAGATAAACGTTTGGAGCCATTGAAGAATAGAATACTCACTTTGGCTAATCTCTGCTCTTCAGTATCGGTGATTGGAGGATCATAATGTCTCTGTACTCCGTGCCAAAGGCAGAACAGATCGTACAGAAGCCGTTGAAAAACATCGTTGGATAACATGATTTCCAGCGACAAGCGGCTTTAAGCAGTTTATAGAGCTTCGAGTTTTGGCTCTCTGAACCAGTCGCTCCTCTCGGAAGGTGTGGTGGATTCTTCTTCTTGACAGAAAAAAAGGTTAACAACAACAAAATAAAGGTTCGCAGAGTATAGCGCGGGGCTGCCTTGAAGCCTTATCAGGAATCTACTTTTTAGCTTTCAAAGACGCATGTTGTTTCAATTAATCGAACGTCAGTCAGACAAACAGCAGACAGATAATCAGTCAGATTCTTTTGGGGACTACTTCAAAGGTGATGTAATATGAATATAACAACACCTTGTTCAAAGACTCTGGATCTATCTGCAGGCTGTTGCGATCAGAAGACTCAAAGAAAAGTAACTAGATGCGAAAAAAGCTGAAACAGTAGTTCCAACGACGAAAAAATTCGTGCGTGCTGCTCCCTTGAAGAGGGAAAACGACGAAAATGGGAAAAAACGTCTAATCTCTTGGAGTTTTAGGTCCTGCAATAAAGAAAAAATTAAGAATATAAATGAGACGAATGAAGACATATTCAAAAGGAAGATAAATAGATCAGAATGAAAATCTCGAATTAGCTACAGAAGTACGTATTGATATGATATTTAATTGATAGGAATAACATGATAAGCAAAACTTTGTAGACAACAAGTCAAAAATGAAACTTCTCAAGACAAAAAAAGATGGAAATGATAATGAAGAAAAAACAATCGCAAGCGTTTGAACTCATTTTCATTTAATTTGCAAACTTTTCGAGACATTGCAAATTTCAAAGGAAAATTGTCTCGACGCAGTTAAGGGCAATAGCATTGACCGAATAAACGATAAGATAAGAGAGAGATAGAGAGAGAAAGAGAGAACCGAGCCTTTCTCAGCTCTTTCATAGCTAATTACAGTAATCAGGGTGATCTGTGAACAACATAGTTTGATCTACTTACCAAATAAAAAAAACATCAATAGAAGCTACAATAGAGTTTATAGAACTATAGTTAATACTTCACCTGACAGATAAAATAGTGAAAAAGATAAGAAAAAAAAGAAACTTGAAAAAGTGACCTAAACTTTGGGTAAAACTGGACGGGTGAGATAAAAAATGTTGTAAAATGATGAAAACATAAGAATCGGAAAAACAATGAGCTTCCTCTGATGAAGAAATATCAAAAAGTTTATATATCAATCACGTATTTTGAAGAGACTGAGTTCAAGGCTGATTATCAGTAAAGGCAAACAGAGCACAACCGAACTAGCCCATAAGCTATCAAACCAATCAGACAAATGACAACTTAACGAATTTAAAACATTCAAATGATAAGCTTCTAATATCGGATTTCCAGAGAAAAAATTACGCGCAATATGATAGGCATCAATGGTATCAAGGAGACCGAAGAAAAAAGAAGAAAAAAAAGAAAACGGAAATTCGGAGTATATAATTGTACAGGAAGACTCAAATGGAGGGTTGATAGGGGAAAGATCACGAGTATTTCAGGAAACTTATTGATTCGAGAAGAAACGAGAAATTAGAAGATAAGTGTCGATTCCTTAAAAGATGACAGTTATACACTTAATACCATAATTCTCATCATCAGAATGATAAGACGAACAAAGGTAGCTAAGAAGACGTAGAAGACGACCGTCATTATTCCGACGAAGATCGTCATCGTCTTCTTCTTTCACGTTTTGCCAAGTCAGCATCATATAGATCAATCAATCAAAAATAAGCAGAGCCGTATATCAAGATAGTGGTCAACAACGATGGATGATACACTTTAAAAGCAAAAGAGAATCAAAGAAAACAAAAATATATGTATGATAGAGAAATCAGATAAAAAAATTTTCTAACATTTACGCACAGAATATCGTTCACTTCATGCAATTTAGCTGATAATTGGTACAAAATTCTGTTCGAATCAGCTAGACGACAAACTGGAGACTTTAAATATAGAAAGGAAGCAAAATAGGAGTGCAGATGGAACGTAAAAAGATTTCCGAACAACTTTGATTGTAATTGATGACAAGCAAACACAGATAAATTCTTTCATGATAGAAATATTGATGAAACATAACTTCTGTGAGCTCACAATGTGCTAACTCGTCCTAATCAATTATTGCGTTGTTGGGCCAATCTGTACAGTTCAAACTACAACTTCCTTTACCACTGTTCATAAAAAAAACTTCTCTGTAAATACAATTATTGATGTCGTATTGTCATCACAAGGGTCAACTGATTACTTCCTGACACTTTTACTGTGCTAATAGCTTCCACTCTTGTTATTCTAATTCGTAACCTGATGATTCCCTTCTGAAGAAACATCTATTATTCTATTTTCTTTATTCCATAATTTATATTTTCCTCAATTATTCCCCATTAGTTTGTGAATGTTCGACCAGTTATTCAAATATGAGCCGAATATGGAAATAACGATTTGAAATTGCCATGTATTTAGTCTACTCATGTTTCTGACTGTTGTCCGTTCTATCTTCTGACTGTACTTTTTCTTTCTTCTCTCTTCCTCTTATGGATATTTTTTTTTGTATGTCTTTTGACCATCTCATATCAGCCTTGTATATCGAGCTATGTAAACGTAAATGACCTTCTTTGGAGCTAGCCAAATACGTCTTCTCCAGGTTGCTCATCTTATCCATCCTTTGACTATTCATAGCTTCAGCTGATTTGTTTCCTTTCTGGTTTTTGCTGTTCCGCAACTTTAGAACATTTGATGACTATTTGTCCTGTCATGTTATCTTTATTTTTCAAAATATTCAATTCTAATTGTTGAGTTCCAGCAGTTCGGTCAATAGGAGATGAGTGAACGGAAACCCAAAACGAAAGTAGCTTCTTCAGCTCCTCGTTCCAGTCAACCAAAGCGTTCGACAGTGAGTTTCTGACCAATTCTCTTCGATAATAATGATAATAAAATCATTTTGTTAACGATAACCTTCTGGTAGAATAACATCCTATTGTTTCAGAAATCAACCTTCTTCACATGTTCCACTTTGATTGGAGTTGTCCTATCCGTGGTTGCTGCTCTATTATTGACACATTTGTTCGTCAAAAGTCCCATTGATGCTGTCTCATTCACGTAAGATATTCATGTTTTTATGGAAGAAGTTTTGTGTAACAATGTGAAATACAGAATGCCTGATCCTCCGGATTTAATCGATGACGTTCGGCTAGCTCAATCGGAAATTCATTTAAATGATCAAATCTACGGACCAGAGTCTATAGCAGTTCATCCAACCACAGGCAAAATTTACACTGGTTTGAAAACAGGATTGATATGTGAAATTGAGATGGTTAAGAACAAGGTATGGAACATGAAAACCGTTCTGATTGATCATTCCATTTTTAAGGCTAAAATAGTCAGAGGTTTGAAGCTAACTTCTCTGGATGGTTGTGATGGAGGCTATCATAATATGGAGAAATGTGGACGACCTTTAGGAATGAGGTGAGTATTCCAAGCACTTTTTTTCATTTCCTCATTGGATTTTTCAGGTTCAATAAAGATGACGAACTGATCGTAGTAGATGCTTACTTGGGAGTTTTCGCGATAGACTGGACAAAAGGTTAGTGCTTTTGATTGTACTTCAAAAATATTTCTTCTCAGAAAAGGTACATAAAATTCTTTCCGGAGGTGCCCAGCTTGAGGAAGTAGATCAACCACCTGTTAGGTTTGAATTTCAAGCATAAATGCTTCTGAATTCTCTAATGGTTTAGATATTTGAACGACCTCGATTTTCTCCCTGATGGTAGAATCGTTCTAACTGAGTCGAGCACTAAGTTCGATGATAAAGATTTCTTATGGGATTTGTTTGAACACAGACCGAACGGCCGGTAAGATCATTCAGAAGGATGCACCATTTCATTATGTTCAGTGTACTCCTACTTAACCCCAAGAACGGAGCCATCAGCCTTCTAGCTGACAATCTCTACTTCCCTAACGGTGTTCAAGTTTGGAGAGGAAAAGTAATTGTTGCCGAGATGGGAATGGCTAGAATCGTAAAGTAATAGAAATGCAATGTAGTCGATATGATTGTTTCTAATTTAGAATTTCACCATCATCTGGGGACGTCACCGTTCTCATCGACAACCTGGCCGGTTATCCTGATAGTGTTCGTAAATCTGCCGATGGAAAACTATGGATACCCTTGGCTGCACCCCGAACATCTCAAGATAATTGGTTAAATGAGAGAGCCAGACTGAGAGAAATAATGACTAAGGTGATTTTAAAGTCATTTGAAATGTTTTAAAAAATTCGTTAAGGTCTTGTCCCCTCAAGCGTTACAGTTAGTTGTTGATCAGTTCACTCCTGCCATTGCTGTTGTCCACAAGGTACACAAGTTATATCGTCTCAAAATTTCCACGAACGTTCTCTTTTAGTTTGATCCCGAAAATGGAAAAATTTTGGATACATTAATGGACAAATCTCAAAAAATAGTATCGATTTCTTCAGTTGTTGAAGATCTTGACGGCAATTTGCTATTTGGTAGTGATGCCAATTACTATCTTGGCCGGCTTGTCAAATCAAATTTTTAAAATCACAACAAACCCTAGCAAATCACCAAACGCAATTTAATCTACAGGAAACACAGGTTATAACACAATATAACTAATGATAAATCAGAAATGATTGATTCACTACGGACTACTGATGCAGAGCTTATTCTAAAGATGAAGCTGAGTATTTTCATTCAATGTCATATAGTTTTAATAAAACTGTTTTGCTTCTCTACAATCCCCTGTACAAACCTCGTAATCGAAGTCTTTCGAGGTTCAAATTAGTTTACAATTCATATGATTCCTAGATAAGTATTGTTACAATAACGAACGAAATGACGATAAATGCTTACATGGGTGTCGTCTGTGCTCTCTGCCGAGCAATGTTCGAAGTTCAATCAGAAATCAAAGAAGCTTCTATCTCTGAAGATCATTAGATGTGCCGGAAGACAGAGTTCCGTTCAGTTATTTTTTGTGTGTGGTAGATGACCTTTGTCTATCATCCTGTTTCAGTCTCTGCTCTCTCACTTACACAACAGACGATACGTTTCTAGAAGAGATCAATATCTTATAAATATGTTAGCGCGTAATTTTTTGGTTTAATCAGAGACTCTTTATCACCCTATTATTTTAGGTTACATTTTCGACTAACAATTAGATAAGAAAGCATGATAAATAGGCAACGCCATCTATTGATAGTTGTTAGCTTGGCATTCTTTTCGTTCGCCATGGCAACAAGGAATCATGGTACTTAAATAAACTATTTCAAATTCTTGCTATTTCATTATTGTTCATTTCATTAGTTTTCTGAGCTTCGAAATTTTCTTAGAGCAGAAATCAATCTTTCTCCCTTCCCCTGCCTCATTTCATTATTTTTATCCAAGATTCGGACGAAGACGAGATGGCCCACCATTCAACAATTTACGATTTTTCCGTTAAGGATGCTGATGGAAAGGAAGTATCCCTCAAGAAATATGAGTATGTTTATAGAATTGATTCGTTGTTAGTTAACTGTGATATTTAAGAGGCCAAGTTGTCATTGTTGTCAATGTAGCTTCACAGTGTGGTTTCACGGAGTCAAACTACAATGAACTCAAGCAGTTACATGATAAATATCATGAGCAAGGCTTAAGAGTCGCAGCTTTCCCTTGCAACCAATTCGGAAAGCAGGTACGTTCTTTAACGATGTTGGAAATTGCATGAGAAACTTGCCGCATATGCAACCGAGAGCTGCGCCTTGTTGTTAAAAATAACATTCAAATTTCACAACTATGCTGATGCAATTGCTCTTCAGGAACCCTCTTGCGAGATCGATATTGTAAACTTTGTAAAGGATAAATTCAACTATGAGCCCGATATGTATGCTAAGGTAATAACTTTCTCAAAGCGGATATAGGATATCTGTTAAAGGTGAAAGTAAATGGAAACGAAGCTGATCCATTCTGGACATTTTTGAAAAAAGAACAAGGAGGAACTCTTCTTGATGCAATCAAGTGGAACTTCACCAAATTTTTGGTTGATCGTAAAGGACATGTAGTTGCAAGGTAGCTCACAAAAAGCTCCGAAAGTTATTAATGTGTTTCTCATAGATATGCTCCAACTTCAAGCCCAGCCTCATTCGAGAAGGAAATCAAGAATTTACTAGACAAATCTGAATAAACAACATTCTTTTTTCTAAGTTTATGTTATGTGTGAATAAACTTTATTGAAACTGGACTAGTTGAAGAAGTGTTATTGATTTTTCCCCACGTAAATATAGCATCGAACGAAATCCTGCTCTCCCATCGTAATATTGCTGAACCCCATTATCATCAACGGACGTTTTGTGTTAATTTATATTTAATAAATATTGTTTTTTGTAATTTTAATAACTATTATTTGTAAATATACTGTAGGAGAAAGATACGTGAACTATTCACATGATCATTTTCGCAAAGACGGAATGTTGAATATCTATTTACCCTAGGGCGTTCTTGTGGTTTCCTTTTATGTTTTTTATAACTTAATTGAGTTTGATCGATGACATTAAGCTAGAAAGCGACTGGGGTTGCTTTGTGAGCCATTTCGAAGCGTAATTGTTATTTGAGTTTCAGGTACATTAATGCCTCTGGGTTTCTTCGGTGGAGGATCTAACTCATCGAAACCCCTACCTTTGTCAACCCCGGAAGATTCGAAGGATAAAAAGGAGAAAAAGGAATCATCCGATAAAGAAGGAAGGGGCACTCTTCTGAAGTTGCAGAAGGCTACGGTTACTATCGAGAGAAAGTTAGCGGAAGGTATTTCTTGTTAGTGTTTCATTTTCCATTTGTTATACTTCCTCAGGTGGTTTTGCCATTGTATATTTGGTGACGGACAAGCAAAATAGACAATATGCTTTAAAGAGACAGTTTATTAATGATGATCTTAAGCAGGTAGAAGCCTGTAAGAGAGAATGCCAAATTGTGGTGAGTCATCATGAATCCCCAAATTTGAATATTCACCGACAAACTAATTCCATTGCAGAGCGGATTGAAAGGACACAAAAATATCGTTTGTTATGTTGACCATTTACTTACACAGAATAAGAGTGGGATTTATGATTATATGCTGCTTACAACTTATTATAAAAGTATGTTCAATTGATTGAGCCTTTCTTAATAGCTTCTCCATATAGCGAGTGTATTCCAATTAATGAATGACCGTTTGTCTTCCGGGCGATGTTTAACTTTAGCAGAAATTCTATCTATTTTCTGCGATATGTGTTCTGCTGTAGCAAGACTACATCATTCGCAAACTCCTGTTATTCATCGAGATTTAAAGGTAATCTCCTTTCTCTTTGTTTTTTTATTATTTTTGTATAGGTCGAAAATATCCTCATTGACGAAAGAAACCGAGCTGCTCCTCCCATTTATGTTTTATGCGATTTCGGAAGTGCAACTACTAAGGTAAAGATATGAACTTGCTAAGGAACGAACTAATTTCAATACTTAAAGGTTTTGTCATCTAATACTCAACAAGCGAACTCAATCCTTGAAGAGATAGAGAGGTATACAACTTTGAGTTATCGAGCACCCGAAATGATAGATATCTATCAAGGCAAACCCATAGGTAACGTTCTTTGACTCGTTATAAAACTTGTTTTGCTTTCCAGGAACTCCTGTCGATTTATGGGCATTAGGCGTTATGTTATACAAATTGTGTTATTTCACACTTCCTTTTGGAGAGTCTGCGATGGCGATTCAAAACGGAGCTTTCACTTTCCCGAGTCAACCGTACTATCCAGATTCTGTGAAATCTATTATAAGTAAGTTGTGCTTCCTCATTCGGACATTTGGCCTGACATTAAAATTTAAGAGTGTTTGCTCGAAGCTGAGATTGAAGAAAGACCAAACATCTTCCAATGTGCATCTTTAGCTCATGAAACTGCTGGAACTCCTTGTTCAATTATTAATAAAGACGTAAGTCATGTTCTGATCTTCTATTTATGAAAGAACTTTTTCAGAATGTGCCGATCATCACATTAGCGAAGGCCGTTGACAAATTACACTCGAGAAAGCCTTTATCTTCTGAATCTACAGAGAAAAAACCGGATGTTCGTGCTGTTCTTCACGATAAATGTTTGTTACTTTTTCTTGTTATTTTACCTTTGCTTACTCTCTTTAGTTGACATTGCTACGGGTTCACTGTGCTCAACATCGCCACAACGTGTTGAAGCGACGACAACATCAGTAAATCCTCGATTGCGACCAAAACCATCAACAAGCATTCCGTCAGTCCCATTAATCCCTCCCAGTCCTAAGGTTTGCCAATTCTCCAACTCTTGAATTAAATCCTTCTGTTTGTTAGCCAACAGCTAAACTACATAATACCGCCAATCCGGTCGAACCAGAAGTTTCACCGTCAAGTAAATTTTAGAGTTTTCCACACTTTTTGAGAATTTTGTGTTTAGCGGTACCTGCTGAATCACCAGCGATTGTACCACCGACTACGTCCTCTGCCCATTTTGGCTTCACTGAACTAGGTTTATCATATTTTATAACTAACTCTCTATTTTTGTTTTCAGAGAACACTGTTGCTCATAGGAAATCTTCAGAGGCCGTCCTTCCTGTAGCAGAAGGTTTTTATTGAAATTCCATTTTTCTTAATCGCTCAATTAAATTTCAGTAGGTGCTATGACCGTTTCCTCTGGGGCTGAAATAGAAGGATCTTCCAATGTGGGCTCAACAGCTTCTCATCGTCGTAATGTGAGTGATACTGCTCCTATTGCAAGGAGTGCTTTCAAGTAAGAGATTATTCCGATGTAACAAAGTATCATGGTTCTTAAGACCTTATAGTCAATTGGCGAATCAACAGGTTTCAACCTCAGTGACCTGCATCAACAACAGAACCACCCAGTCATTCGTGAGTTCGCACTTCATATTCGGGTTCACATTATTTTTCAGTCCGATTCTGGTAATGTTTGGAATCCCTTCACTGCTGCTCCGTTCGGAGTAAGGAAAATGGATGATAAGAACTTCGGTGAAGAGTTTGATGTTCTTCCACGCAATTTGGAACCAGGTAAAATCAGATTAGATGGTGAATTGAACTTGTATCATTTGTAATAGAATATAAGATGACCGCTGACTCGGACAGTGCTTCTATCGACTCTCTGGATCCTTTTGGTGCTGCACCTTTTGATCCTCTGCCTAGAGGTAGGATTCCTGCTCGGCGTTTGCCAATTCCGCATGATCTTGACCCGCATGTTACAAGCTTATCATCCACTTGGGTTTCTAGTCAGGGAAATAGTAATCTATCTCTCACCTTGCCTGATGCACGCACAGATATTTTCCAACCGATAACTTCAACACCTACTAATCTTGGAATACATGCGGTGATTTCAGTACCAGAATCCTATCATGTAGACAAGAAAGTAGTTTTGCCCAGAATAAACAAAGAATTCACAGAAGTTCATAATGAAGCACTTCCAATCGTACCTCCACGTACTTCTTCAAAAAGACTATAGTTAGGTCTTGCTTCGCTTACCGCTTTATATTTTGACCAGTGATGTACAGATGTTTCATGACGTGTTGTAAACTAGGTTGCTTTTCCAGAACGTCATGATCCAGATTAGTATTTATTCCCTTAATCATACTGTATCATATCTTAAGTTTGAGACTTATAGTTTTACCTGTAAAAAGTGTGTTAATATTGTACAGAGTTTATGATTCGTGATATGAACTTTTTGTTCAAAAAAACCAATTTCCGTTTTCTTAGTTTTCTACCATCAATTTTCAGCTCCAGAAGCATTCGACTGTCATCCAGATACAGTAGGTAATGAGGATGACAACGATTCAGTTGGATCAGCTGAAGATCTCAAACGAAGAATGCAGGTCATTTCTTCATTCCTCTAGTTCTTCTCAAAAATTTCATGCAGGCCGAAGAGGATAGTGAGCTCGACGAGCAAAGAATGAAAGCCCGGAGACGTTACAGTTACGAACATATTGATGGAGTTGGTGAAGATGGAAGTAGTGATAGTAGAGGAAGAACTGAAGGAGAAAGTACAGATGATCTGAGCAGGGTAAGAAATTCTTTTTGATTTCTCATTCGTTTTTTGTTTTAAGAACGAGTCTTCTCATGACGATGACAATGATTCCTCTCAACAAACAGATATTGTTAGTGATGATGGCGGAGGGAGACCATTGTTAGAAGACGATGGTTTGGAAGATGATGATGATCGAGAAGTTTGTTACCTTATTATTGTTTTCGTTAGTTCTTTCTGTTTAAGGACTCTTACGACGATTATCCACATTCTTCTAAGGAAAAAGGAAATACTGCTCCGTTGGTGATTGATGCCAAACGATCTACGAACCCTTTTTTGAATTCTGATCTTACTCCCAAAATTTCTCCTGTGGAGACAATTGAGGTGAAAATTGAAGTACGGCTCCTTGCTCGAACAAAGTAGTTTATTTTGTGTTTTAGAATATGCAGATTAAACCATCCCAAATGAAGCCATTCGAACCAATATCGTCTGGATCTTATCAAGATAATAATGTGTTCGAAGAAAAGTAAGATATTGGATTCAGCATAACTTCAAGAAACATTACAGACCATCACTGCCTATGGTTGCTCCTTTGAGCTCAGCATTTGCTCCAGCCACGCTTCCCAGACAATCTACACCACTATGTGCTGTACCCAAGACTACTACTATATCTCCCAGGCAACCTATTTACCCGAAATTATCAGCGGTACCCTCCTTAATCCTTAAATTCACTGTCAATGCTTTTACTTTTAGGATTCCGTCTTACCGCCAGCAGAAGTTTTCACGTCGAGACGAGCTCATACAATATCAAAAATGGTTCTTCTTCTTTATTTTAGTTTATTTTAATTGTTTATATTCAGGACGTAGACATAGCTTTGACGGCTCAGAGTATTATTAACAAAGAGCCGACCCTTACTGTAAGAGTTTTCATGGGCGAAGTTTTGCTTATGATTATTATTTCAGACTAATGTATCTTGTAAATATGTACCTTTTGTCGATGACCACAAAACTACGAAGTTTAAAAAAGGCAAAATGAAAGGGAAATCGTAAGAATTACTGATTTTTTGATTTCTCAGGCATTTCTTTCAGTTTCAATCTCGATTCAACTGATAGTGATTTGGAAACAGACGGAAGCGAAGCTGAGATGTGCACGAGGTCAGGCATTCTTTTTAGAAATATGTCAATTATCTTTTTTTATTTAGTACTTCGAGTGATAAGATCGGTACTTCAAAAAGAAAAAAGAAAACCTCAGCCTTCAGTTTACTCAGCTCTGGAAGTACTAGTATACCACAGGAGAAATCGTCTTCGATATCTACATTGACAAAAAAAGGTTTTAACTCATGAGGTTATGGGGTGACATAGTAGTTCCACTTTTAGAAAAAAGAAAAATTTCTTCATCCTCAGCGGGCAAGAGAGGAAGCTCTGGTGCTATCAATGCGTCATTTGTAAATACATCATTCCAAGCGGAAGATCCTGATTCTCCTCCTATTTATCGGTCTAACAAATTTTAAGAAGACATTGCTCTTAACATGCTTACGAGTTAGAGGGGAAGATCTTCGTGTGTTTTTCTTAATAATTGAGATTTCTAAGTTTTCAGTTTTAGTTATTTCGGCTTAATACAAAGGATATAGTCTTAGTCACTTTACTAATATCCACACGAGGTTCTTTAGTAAAGAAATTTTTCTTCTGTAAGCGGTGAACTCTTGGGTTGTTTTTACATTTTACTTTTAATATTTTTCTATAGAGATCTGCCCTATCTTGTAGATATAATTTTCCGGTGGAAATTGCATATTGTTGTGCCTAATCACTTTTCTCTTATAAATTTAAATTATGACTCATATTGGGATTGCAATATGGTTTGATGCCAAATATTATTATAAATATTAATATCCTAAACCTCAATTGTTTCTGCTGACGTAACACGTTGCCCAGTTCTACGAGTTCAAAATAAGATGGGTGGGGTCAAAACACTGTCACGTTCATTTTAAAATGTAAATGCGTAAGAAGCGGTTGTTTTCAATTTGGCGATTGGAAAAAGTACCAGAAGTTTTATTTCAGTTCCTGTGTATCTGTTTCGTAGTTGTTACTGTCAACGATATGAGGTACCTGATCATACGTTCGTGATGAAACGTTCATGAGATATCAATTTACAACTGAAACTAATTAGAAAAAAGTATCCATTCAGCTAATGGAGAGCGAAAACGGGAAGCAACATTAATGAAAAAGTAATTATATTCTCATCAGATTTTACGTTCTACTAACAACGTGATTCTGATAGAAAGACCAAAGAAGAAGAAGAAGAAGAGAGAGAGAGAGAGAGAGAGAGAGAGAGAGAGAGAGAGAGAGAGAGAGAAACCGTTTTCATTGAAATATCAAATTTGTTCGCGTTTCATCCGACAAAGAAACCACAAAAAAATTGGATTGGTTATTTCCTCGCTGTGTGAGAAAATACTGTAAATACAGAGTATTAGAAAGGGAGAAGAATTATATTGTCAAGTTTGAAATCCTCTAACTTGTCAAATATAGTTTCCCGTCACGAACTAGAAAGTCAATTGAAAATAAAAATCAGTATACGATAAGTGAACTATCACAAATACTACGGTATGTTTTCTTGTTTTCGAAGTGCAGACTCTTGGCTAACTTCCCTTCTACACCTCAGAAGACAAAAATAATTCATGTGATGATACTTTTCATCAACTTGACTTAAATTAATAAGTTTAAATAGCTTTTCTCAACCAATGATTCAACATATTTTACGAGCAAGACCTGTTTTCATATAAGGCTTGTGCTAGACAGAGAACTGTAGTTTATCGTTTTTATTAACTTGTTTTGAACAATCTGATGCTGACCTCAAACGTCGACATGTAATCATAGCAATATCCATCAATGAGCTGCAAAAGTTCGAACTTTCACATACTTTTGTAATACACAGCTGAACTTCTGTGAGAAAATTCGGAAGGAAGGTGTAAGTTCATTCGTCCCTACTCCTATTTGTATTCAGATGAAGTCGAAACAATGTCAGTTGGAAGACTTCTATGCAGAGATCATGCTGATGCAATTTTTTCTCAGATTAACCACGAACGGAGAGAGAGAGAAAGAAATCATTTTTTCCAGAATGTTCCTTCTTTTCATCGACACATTTCCGAAGATGGCAACGAAATGCGTGAACGATTGCGAGTTTCGTCGACAAGCCAGCTGTTCACTCCATCAGTTTTGCAGACATGTCCCTTCAGCAAAAAAAGGCGAACTCTCTCGTTAAGTGAAAAAGGAAAAGAGCAAATGAAAACAAAAATATTTCGAAACAGCTTTCGTGCTTTTAGAAATCTTATGTTCTTAAGACCAATGTACTTTGAAGTTGAAATATCATCGTCACAAGTACAAACAAGCAGAAAAGTTTAATTCTAAATAAGGTATCATTAACTCAGAGAGAAAGAGAGTGAGCGTGAGAGAAAACAATTTAGAAGAATAACTTCAATGACATGAAATGAAAACTCATAGTTTATTACTATGGGCTGAAAAATAAGAGAAGAGTCAAACAGCAAGTAAAAACATATGATTTGTCACGTTTTAAGCTTCCTGATAAGGAAATTGTTTGATATAACAGGTTAAGCATGAAGTTACGTCAACTGAATGATATTTCAGAATGATAATGACGAGAATGAGATATTTTCGATTCGCATTCGCTCACACCACGTGTTCCATTGACACTTTCCATTACTCACACTGACAGTAGTAGTTCCAAAAATATAACGAGCATTAGGAATTGGATAAATTTAACGAATATTGGTCTGAGTTCAGAAGTAAATGACAAAGCAGGTTCTCTGCCCTGTAGAGAATGTACAGCACTCAGAGATCAATCTTCTGATGCGCTGGGCCTATCTCTTCAGGACACTTTGAGAAAAAGCCAAACATGATCACATAACGAAGAGAGCTCAAAGATTGTTACGGAAGTCTAGATATTTTCTATGATCTCGCCTGTTATGATGAAATATACACATTAAATGAATAATACTGCAGATATCTTCAGAAATAGGAGGGTCAAGATTCTGTAACGGGACGTTGACCAGCGTCATCATGACAATCCAGATTCTGTTGTCCGATGATGACGTTGCCCAACATCCAGACCAACAGATGACATCACTAATGACGAGGAAAATATGAAGACTAAGAAGAAGAGTTACTGAAAGTCCTGAAGTGACGAATGTGGAAGTTGAAACCTAGAAGACGTGGGCATATTGACTGACCTTTTGAGTCAATTGCGAACGTCCTCTGGGTCTCTTGATGTCCGCCAAGGAGAACTGTATCCAACTGAATGTTCGTCGTTCGCTAAAAGCTCAACAGCTTCAAATGGAATAAAAATGAATCCTAAAAAAGTTATTGATAGCTCATCATTTTTGTAATAGGAAATATGCATTTATGTTATTCATCTTCCCACATTCTCTTCAGCTACAAGCTATAATGTGAACACAAAGAGAATAATTACTAATGGATTCTGAATGATGAATCTATACAGTGTTTTACAAACAAAAACATCCCTGAACATCTTTTATGTTTCCCGTCTTCTATTACTATATGTTCCTTTCTCAGATTCTATATATACGAAGATGTATATCTATAAAGAAACACGATTATAGAGCGAATTTTAAAAATCAGCTTTGTGTCTTTGGTCGAACATCATCAGTTCCTTGTGTTTCTTGTTAGAATTCGCTAATTTGCTAATAGAATATGTTATGTTGAAATGACTTACAGTCAGTCAGATTTCTATACAGTTGGCCCTTCAACTAGAAATTCGTTCAGCGAAAATTTAAAGTTGGAAAAGATGATCATGATGATCATTAAAGAAGACATAAAGCAATACTTTCATATTTTCTATCATTCTTCTTTTTTAAAAATGTTTGTCCAGGTAATCTTTCAAGAAAGATCTATTTTCGTCGTTTTCTTTATCATCATGATCATCAGTGAACTGTTGAAATATCAAATTGTCATATACACTTTTCTTTTTTTTTTTATCGAAGACAGTGTGTGTCTGTGTCAGTTTGTGGGAAAATAGGATGAACAACTATGGATACATGAGAAACAAGAAAGAAAGAAAAGATTGAATAAAAAACAGAAAATATTGAGAGAAAGCAAGTCAAAGAAAAAAAGAAAGCTTTTACTGAAGAGAGAAGGAGAGAAACATGAAAAAAGAATAAAATGTGAAGAGAGAGTGAAAGAGAGAGAGAGAGAGAAAAAAAAGAGTTTTAAAAAAGAAAATGACGTGAGCTTATATGGATGGGAGGATAGAAGAATGTAGAAAGCTGACAATTTGATAGAAAAGGTGAAATCTGTGATGATAATGATTAGAAACCTGGAATGAATAATATCAATACAACCGTTCTTCTTTTTCGAAATCTGGAAATGAAAAAAAGCCACGTGTGATTTCACGTAAAGTTTGATAAGATGACGGCATATCGTTATGTGTATTTCTCGTTCGTGTGTACCGTGTGAAGAAGATATTTTTCTAAAAAAGAATAGTTAATTCTTCTTATGGAAACAAAAATATCATATTGCATCATTATCACGTTGTCGTCTTATTTCCACGTGCTCCAACCTGTCTGCGTTGAAATGAAGAGGAGTGGGCGTGACCATAATCGTCGGTATATAAACTGACACATATATGTATATAAATATCTAATTGATGAAGAACGAACACCCATATATAGATGCATTTCCTGTGCAATATCTCTGAAGATCAAGTCGACTCGACCGAGCTGTGGACAAGCTGAATGAGACATAACTTCAGGTATTCAGGACAGTAACCAAGCGTACCCTGATTAACACTCCGTTCCTCCTTTTCGTTTTAACAAGTTGAAATAAACGAAAGTTTATCTGACGAGATAGAGAGTGAAATAGAAAAGAAGGAAGATAGAGAAAGATAAATCAGATTCGATCGGTTTTCTTTTTCATATTTCCGTTCATTTTGATCGTTCTATTATCAACTCAAGTAGTTCTAAAGAAACACAATGTTCTATAGATGTCCGAGCTACATCTATATCATTATCATATCAACTTCTCTGGCATGTAGGAGGACACACGTCTGCAACTGTATTTCTCTCTTTTTACGCATTTCTGCTATGCCTATATATCATTTTACAAACTTCTCTCATTTTCTTTTCTCTTTTCTTTTCTGTTTCCTTCTCTGATTACTATCTTTTTTTTCTTACCTTTCACGTTTCTTCAACATTTTCTGCTCTTTTTTAGTGTCTCTCTCTCGTTTTTAACGTTGTCATAGTGTCCGTTAATTGTCAGGTTGATTTCAGAGAAAAGACGTGAAAGATACAATTTTCGTTAAAATGGAAGTTACCGCCCACCAAATTACGCCAGACCAAATAAGCACACAGCTTCACCGCCACGAGAAGATCATCAACAACATGGTAAGTTCTTCTCCGCTCTGTCGTTTCCAGAATCTGCAAGTAATCCGAAAGTCTTATCACTGAACTTCAAGTCTGCTAGTGTGGTGTCACTTTGCTAATCACCATAGCTGTCAATTTTTGTGTATACAGACTGAAATTTCCCCGAGTGTTCAGTTTTTTCAATGCAAAAACATCTTTCGCATGTTTCATATTCACTGATTGCGCCCAAAAGTAAAATTCAAAAACATAAAACTCAAAATTCCAATCATTGAGATCTTTCTCTGATAATGATGTTACAGAAATCTACCAAGTTTCAAAAACGGGATTGGAACACAATTCCACAATCGGACCATGCTCGGAATACAGTCAACCCCATCAGAAAAATAGCTGATGCTATGAATGTAGAGACCAATCCCAATAAGCCACTTATCAAGCTTTCACTGGGAGACCCATCCATTTCTGGAATCTTGCCAACTAGCGCAATCGCTGAAGAGGCCATTCGTGAAACCGTTGAATCACACAAGTAGTTTTAGTCTCTAAAGTTCTTTTTCATTCAATCTATATTTAGATATGACGGGTATGGTCCCGCTGTTGGAGACATCGCAGCTCGTCAAGCTGTAGTCACAAAATACTCAACCACCGACGCTCCTTTCGCAGCTGATGATGTGATCCTAGCCAGTGGATGCTCTCATGCTCTACAAATGGCCATAGAAGGGTTAGCCAATGGAGGAGACAATATTCTTGTCCCTCACCCTGGTTTCCCACTTTATTCAACTCTTTGCCGCCCACACGGAATTGAAGTAAGAAACTTTGGAAGCACTGTAAAGCATATATGTCTTTGCAGGATCGCGCCTATCAACTCGACATGATGAACGGAGGTTTAATTGATCTCGATCATCTTGAATCTCTTATTGATGAACGTACAAAAGCCATAATCATCAACAATCCTGGAAATCCAACAGGAGTTGTAATGCCAAGAGAACATTTGGAAGACGTTTTGCAGGTAAGGTTGCAATAAGTACAACTATTTGTAATGTTTATCATCATAGATCGCTGCTCGTCATAAAGTTGTGATCATTGCTGATGAAATTTATGGAGACTTAGTATATGATGGAGCTGAATTCTGTCCAATGTCTTCGTTGTCGCCCAAGGTATGTGCATTGAAACACAACGTCATCGACCTGTCTGTCTGTCATCTTCTTTTTCCTATAATGTCATCAATCCATTATTTCTTTTGTTCTGATATGATCTCTTACGTCTATATTTTCAGGTCCCAATTATCACTTGCGACGGAATCGCCAAGAGATGGATGGCACCAGGATGGAGATTAGGATGGCTTATTGTTCATAATAGACATGGTGTTCTATCCGAAGTCAAAAAAGGACTTGTAGCTCTTTCCCAAAAAATTGTGGGACCATGCTCAATTGTTCAAGGAGCTCTGCCAAAAATTCTTTTGGAGACACCTGAATCGTACTTTGAATACAACCGTAGCGTCATCTCCAGAAATGCTAAAATTATTACGAATGCCCTCAAGGTACTAATTTCATTCTCTTTGTCTCTCATTCAATTTTTCTAGAACGTGCCCGGTATTCGTACTCTCCGTCCCCAAGGAGCTATGTATTTGATGGTGGGAATCGACAAGTCGATCTACGGAGATGATTTAGTATTTTCTCAGAAACTCGCTAGGGTTCGTATACCAAACTCCGCATCGTTTGATATTGGTGCATTTAGGATGAAAGTTTGATTGTTCTACCTGGTGGAGCTTTCTCAGTTCCTGGATGGATCCGTCTGGTTATCACATATCCAGAAGATATCATGGTTGAGTCAGCTCACAGAATTCAAAACTTCTGCGCCAGCTTATTAGCAACTGGAACAGCTGAAGTTGACTCTTCGGATGAGGGCTGTGATATATCCAGCTCAGACCCCGAAATATAGGCATTGATGAATTTTCCTAAACTCCCTTAGCTATTGAAAATAGCTTCCAAATGATTTTTGGAAGCCTACCCATCCATATCTATGTATGAAGGCTGTGATGATGATCATCGAACGGATCGTTGTCTCACACTTCAATGTGTTAGTTTGTCTGGAAGCTTAGAGTACGGTTCGAAAGGCTGTAAAAGAAAAAGTTGCCGGGCTTTATAAAATTGTAAACCGTTTATGGCAAAAAGTTCGTTTTTTTAAATCAATCAATCCATGTCAGTGGTCTCAGCATGAACCCAGTCTGGTCTGGTTTATCAAAATATCTTTCTTATACCAATTAATCTCTAATAATCTCGTATATCCTCTTAACTATGCAGCTTCAATTATTTTTTTCCGATTGCATACTCCTCTTGTTGTTTCAAGCAGTTCATTCGTTACTGAGCATTCAAAGAGATGCTTCAGTTGTTTATTTATTCTACTTAACTGGTGAATTCATAATAAAAATTGTTTCAATAATTCAATGTTTTCTCATCCATGATAGTTCAGAAGATGAGGCCATTTCAGATAAAAAAGATAAGAAAAACAGCAGATACCTGAAAACAATGATTTCATCCTATTTGTAATGGACAGTTATCAACAAAAGGAATTTCTTATTCTGATGTTATAAACGTTTGATATTTCATTTTCTCAAATACACAAATTATGAGAAAATAGGAAGTTGATTCTCAACGCGAACAACCGTTCATCATCAATCTTATCACAAATATATGAAGTGATGAGTTCGCAGGACTTCGCGTGAAATTAACGTATAATTGATATTCTGGAACAACTATTCGATTAGCATGTTTTTGGTAGCAAATTAAGAATATAATTTCCGTATAAGAGATTCTCATCAGAAACACAACATTGTAGAAGGTGGACATTTCGTTGACACACAAATGATAGTATCAGAAGAGATCACCACGTGGTCTTAAAACAAGTTTGACAGCGTGCGCCCTGTATTCTTCCCATTCAAAGGCCAGAGTCCGAAGACGTATGTGCCGTCAGAACTCTTGATGAAACTCGAGAAAAAAAAATGAACCTCCAACAAGAATAACAAAAGTGTTTCCTTGATCGTTAACTTTTATGTTTCACTCAACCAAAAACGAAGGGATTGATAATGGAAGAATTTTTTTTAGATTTCTCTGCTTATAGTTTAAACTATGGGAAGAGTGGTTGTTCTTTGTGTGATGGTTCTTTAAAAATTCTCCATTTGTCTCGAAGTCAAAGAATGTTTAGCACGAGTGGTTCGTAGACTGTAGTGAGATTTTCATTGAAAACTTAATTTCTGCGATTAAATTAACAAAACAGAGACGACTGACTGAAGGAATCTTGATTGATATTCTTCCCTTTTTTAATCATATGATCATAGAATGACTGATGACCAAGCAATGATCTATCAGTTCAACATTCAAATTCGTACCTGTAACAAGAATTTTCTCAGAATGTCCAGATGCTATACAAACTATAATGATAACACTGAAGTGTAGATCAGACGGAACAGACTGTCGGCCTAAAAAATTATCCAAACCAATCACGTGGGAGTTAGCCCTTCATCCATCATATTAGCTGTCTGGCTTGCATACATCAACCACTTGATTTGATTTCTTTTGATTCCTTGAATGTGTGACCACTTGATCATTAGAGAAAACAATAAAATGTCAAAGTCAACTTCATTAAGCAAATCTAAATCTTCTAGCTTCTACGCTGAGATATGAGTTCACACAACAGAATAGACAAATCCTGAGAAGAAAATTTTCTCCTGTATGGAACGATGTGGAAACACAACATTATTATGAGAAGCACTCAGAAAACTGTTGACTGAGGTTAAGTAAAATCTCAGTCGACCTATCTGACGGGATTCTAGAGAGAATCCCGAAGTGTCTAGACTATTTCGAAAAAATCTATGGGGATCTTAGGTTGAATTTATTATTCGGGCCAACCTAATAAGAAAACAATAAGAAAGCTCAAAGAAGTGGTTACCACACAATTAAAGTACTTAGGTAAAGTTAGCGACCATCAGATAACAAAAAATTTGAACTAGACGTGCACATCTACTAATTAGGGAGACGTAAAGCTACTCTAATCACTCATCAGTTTAAACATGCCATTTCTTCTTTTCGATTTCTTCTTGGGCGAACTCCAAAAGTGCATTAACGAGCTCAGTTGCCTTAATATCAATGTAATGGAAACAAGAACAAAAATGAAGTAAATACCATAGCTTCACCTCCGATATCACGAGTGTGAATTCTTCGCTCAACGAGGGCATGGAACAAACCGTCAGAGATCAAGTTAGCGTGTTCGTCTAATCCAAGGTATCTAAACAAGCTACGCTGAGACAAATATTCCAGGAGTTATTACCTGAGCATATCGACGGCAGCTCTGATAAACGCTGTTGGATTAGCAATATTTTTTCCAGCCAAAGCAGTACCAGTGTTACGGGTACCCTGGAAACGAAGCTTAGAATCGATCAGAAAATAAGACTTACAGTTTCAAAAACAGCGAAATCTTGACCGAAGTTCATGCCAGAAACCAATCCTGGACCTCCGACGAGTCCACAAGCAATGTTGGAGATAATATTTCCGTACAAGTTAGGCATCAACATAATGTCGAATTGTTGAGGACGAGAAACCTTAATCAAGAATTGCAAATCATCAAGTTATTAGAACTTACGAGTTGCATAGAAGCATTATCTACGATCATTGATTCGAACTTGATTTCTGGATAATCGTTAGCAGCAATATCTTTGCAGACCTAAGCCAAAAAAATAATCCAAACATGGCAAAGAAATTTAGAACCTTGAGGAACAATCCATCTCCAAGTTTTTGAATGTTAGCCTTATGGACGGCTGTTACTTTCTTTCTTCCATAACGAACCGCATATTGGAAAGCAAATCGAGAGATTCTCTCAATCTTCTGCTGAGTGACAATCTGTTTATAAAGATGTATTTACAAAACATTATATACGCGGTCAGCACCTTCAAGCTTTCAACAACTCCTGGAGTAGCAGTGTGCTCAAGACCTGAGTATTCTCCTTCGGTGTTTTCTCTAATGATGATCATATCAATATCCTATAAACCCGTAATACAATAAAAAAGTTGTGAGATATGAGTTTACCTTATGACGACTTGGGATAGTTGGAATGGTGGCACAGTGGAGGACATTGGCGAATAAGTCAAGACTTCTACGAAGCTCCATGTTGCAAGACTTGAACTGTGGGTCATCAAACTTGTTCTCAATATTTCCCTGCACATATTTTGTTGAAAACTTCTTTATCGACAAGGCATTACCTTAAGAGCTACTCCATTTCTTTTAATAATAGTGATGGCTTGATTGAGTTCTTCTTCGGAAGTGTCCTTCGAAGTAAGGTTCACAATTTCGAAGTCAACGGGAACCTGCAGACACTTATAAGCTGAGCTTCAGTGAATCTACAAACCTGAGCTACACGGAAAATGTTTTCAACATGAGCGAACATCTCAGGTCCAATACCATCTCCAGGAAGAACAGCGACATTGTGGCGACCACCATAGCGAGCAAGAGGAGCCTAATACAATACTTAAACTGAACGATATCTCAGAGCATACTTTTCTGTTGCTCATGACTGGGGAGCGGAAGCGGATCATGTCAGGCTTCGCAGCCGCTCCGCTGTATAATGCTCTTTGAGCTACCATGTTTGGAACTGACAGGCAGATCCGGGAAGAAGAAGCCATGACCATGTTTACCTTAATGAAATAGTAAACTGACAGAATATTCCATCACGGAAGAGTAAAATGAGGAAAAATAGGTAGAACTTATTATAGTTATTGGTTTTGAGTTTAGAATTTATGACTTGAATTTGCAAAGTTGCAAAGAAAGTTCAACAAAAGATAAAAATCAATGTGTTATCTCTCTCTCAAGTGCAACTGTTCAAAAGCAGGAAGAGGAGAATTGCTGAGAAAAAGGAAGTTGAGAACGAATCATTTGTGAAAGAAAACAATTTGAAACTAGTGTAAGATTACAAAATTAATCCATATTTCCAAAAACATTCTGTAGTCATAGAAATTGATTTTATTTATGAAAATCGTTTTAAAAGAACTTAAAATAAAGCTCGTGGGACTTAAAATAAGTACGTTGTCTTGTTTAGTTTGTCTAATATTCAATAAGCTTCTACAGTTTCTCAAAAAGCGCAAGCATTACATTTTGATGAACATTTTTATTATTTTCACATAATAAAATAATATAGGATAGTTAGAATAGGAGAAATACAAATGTACGCATATTTAGCTTCTTCCGATGAACTTCACGAAGTGCTCGGAAACGATTCTGAAAGCTCAGAAGGTGAATAAAGCTTTCCAACCTATCATGGAGTTCCATTATATAAAAACATTATCACTAAGTTTAGATTTTTATCACAAGGAGGGTACGTATAACTAACAGTAGTGTGGATGATTCTCTCCGCTCTCTTACAAGTAAATCAACTGCAAACAACTTTGTTGTAATGCTTTTCTTTCTTTCACACCCTAACTCAATTTTTAAGGAGAGTAGTAAGAATATCCTGAATTTATACAAACAAGGAGCGAATGAACAGAAATCTATCTTGTACTCCATAGCTACTAACTGTGGTGTGAGAACTGAAAATCTGGACAGTGCCATCCACTTATATGAAAAAGTACTTACTTCGTTGTTTCACATTTTATTAAAACTTCAGAACAAACAAATGTCTCACGAGGTCTACATGGCTGCTAAGCCTATGCATTATTTCCTTCTAAGACATATTGGGAATCAACCTGAGGGGATTAAACATGTTTGCGACATGAGAGCTAAGCTTTTGGTACGATCTGCTATAGTTCATTTGTTATTCGGAAGTTCTAGACTTTAGTGAAAAATGAAAAAGACAAGAGTCTCGTATCTTCATTACGGAGGTTAGAAGAATCGGCTAGAGATTTGTTGACTACTTGGTTCTGTTTGTCAAACTTGAAGTTGAACCGTTTAACATGGGAAAGCCCAGGAGATATTATGTATAAGGTAAACTTTAAGATCATGATCAATTCATTTTTGATTAAGATTGCTCAATATGAAGCTGTTCATCCCGTAAGAGGTCTTGTAGATTTCAAAACACGTCTAGGGTCGAACAGAAGGTATGTTTCGAATACTGACTTTCGATGGATTTTCTTTCAAGGTGCTTCTATCTTACACATGAGTCCTTACCAAGAGAACCTTTGGTGATGGTGCATGTAGCGCTAATGCCTAATATAAGCGATAGTGTCCAAGTTGGTGTTGTTCACTTTGTATTATAATAACATGCCCTCTAAATCAAGGAGATAATACATGGTTCCATCAATGAATCTGATGAGAAAGACCAAGCTGCTGCTATCTATTATTCGATAACTTCAACTCAGAAAGGTTGATGAAGTGATTAAATAGCGTCATCAGCTTAGTTTTTTTCAGGATTGGCAGGTATTGATTTGGGAAACCTCTTGATCAAACAAGTAGCTGCAACTATTCAACAAGAAGTTCCTAATATTGAAGAGCATTCAACACTCTCACCTATACCTGGCTTCCGATCTTGGTTACTGCGAAATCTTCATGGAAATTCTGAATCAAGTGTTCGATGAGCTCAAAAAGTGAATTAAGTGTTTGGTTTAGAAAATGTTGTTGACGACGTTCTCATCGAGATGACCGGACAAATTTGTGGAAAAATTTTCAACAGAGAAACTGCTCGTAAGTTTCTGATTGAGGTGTGTATCCAATCGGCGAGCGAAGATGTTATATTTTTAGTCTTTATCTAAAGATAGTTTAACTGTTGATGAAATCAGACCATTCAAAGATGTACTGATCACAGCTTGCGCTCGATATCTGTTTGGTGCTAAGAGAAATGAATATGCTTTAAATCCCGTAGGTGAGACTTTTGAAATTATCGAAGATTTTCAGCGTTATGAAGTCATCTATTGCGTTTTTAAAAGAAAATTTTCAGCTAATTTTCATTTACGGAATGGAGCTGAGTTGTACCGCTTGAACTGGATGGGTGATACTAGTGGTAGAGGATTGACAAACAGTTTTGGGATTATGGTTAATTACAGGTAATCGAATACACTGAGTTAGTTCCGTATTTTGAAATTGTTTCAGATATCAGTTGAGCCGAGTCACGAAGAATAGTGAACTGTATATAAAATCTGGAACTATAATATTAAGTGAGCAGGTTCATGAGCTGCTCTGAACACTATTCTTATGCAAATTAAAGATGAAATAAAGAGTTTGACCTACTATTGCAGATACTCTTTGTTTTGTTTATTCGACATACTGCTTCTTGTTTTCCGTTAAAGATCATAAGAATTTCAGAAAATGACAGATCTCAGCGAAAGCACAATAGACAAGTGCCCCGTTAACATTTATTATGTTGATGAAGGTTCCACTCCTTCATTTTCCCGTAAAAGGAGTGTGCCGAAAATAGGTTGAATCTCACAACGAGTTTTCTTTATAATAATATAATCAGAGGAATGCGAAAGTTTGAAAAAGCTCAGAATAACGCTTCAAAGTCAAGCCCAAGATGCAGATACTATGATTTCAAAATTAGGCTCCGTAAATGATATCGAGGCTGATTCTATGAGATCAAACATTAAGAACGAAATAGAGAATACTCCGGGGGAATATTTTGTTGGCTATAAAGAGTAAGCTCTATCTTGGTTCAAAATACTCGAATGCAACTCTTTTAGTAATGATGGTAAGCCTTTGGTTCCATTACCTCCGAACACAGAGAAGTCAGAGGGGATATTTGCGAAACACACTCTTTTGAGATTTGTAAGTTTTCTTCTGAAAATTTAAAAGTGCTTCGTTTTCTAGGACCAGATTGCTGATATTTCTGTTGCAGAAAGGAATGTCAATTTAGCTAGAACTTTTACTTCTGTTCCCAATGCAAGTTTTAATCCCTGTCTTCTTTCTATTATTTGTCCAGGCCTTTGCTAGTTGTGAAGAAAACATCCAAAGCCTCCTCATGCTTCTATCAAGCGAAGAGACCCCTGATACGGGGCTCTTCAGTTCATTAGTTGCTGCTCTTCTCGATAAAAAAACGCCGTCGGAAAGGTGTTGTCTTATTAGTTTTATTTTTATTATAGCTATTTCCAGAAGATATTTATGCCACAAAATATTCAGTTGTGTTGCCAATGCAGAAGATATCAGTGTGAAGACTGCTGATGAAAAGAAAAATCAGCCTTCATAGTGATTGTTATCACCAGTATTACAAGTTATATTTTTACATTCTCGAATAAAATCTTTTTGAAAAAGAATGCGAAAATCTGCGTTCGGCTCTTGAATCAGAGTTGAAACATGAGCGACATTTCTTCGTAGAATCCTACCATTATGAGAAAAGTCGGACCAGAAAGATTTGACTTCGTAACGTCAATAGTTTGATCGGGAATGTACTCAGTTCTTGTTTTCAAATCATTG